TGTCGGTAACCTTTCACGAAGTCTGGTAGGATTTCGTCTAGGGTTCTCTCTACTTTCGCCTTGCCTGCTTCGATCGCGATTTCTGCTGACTTGGTAACTTTCTGGACTTGGGCGGTCTCGTATAGTCACTGGATGATTTTGGAGGGGTAGTGTGTGAGTCCTTCATCGTCTTCATCTATCTCCAGATAGGCCAGTAATCTGTCCTGTACTTCGCCCTGGAGTGGATATCCCCACAGTCTCCCTTCTGGAGCTGGCCGACTTCGTCGTAGTTTGTCAATCTGCTGCTGTTTCTTGATATGCGTAGCGTCGATGGTTATTCGTCCTGATTCCCAATCGATCGCTGGGTTGTATTTTCTTATCCATGGCATGCCAAAGATGACGTCGTCTCGTCCGATGTTGGCAACATACCAATTTGTTGGCAGTAGTTTGTTCTGAAGTCGAAAATGTCCTTCTACTTGGTGGGTGATGTTTCTTGTGCTGTTGATGGAGTCGTCCGCGTTTCTGAACCGTATGGGGACGGGGAGTTGGACGGTTGGGAGATTGTATTTGTCCACCAGTCTTTGATTGACTATTACTGCGTCTGCTCCCGAATCGAGGAGTCCTTTGATTTCGACGGCGATTTTTCCCACTTCCATGTGACCAGAGAGTAAGAGCGCGTGCCTGCGTCGCTCTGTATTCGATACTAGTGTTACATGAAAGTTGGGGGTACTAGGCAAGTCCGGCGTCAACTCATCTTGCCTGTTCAAAAATCCTGTTCGTCGTCGAATCGTGCTGCGTTCACTTGGACATCTCCGTCACTCTCCTCTTCCTCGGCCTCGGCTTCTATGGTGACTTCTCTGATCTTCTGCTGAGGTTTTCCCTTCTTTTTGTTAGGGCAGAACCTGGCGAGGTGTTTTCCTTTCTTGCAGAAGAAACAGAGTCCCTTAGTCATCAACTCCTTCTGTTCTTCGGCTGAAAGTGCATTGACGTTTATCTCGTCCGTTCGTGTGGCCTTGACAAATCTGGTTTTGTTTCTGGGTTGTCGGTCGAGTGCCTTGTCCAGCTCCTTCTTGAGCTTCCAGTTGCGGTCTGAATCTACTGCTCTTCCCATCCATCCTTCGAGATCTGGTGGTGCTGGGAGTAGACCCATAATCTTATCTCGGATGACTGGTGGCAGTGCTTGTTGGTACCAGCCGAGCTGTGCTTGTGGGTCCGTGATACCCGACTTGCGTATGAGATGGATGAATTCTCCGTTGAGATCGTTGATGGAGTCGAACTGTTTCTTGCCGAGCATTCGGAGTTGATTGGCTGCGGCGAAGGCTTCATTGATAGGGGCAAAGGTAACCTGGAGCTTGTTGAGGAAGTTGTCCCAGGTTCCGTAGCCTTGCCTTCGTCCTGTCACGTTTCTAACCCATGCATTGCGTAGGATAGATGTCTTCCAGACTCCTGCCGTCCCTCCTTCCATGTAGGAGAGAGCGGTGGTGATCATTGTTTGATCGTCTGGGAAGTCGATAGGGCGTGCATCGAACATGAGGAGGAGTGATTCCACGAAAGTGTCGAGTTTGTCGCGTGTGCCGTCGAATACTTCTGGTACTTTGACTTTGCCCTTGCCTCTTGGTATTCCGAATGGTCCTCCTGGGGGGCCTCCTCCTTGGTACCCGTCTCCTCCCCCTCCTCCTGGAGGGTCATTTCCTCCACCGGGGGGTCCTTGTGGTCTTCTTCTGTCTGGGTCTCGTCGTCCCCTTCTGTCGCCTTGAGGGTTGTCATCGTCCGATGGTTCGTCATCTGGGTCTCCCCTTCGGTGACGATGGTGACCTCTCCCCCTCGGATCGTGTCTTTCTGGTATAGGGTCGAGGACGACTGCTTGAGGGCGGAGTGTGATGGTGGCGAGGCTCGCTGCCGATTCTCCTGCATCCGTCGGTCTCCCAATTGCGTAGCTTGGGACTGCTTGTCGGCGGATTCCTGAGAGATGTTGGAAGTGAAAGTCGGCTTGATCCCTTTCTTCTTCCATTTTGGCGAGCTTCTCTTTCATCTTGCGTATTTGCTCTTCCATGTCTTCGCGCTTTCTTTCAAGCTGTTGTCCTATAGGTTTATTGGTGTCTACCTCGTCCTCTGGTGTGGTAAATCCTGACGTTCTCGGAGAGCGAGCAGGAGGGTGTCTTGATATTGATCCTGGGTCTTGTGCCGTTCCTGTTGGTTCTGTCATGGTTTGAGTAGCCATGTATGCTTCCTCTGGGAGTGGTTGTGCGTGGGTTGAGAAGTTGCTCTCGGGTTCTCCGGCTGGAGCCTTTTCTCGGGCTTGTGCACTCGGTCCTGGTTCGGTGGTTGGTTCGGACAAATCTGGTAGCGGGGTGATTGCTACCGATAGTGGTGAACTCCTTGGTGTGTTTTGATTACTGGATGTTATTCGTCTGGTAGCTCCTATCCTTCCTGTTTGTGGGGCCTTGAAAATCGGTTTCTGTTGACCGAATATTTTCGTAATCGCTCTTTCCTGTGCTTCGATACAGGCCTTGTACTTGTCGTCTGTTCCTGCTGGAAGCGTTTGCGCGTTCCAGTATCTAGCTGGGCACCTTGCTGATGTGCAGCTGCTCCACGTTCTGTTATTGTGATGTATGTCTCTTCCGGTGTCGGTATTGAATGCGTGAATTCTATTCTTGCAAGCCGTGTCTGGTTCAGTCATGGAAGTAGTCTTGGATAACTCCCAACGCGGTCCGGAACTCTTGAAGTTCCTGTAGTCTTCCGAGGTATTCCGGGTGAACGAGGTTGTTGGGGAGGTCGAAGACGAAGTTTTCAAGGTCCTTGATGTCGTACTCGAGCCTCTCTGTTAGGACGTGAATGGGAGCGGTGGGGTTCAGGGGAAGCTGGATGTGGTCTGGCGCGTCCTGCGGTGCTTCTGGAACTTGCGGGAGTACGTTGATGATGTTCTCGAGATCGCGCAGGTGACCACCGAAGTCCAGGAAATCCTCTTCGTTGAACCTTGCGAGTAGGAGTGGGTGGTCTGTGAGAATCTCAAAGTTCTGCACCCCTTGTTGTACCGCTCGAGAGAACGTGTGGAGGTATGTGTCCGAGCTTCCGCTGTTTGATGTGGCAACGAGTGTTTCTTCGTGTTCCTCGTTAATAGGTAGGGTATGACCGCTGCCTTCCTGTCCTGGTCCTTGCAGTTGTGCTGTGTGTCTTTCCTCTGGGGTGGGTGTGAGGATAATGGGGAGTGGGTGTACTTGAGGGGTGTCCTGTCGAGCCTGGGTGTTCTGTGTGGAGTCCATGGTGCCTGTTTTTCTATTGCGTTCTGCTATCGAGCAGTTCGCAACCTTCTGTCCTGGTAGATGGGTCCTCTGCACTTGAATAAGTGGAGGGTTCAATCTTTCGACCTAATGTTACGTCGAAGTCCGAGTTCCGTTGGGAACGAGGCCTAGACGTCGAGTGGTTATGTCCGTGAGAAGTCTCTTGATGCCGACGCGAGTAAGCACGGTGCACTATCGAGTGGACCGGCGAGCGAGCGAGGTAGAGGGCAAGCAAGAGAGTCGATTGGCACTAGGCCTGAGGGACGTAGCTATACAGGAGGTCGAAAGATGGGGAGCGCTATGCTGCGTCGTCCCTCTTATAAGTACAAAGGCCTCGTGGCCGCGGTCCGTGAGGGGTGAGGTAACGGTACGTATACAGCGAGTCCATACGAGTCAGTACGCATCATGGCTACGGCGTGTAATGAAGTAGGTCGTAGTGAGGTTGCCATGAGGTACGTGCATGTCCGGGATGAGGCTGCGCAGCAGCATGAGGCAGAGAGTGGTAGTACAGCAGTCCCTGAGGGCACCAGGCGTAGTCCATGACGGAGATGATGAGGGATGGAGGAAAAGGTCCGGCGTACGCATGGTGTCCGTAACACTGATCAGCCTTTGGAAGCCCACGATTTTCCCCAAGCTCAAGGTAATATCAGCTCGCAATATCACTGAGCAGAACGTATGAGCTCACATTGTTGGGAAGGCGACCAACGCATGAGGGCCACTGAATTGAGTTGACGACGGCCTGGAGACTCCGCCAACGCTTGGCATCGAGAAGATACCCGTCAATCAGTAGGGAAGTGAACATGTACTTCGCAATTCCTGCCGTATAGCTCAAGTCAGATTAGAGATCTCCGCACGTGTGCAGCCGCGCTGGTGTGTACGCCCAGCGCGTCTGGCTCGCATCCAGGATCTGGCTGAGTCACCATGCCCAATGTAATCTCGCCTTACTGGGCCAGATGCACGCACCAACGCGTCCAGCCGACTGCGCAGGCTGGCACATGCAGCTGGCAGCATCTGGTGCACCAAGCTACTAGGTGCGCTCGGCACATGTAGCGCATTGCGCGTTGCGCCCGGCGCAGAGGATGACGTAGAAGGCTCACCGTAGAAGTTATGCATGAAATCAACAGCTGAGGATGACACGGGAGACCATCCTACCAGCTCGTCCATCACCGAAAAATGTTTCCCGGACTGGTCCAAGATCTGTTTCCGCGCTTTCTTTGTTGTGGCATCCTTCGAGAGAAACGAGTACCTGAGCATCTCAAGTTCATCTCGTAGCCGCAGTTCTAAAGGTGATGTCAGCACTGAGGAACAGAGCTAGCACCTGTGGTGAACTGCTCGCAAGTGAGCGGCTTCCGATGTGGCACAGTGCTCACTCACCAGACCATGTACAGCTGTTGATGAAGCACGCTCGCGAGAGCGCTTGAACGTCCTACGCTGCGCTCTCGCGAGCATGCTCCACACTCGTGCGCAGCTTCCGTCTCATGCGGTGCGCTCGCACGGGGCTTCCAACGTGATATGCCCACGCGGGGATTCCAACGCGACGCCACACTCCCCAGACCGGTGCGGCAGTGGACGAGGCACGGTCGCGCGTGGCTTCAGACGCGATACGATCCCGTGTGGCTTCCAACGTGGCATGCTCGCAAGACATGAGAGATAGAAAGGGAACGTACTTGAATACACATATGCTTCGGCTGTCTGCAGCTGATCTTGTGTAACCTCGCAAAAGGAGCACAGAAGTGTGTGTTAGTGACCGGCGGACCCCTTGACCTTCGCTGCTGCAGGTGTGTCGCTCGAGTGGCACTCGACAGCCGCATGCACCTCCACTGGATCGCTATATCCATACGCGTCTAGGTGGATACCTGCGTGCGCGTAAAACCGGAAAGTACAAGTCCAGAAACCGGGTGTACCAGTGTACAAGATTTTGAGTTCGCGCGTCGCGAGCGCCAGAATATGATTTATCTCTTCCAGACTTGGCTCCTTCGGTCCAGGAATGACCACTAGAAGGTGTACATTGCGCTGTAGGTACCGAACTGAGTGACACAAATTGTTAAAAGTTACGTATAATGCGCCCACGGAATGGGGACAATCTTTCGTGACACCAAACCTGAATGTAGAATTGGTAAGCGTAGCCTGTAGGCGGAGCATATCCTGATGCATACCAATCAAGATTGATGGTCAGACTGAGACCAAACGGGATCGACCGGAGTGTTCGCGGAGGTCCAGCAAACGCTTTGACGTCTTCAATCCGGCCATCAGGCATGCGAAGGCGAACGTGATCCAGCTTTGTTGCTCGATAGGCTTGTCCGTCTTGGAAGTCCTTCAGCACACCGCCGTTGTCTGGTGCATCACTGGATGAGAGATCGAGGTTGCGGACAAACTCTTCTCGAAGGAGGAGACGCGGGAGGGCTTTGAGCAGTGGCGCATACAGCAGGATTTTGGCCGGATCGCGCTTTGGTTTTGGATCTTCACCGTCAGATACCGCTGCTAAGCGCTTTTCGGATGACTTGTAGGCGACACCTTTGCACCTAGGGACTGTGCATTCCGGCCCAGAAAGTGAGTCGAGGTCGTCCTGAGAGTACACCTTGTAGCAGAGAGTGCATACAGCCACCTGGTCGAAGTAGTCGTCGATGTTCAGTCCCAGTCTCCGACGTGCTGTTGCAAGAGTTGTTGCTGGCTTCCGAGGCGCAATCGGGAGAGGCTGCATGATCTTGATAACGTTGAGGTGGTCTTTGAGTCGTTTGTCACAATCTGCGACAGTGGTGTGCTTGAAGGCGTTGTCGATGACGGTGAGGAGGTAGATGAGGCGGAACTGCGGCGCCTCGATTGTCGCAGGTACAAGCAGCCGTTCCGATGGGTCTTGAGTGAGATCGCGGAGAGCTGGACGTGGTGGGAGACCGTTGTCCTCATCTGGAGGCTCCGACTCGCTGTGACCACCGGAACGCGTAGGAGAGGACGGCGCAATGTTGTCCAGATGATCTGCAGGGTAAAGCAGAGGGGAGTATGCTGGATCAGGAGAGGGCGACCTTGAGAGTAGTTGCCCAGTGGCCCCAGGTGAGATCAGAGACTCAGCACCAAAGGCAGGATCTGCGGAAAGGTCATCCAGACCTGAAGCGGGGGGCGGGATTGGGAAGGAAGGAGATTGTCGACAGAAGCACTGAGACAAGAACCAGAGGTAGTGCTGTCGTCGCGGCCCAGTGGTGCAGAGGAGTGGTTTTGCTGCCGGCACGTACGTTTGCCGTCGCGTCGTGCGTGCATTGCTGCTACGTGCTCAGTTACAATTCCGTAGCCTAGAGGTTCCGTCCTGCAGTGTGTGCAGAAGCAGTGGGTGTATCTAGGTGTATAATTGCGCGGCATGTTGATTGGTAGCCAGTAGGGAGGTAATGCCGATGTGGGAGGGAATGAAGTGCGCATACAGTGACCCCGACTCATGCGCTCGCGCGCGCGAGCAAAGTCCAGCTGGATAAGCCCTGGATTGGGACCTTTCAAAGACTTGTCAGCCATAATGGCTCGATTATCCTCTCACGGGGCCACAACCCTTTTAGGGGTACTCAGGAATGTGCAAGGTGTTGAACATTGGATATCGAACATACGTACATTAGGACAGTTTACGCATCCACATGGACTCTGTGAGATACTTCCCATAGTTCCATATGTCACTTCACTGCCTTGTAGTTCCTTATCTCTTCCATTCCGTTCTTCTACGCTTCTCTCCTTGTTCCCTTGTTCCACTTACGGACTTTCTTTGTCTTGAGCGCACAGCCCGCACAGCATCGTATCCATCTTCTGTCCGGTCTGTTCTCAGCGCCATCTATGTCCTCCATCATTCGCTTACGTATGCAGCTCCTGAGATAGTATATAGGGAGGACTCTGGCTCGCACTGCTCTTCAGTCGTTCTATCACTGACTGAGGAGTAAGTACCCCACTCTATGCACTCCTTTATACATATGCTTACTGTATCTGTAGTCGCTCCTCTTCGTGTGCTTACAGGTACTACTTATGCCCTCAATATAGTCGTTCTATCACTGACTGAGGATCGCTCCTCTTTGTGTGCTTACAGTCGGTCCCTGCCTTACTCAGAGTTCATCACAAGGAATCCGTCAGGAATCCACTCATTTCACACATATGTTACACTACAGGGAATCTGCTAGGACATCTGTAAGGAACTTGCCGGGAACTTGCTCATTCTGCGCACATTCCCCACCTTGGGAAATCCGCGGTTTCATGCGGTGTGGGTAAGTATCTCTCTCCTGGAGTCTACGAACTGACCAACGTCCTCACTTTTCTCACTCTACCACAGAGGCTTTGCGCCGCGGTTCTTTGAAGCCGTCCATGTACAATACTTTTTGACTAGCAATATCGTTAGATCGAACTCTGTCCGCATCACGTAACTCCCTTATCGTGCAACGCCCCGCAATTCACCTTCTCCTTGCCTCCGTACTTTCACCTCCCCGGACAGCCGTCGTCCATCGCGCTCTATAACCTCAGTCAAATATCCTCATGGGATCTCCGCGCATCCCAATTGATGTTGCCGAAGTGGTCATCGACGCCGTGGCGGCCCACGAAGACTCCAGGACCCTCACGCGCTGTGTCCGGGTGTGCCAATCATGGTTTCCCCGAAGCCGCTACCGCCTCTGGAACAGGCTCATTATTTCCAGATGCGATCAGCTGCCCACGATCTGCAGCATCCTTGCACACGACGCCTCTGTGCGCTCGATGGTCCAGACCGTCCGGTTAGAGGCTACACAGAGCTCGGATGTCGACGTGCCAACACCTCTCCCGATCGTTGCTATCGTGGTCCTTCTTCCCCACCTAGGCGACATTACCGCATGGGAGTTCTACAGGCCACTCTCTTCTTTCGGCCAATCTCTTTTTCTGACATCCCCGACAATTCTAGCTTGTTTGCGACAATATCGCGCTGTGAGGAAGCTCGTCCTGCAGGACTACTCTTTCAAGACCGCTTTGCACATTTATCGGTTTTTCAATGCGTTTCCTGCGTTGCAGGACGTCCGGATGGATAATATGTATAAATCCCTGAAACCAATCTCAAATATATCCCTCCTCACGCCCCACGCGCATCGACCGGGCCTGCAAACGCTACATTTGGATAAGGTGCGCACCTTCTAGCCTGAGACCGACTTCGTGATTGATCTTCAGGTTTTTAGTTCCTTTCACCTCGGCTGCAGTGCACCGCGCTGTTTACTTCCAACAAGGAGTCATTGTTGGATATATCGCTGCGCAGCGGAACCGTTATTGAATCTGGTGGGTCTTTCTGCTTGTATAGTTGACGTCTACTCCGATAACGTTCGATCTGCACAAGGTTTCGAGATTTCTTGTTTCACAAACTTGAGGTATCTATCTATTCTGCAAGAACTCACCTATTGCCCCAACTTCGGACTTTACAAAGCCTGTCTCAAACTCCCTAATTCACTGCTCTCTTTTACGTTGACATTCCGGAGTTCTGTAGTGTACTGGGACAGCGCTCGTATAACGCAAGAACAGATGAACATCGTGCAGCAGTTGTCTCAAGTGATATCGCAACACGCCAGTCTCCAATCGACAGGTCTCACGTGCGTCATAGAGAAGCCGAGGCGGAACCAGATGGATCGCTGGACAGCTTTGCTAGAACAACTGTTCTCGCCGTTGTTATCAAGAGGTCTGTTGCATATTGTTCCCCCAGACTACTCGAGTACGTCTTCTTCCCCTGAGAACATGCTCATGCAAACTGATTCCTGTCCGCGTCGTTCAAACTAGCCCAGGAGACGCACATGTCAGAGTATGGGCACAATCGAGAGCCTGATCGAGTCGTATTTTCTCGTAGTGGAAGATGGGCAGCAAGCACCCTGTGGGATCGTCCCCACGTGTCAAAGTCGGGCATGTCAGAATGCATCGTATGGGACAGTCAGACCGGAAAATCTCACCCCTCCCATTGGCACCACCTCGCAGATCTGCGCTCCTACCCAGGTCGGCCGTTCCCTTTCGCATTCTGTCCCACTGAAAGACACTGGGCCATCGCATCACGCGATGACATAACTGTCTTCCATCTTCCGGTCGAGACCGCCTCAACGGGACCCACAAATCACTCTCAACCCGTTGGTCGCATCCGCCTTCATCTGGATTGCTTGATCATGAAACTGTTGTGGTCTTGGGACGGGGGCCACATATTCGCACAAGATGCGGCAGCAGATGTCCACGTCTATGACGCTCTGACATTCAAGCACCTCCGCACCCTATCTCCCCCAGACATCTACAAGGAAATGTCTGGAGATCAGGTTCCCAGACCCTGGGACCACAATCTGCATAGGGGATCATTGACGCTATCGGCGGATGGACGATATCTCCTTTCCAACGTCGCGCTGCCAACCTCCCTTTCCAAACACTCTGTCGGATTCAGACACAACTCGATCTGCGTCTGGACACTCGCCACCGGTTCCTGCGAAGCCCACTTCCTCCGCCAATACCACGACGGCCCGGTCCCAGAGGCCGACACGTACCTGTACGCGACCGCCCTCCGCCAGGACACCAGAAGTCCCGGACTCGAGCACCGCGCCCACGTCGTCGTGATGTGCGAAAACGGCACCCTGCTCACCGCCGCGGTCGGCTCGCCCGACGGGGTGACGACCATCCGACCTGCAGGGTTCCCGGCGGACCTCGGACTCATCTCACACGCGTTGTTTTCCTCCGACGGGATGCGCGTGCTGGTCGTCAAATTCACCGTGACGTTCCTCGTCCTGGATACGCTCACCGGCGCGACGATCGCCTCCCTCGACAGCGGCCGCTACCCGACGCTCTGCAGTGGCCCCTGGCTCGGGATGAACGTGGTGCTTTCGGGCGACGGCCGCGTTGCGGCGATACCGAGCCAAAGGTGGATGTTCGAGGAGCGACCAGAGTGGTGGCTCTGGAGGCTCGAGGACGGGATGCCGCCGCGCAAAATGCTCGGACTGGGGGGCACTGGACCGGCCAGTGTGGGGAGATGTGCGCTTTCCTGGGATGGTTCGGTGGCTGGATTCGCCGCTGCAGGAGGAGACGTGTTCTTCCGGAATGTGGAGGACAGCTAGTGCAAAGTACTGCTAGTATACCCTTCTTATGACGGTCCGACTTTCGTCGAACGCGCTAGGCGAAACGCGCGCGGGAGCACACCGCGGCCCGCGAAGCTCTGCGTGATTTTCTTCCATTATCCGGATCAGATGAATCAAAGGGGTTCATGCCATCACGCAAGACGTAGCGTACCATGTGTTTGCCCGATAAGCGCAGTCGGTGAGCGGCGGCGCGAGCGTGGAGACGTCGCCCGGGCAATTAGAAGAATTTGTCTCCCCAACAGAGGTTCGGGTGCATCGGAGTAGGCTCGGGCGACGTTGAGAACTGCAACGATGCCGGAGCCAACTACTTGAGAGATTGATCACGCTTGAAGAGCTGAGCATCTGACGGACGCACCGATACATAGGAATCGCGATGGGCTCCCCATGACGATGTTAGCCCAGAGCCCGGACTCCCATATCGCAACGGCGAACCAGATGATGAGGGCGTCGTCAGAGTGCCCGTCACCACCATCTACTTCTCAAAAGATGAGAGTGAACCGGGGTGTCTTCCGGGGTATTCGCAGGTCCTGAGGTTTTCGGTAGAGTTCCAGAGAGTTCCTCAGTCTTCACGAACACAGTGGGAGGGTGCACCAGAGAAGCGTGATCGAGTTGCGGGAACCATGGCCACGTACGCTTTCCGGGTGACGTCTCAAAATCTCAAAAGTGATCTGCGAGCTTACCGCAGAGCGTGAGTCGGGGACTGTGTCGCGGATGAGCAGCATGTTGACGGAAACGTAGTGCTGAGTCGTGCCCCGTAATGGGTAAGGGACGAGTGGTAGACGAAGAAGAAGGAATCAGCACTGCGGGAAATCCCCGGGGATACCGCCGTGAGGGGTGGGGACCTGGGTGCTGATGCCAAGGCTCGACCGAGGCGGCCGGTCGGGTTGGCGCTTGTCGAGAGACGTTCCGATTTTATCGGACTGTGCGTACATGGGCGTAGTCTTATGCCTCGCTGTACAGGCTGCGTGAACCAGAAGTAGGTGGTGGTGCATCGTATCGTATCGACTGCGCACATACGGGTTGAGCTGACCAGAGCGGGATGACGAGGGAGTCTCAGTCGGCGTACACTCCGAATCATATTCTGATCGGGGAGCGTGAAACGTGCCACGTGCGCGAGGCAAAGTGCGCCGCGTGCCCGGGCTGGACTCGTCTCCCGGCGGGCGCGCGACGGAGAGCTTCTTTCCGTCCTCCACAAGTCCTCCGCCTACTCCTGCGGCTTCCCGCCGTCCTCTGCCCTCGCCCTGTGGTCTCCCGTGTCATGACATCGGACGGCGCAGGGGCCGCTGCGTCGCTCCAACAATACCACCACTCGGTCAACCGGCTCCTCGTTGGCATGACCTTGTCTTCGGCCCTGTCTGGTACGTCTGCACAATCTCCTTCAGCTTCAGCCCCGGTCCAAGGTCAACTGGGCTAACGTTCTCTGTAAACGCCCAGGGATGGTGATGGTCCTGTCTGTACTGTCTCTCGCTGTGCTCTGGTACGTCCCCCACCGCGATCCTTTCCTCAGTCTAACGAATGCGTAGGCGTCGTGGAGTCCAGCACCGTGCCGCCCAGGCGCTTCTTGTCGCAACGATCCTGCTTCTGCTCTCGACCGTCATATTTTTCGCCGCGTCGATCGTCTCCGCGTTTGCGACCACCCGTCTGCTCTACAGCCAAGCGACGGGCGACCTTGACGACGTCGCCGCCCACCTCCACACTGCATACGTCGCGTCTGTGGTCGTCACATGCACGCTGGTCATCAACGTGAGCTCGCGGTCTCATCCAAGTCACCCCATGCGCTCAGTCCAACCTTCTCAGGTCACCGTCGGCGATACCGTCGTCTTCTGGCGCGCCGCGGCGCTCTGGGGCTATCAGCGGTGGATCAACATCATGGCCGGTGTGCTCATAGTCGCTACAGTCGGTCCGTGCCCTCCACCTCGTCCGCTCCCGGCAGCGCCTGGTCATCCGTATTCACCCTCACACCAGTCAGCGGAATCCTCGCCACGGCGTACGTCTCCCCCGTGTTCTCCGGCCCCGGCCCCAGCGGCGGCCCGCTCTACCAGCCACCCAAGTCCATCGGCGTGGGGACCGGGTTCGCGTCCCTCGTGTGTTCTGTGACCGCGAACGTCGTCGCGACTGCGCTCATCACGGCTAAAACTTGGTCAGGGGCGTGCTGACTTTGCGCGTGGCAGTAGTCTGACGAACCTCCTCAGGACGCACTGGAAGACGATCAAGCATAGCCTGGCGGAACACGACACATTTCCCCGCGCGCTCTCCCTCCTCCTGCTCCTCATCGAGACGGGCATTGCGTACTCGGCGATGTGGGTGCGTGAAGCAGATCGTGGAGGTCTCGTGTGTGCGCTGATCGCGTACGCTGCCGCAGCTCTTCGTTGCCGTCTTCTTCGGACTCAGCATCACCCGGCCCCCCGGGACTGTGGCCACATACAGCTCTGTTGTCGGCATCTTCGTGGGTTCGTGCGCCGTGCCTCTCGTGGTATGTAGCGCTGGTCGTCTTCGAATCGGTTGAGCCCTGACAGGACGTGGGACGGACAGGCGATGTACCCGATGTCGATCATCACGATCTTCGCCCTGAAGCAGTCGCCGTTGGAGCAGTCGGCAAGCCTGCTCACGACCGTCCCTTTCAGTCCGCACATTGGCTTTGACGGGTTCCAGAGCGACGCAGACACGGTGCCCACCACCCCCGAGAAAACGGACCACATTCGGAGCATCGCCGACGCGCGATGATAACACGCTTTTCGTTCACTGGTGCGTCCGGTTCGCGAGTGTCCGCGAACGTCCTCGGGCTGAACTGCACGCCAGGAATATCACTTTCATACCGGACATGAATCTCGGATTGTACGCACGCAACGCCCTGTGATGGCGATATCGGCCCCACGCTCTTTACTCTTCCACGCGGAACAAAATCCCATGTGTGCGTACGCGACCGCGGTTCTAGATGTTGTGTGAGCCACTTGGGACCTCTCGCGACTCGCGTGTGTGGTGCGCAAACGTTCGGTGCGTCCGATGCCGCGTCTGTCACACGCTACGCGATGCCCACCGCGCGACGTGGCGAGGATCCGAGCGGGAAGCGTGCAGTCTCCGCTCAGTCAGATACGTTAGCGCGTAGGTATCAAATTATCTCGATTTACTTCTGTCGCGTGCACAGCCCGGTGCACCCAGTGAGAGAGATGAGAACGCTTATTAAAGCATCACGGCGCGAAGTTTTGACTGCTTTTCGTTGCGACGCTCGCCGTTGCGCCCCACCGAGCATGCTCTCTGGGCAGTATGTTAACGACGGGGGCCCTCGTGATCAGACGACGCAATCCTCGAAGCCCGTGGTATCAGTCGTGAATCGGATGATTGTTCGCGAAGGAGAAATCGATGGTGCAGATCTCAGGCAAATTTCATGAGCCTGGGCGCGCAGCTGTGATCACGCGTCGCGCGACGCGTCTTGTCACACTTGTCACACGCTCCGGCCACAGGTGCCTGAAGCGCGTATTCGCTCTGTGTCATCTGAGACTGGTCTGCCTCCGCGAAGATGTTCTGTTGAAATGGCGTTCCGATCGTCTTGAGCGCTTGAGCCCTGCACCACCACCTCTGCAATCGCGCAGGTTGAACGGCAGACACAGAAGACGTCTCGACTCTCGAGCCTCAAGACGACGGTGAGTGCACTCCACCATTCAAGAGCCAACTGCCGGACTCTGGTCTTCGCACTTGAATCCCGGGCAACTCTAAGTAACTCTTAAGTTGCGTTCCTTTTTGGGTCTTCGCCTGCGTCGGTCCAGGGTCTGCCACATGGCCAATCTGATCGCTTACTATGGTTCTCCGCTGATGGTCCTCGGAGGGGCATCGCGCTCGCCGTCCTCTTTCTTTTCTCCGTCATCGTCTATCCCCTCCTCGGACCCCCGCTCCCCGTTCCACCGTCACCCCAACCATGGACGGGGACGGTGCAACTGCGTCGACCGCGCGCATACAGGCGTACCACGATGCAGTCGACCAGTACCTCCTCCAGGCCATTCTATCCTCGGTATTGTGCGGTGAGCGCGTCCCTTTATCCACCCGTACTTCTGGTCTCGAACGCACACAGCCGTCTCTTTCGTGCTCTCCATCGTCTCCCTCGGCGTGTTGTAGTACGTGCGATACGTGCTGTGCCTTGCACATGTAGCACTGACTTGAAACGGCCGCAGCAAGCGCGGGATCAAACAGCGCTCCGTTCAAGTCCTTCTCGTCGCTACCACGGTCATGACGGTCTCGACGATCCTCTTTTACGCATCGGCGGTCACCACCTGCTTCATAATGAACAAGGTCCTCGCCACGCAGCTTGCCGGTGCTTCAGTCGACTCCGACGAAGCCGCCTCTCTCACCCACACCTTGTACACCATCTCCATGATCAGCACGAACGCCCTCCTCATCAACGTGAGCGCGCGACACCTCTCCAGGATGCCGGGAACACGCGCTGATCACGCATATCTCAGGTCACCGTGGGCGACGCGGTCGTCGTCTGGCGGGCAGTCGCGCTCTGCAACTACAACAAGATCCTTCGTCTGGGCGGAATGGTTATGGTCGCGGCTATAGGAGGTCCGTCTCCATCTCCGCCTCTCTTTCTCACGCTTGCGCATATCATCGCCCCCCTTCCTGTGCAGTGCTCGGGTTAATTGGTACGGTGTGGGCCGCCCCCGGCAATTTGTGGATCATCAAAGTGACCGTCGACCCTGCGTTGCGACTGCAACCCGTCTCCGGCTGGAAACCCGACACCCCTGCGTTCGTGTCCCTGATGCTAACGCTGGTCACGAACGTCATCGCGACGGCGCTGATAACATACAAGGCATGGTGAGCCGCACCCTATGATTCTCTACCCGTTTGGTGCTGAAGCCTCGGCGCAGGGTGCACTGGCGGACGATCTTGCGGAGCTTGTCGGGGTGCGGCGGCGTCCTGCCGCGCGCGCTGCATTGCCTGGTTCTCCTCATAGAGACGGGGGTCGTGTACTCGTTGCTCTGGGTACGTCCCCCGGCTCCCCTCTACGCTCGCTCACGCTCACACTCACGTCGCACGCTGTCGCAGGTGTACATCGTCGTCGTCTACTACACCGTGGTTCTGACGCCGAGCATAAACTCCTCCAAGTTCGAGGTCTCCGGAGCGGTGTTTATGACGTCGTGCTTGACGCCGATCGTGGTGCGTCGTATCTTCGTTCGCGTGCGTCGCCCCGACTCTGACCTCGGACGGACGGCGGCGCGCAGGCGATATACCCCATGGCGATCATCGTGATCTTCGCGATGAACCAGTCGCCGCTGGAGGAGCTCACGGTGTTGACCACGATTCCGTTCGACACGGGCATGACGATGTCCATGTCCGTCTTCCACGGGGAGGATGCTGTGTTCCCGGATGGCCACGGCAAGGCCGAAACGACCGACTAGAGCACCTCATAACAACATCGGTGCGTTTCGCCCTCTGATGAGGCTTTCATGCGCTGTTTCGCTGACTCGATTCGATAGCAGGACCAGGGTAGACGTGCACCGAACACAGAAGCGCTCATGGGGCTCGCGCGTGGGCTCGCTTCATGGGCGCGCGCGCCCCCCTGGGAATACATGGGCAGCGTGTGCCCCGTTCTTCACGACGCACGCACGCCTGAAGCGTTCGCGCACGATGCGTCACAGCGTCACCGGCTGGACGACCAGAGATACGCTCGGGAGCGCCGTGCAGCCTTCCGCGGGACGTACGTCGCCGCTTTGTCGCACTCTTTTTTCACCGTGCGTTCGTTCTGCTCTTCACTTGCTATTCACACCATGCCATTCCGCGCTGGCGACGCTGTACAGTTGTTTCGTTCGTAATGGGGGGTCTGGATTGGAGTCTCATCGAGTTTGGAGTGTACCCCGCGCCTCGTCTGGATGCTGGAGCGCGTCCGCCACGCACAGCGCTCGCGCAAGTGGTGCCACTGGGGATGAGGGTTGAGGAAATGGCCCAGGACTCCCATCAGTCGTAGGTAAGTCGGTCACGCATCAGAGTCTTTCTAGGGTTCGACTTGTTCTTCCCTCGTAACATGGGGGACGCACCTGGGCGGGGTGCATCCGCCGCAACCGGTATGACCTGCGCGAGTGCTAGTACTCACGCCCACATTTTTGGCGGGGAAACTTGTCTATATTTAGCTGCGCCCGCCGCGTGCACAGTCGCGGACGCCAACTCAGTCCGCGGGTCGCACCTGAACGAGTGTCGGTTCTGCGACGACTTCTCACTCTACTACAGAGTGTCTACCCAGCCCGGTTAAAATATAGACGAGCGAAGCTATGAATAATAGGAACTTCTGTCTTAGAACCGACTTCCCAGTGCCTGCGAGCGCTAGCGATCCCGCGCATGATCAAGCAAGCCGTACGTGTGACGCCGGGACTGTCACGGCGCCTCAGTTGAGGAGACGTGCGTGACATGCCGTCGTCAAACTTTCTTCCCAACTCTCATCCGCTGCGTAGAACCTCCCCAAATTATCGTTCCACGGCCCTCCATCCCCGTGGGATCTGAGAGTCGTGCACGATCCGCTTACAGCTGCAACGTCTCTTGCATCCGACAGGGAAAAACGACGCATATACCCACCTTCCTGCCGTTCTACGCCTAGGCTGACAGACAAAGATGCCGGTTGGCGCTTCAACGCTCCCCCTTCTGCGCGAATGAGAGCTCTGTTTCTCGCATCGAAGCCGAGGGAGGTCGGATCCGCAACGAAGGGCTGTTCCTCGTGGGCAGAGGGCTGCCGACAGAACATTGTGCGTCGTCTTTGCTTTTCTGCGGTCTTCTCCCTTCTCCTTTCCACACGCCCATCCCAGTGCGTGCAACTCCGCGACTTCCTTTGAAATCGCTGTGCCCCTGGACTAAATGTGATGATGGAGGGCACGGGAGAGGGGCGGTGTTGCCCCCCGTGCCGGCCGGCATGTTTCGCCTTTTCCGTCTTCGAATTCCCTTGATGCACCCGCGACACGGCCATCTCCTGAGCTATCATCTTCTGGTCGTATGCGGCGATTGCGAGGGCACGGGCCCTTTCCCATTGCTGCCGTTAACTTTGTCTGCTCTGCCAAGTCTTCGGGACCCTAGCCGAGCGTGATATCAAGAGGCAGCCCACGTCGGCACAGACGCCCTCTTCTCTCCCAGAGACCGCCACCCGTCACCTGTGGACTAACGTGCGCGTAGGTCTCGCTCTCTCGCCGCCATGCCTGCAAGCACAGCGTCCTACGCGAACCCCGACGCATTATCGCTACTAGGCACCGCAACAGGGGTTCTAAACACGCAGACGGTGGTCACAAACGTGCTCGTCACTTTCCTTTATGGTACGCTGCTTCTGCTTGGGATCCACCCTTTTCGCTTACTCGTTCTTTCGCTAGGTGTTGTAACAATATTATCTGCCGTGTGCTTATACCTGCTTCGGTGCGTGTTTGCTTTACTTTGCACATGCGAGTAGGCTCATTGCATGTGCATCTACCTAGTCGCAAAGGCTTCAAGCAGCGCTCCACTAAGTTTCTCTTCGGCGCCACCATACTGCTGTACATTTCGACGTCCTTCCACTGGGCGACCAACGTCGCCTACATGCTCTCCTTCAACCATCTCGTCGCCTCCGCTGCGGCCGATGTCGGTGTCCCCACCTTCTCCATCCGCTCCATGATGCTTCTCCAGAACATCCAACGACATGCGACACCCACTGCGCTCACCGTCAACGTACGTCCCTACGCCTCTGCCTGGAGACCAACCGCGCACTGACATCTAGGCAGATGTTCGTCGGAGATGTGATCGTGTGGTGGCGTGCGCTCGTCGTCTGGCCGGGGCAGAAGATGGTCCGCTGCTTCTGCGGCATATGTCTGCTCGTCGCCACCCTCGGTGCGTCTGCACGCCCTACAGCTCCTGCCTGGTGGCTGTTCCCGCTGACCCGCGCTTCTCCAACAGGCCTTACATTCATGTCAATCATCTCCGCGTCCGTGAATGATGTCGAAATGACGCCAAATAGCGTGGATATGGTCTCAAGCTTCTTCTCGGGTCTTTTTGGTGCACTCTCTGCGCTCCTCACGCTCACCACCAACTTTGCCGCGACGGCGATGATTGGATACAAAACCTTGTGCGTCTCCTGTCATTCATCCAGCCTCCGAGCAACGTGTTTAATCAGTCGCAGGCAGCACCGCAGCTTCCTCAAGCGCTCCCTCGGGCGGCGCGCGCGGAACACGCAAGTACTCAAGGTCATGATCCTGCTCGTCGAGTCCGGCGCTATCTACTGCGGGATGTGGATATTCGTTGTCGTCTACGCCTTCATGCAGACGTTCGGCGGCGTCGACCTCCAGAAGTCCGCGTCTGGATGGTACACCCTGTCGTACTACCTCACCAACGGCTGCCTGATCCCACTGGTGGTGAGTCGCCGCCTTCTTCGCTTCTGCGTGCCCATCTTTCTGCGCCGCTCTGCACCAGTGATACTCGCCCGCCGAGTCGCGATGTGGCAGACCGGTTCTCGTTGTCCCCTTGCTTACGATCGCTGATTCAACGTTGTCTGGCAGGCGATCTATCCAATGGTCATCATGATCCTCGTCTCGCTCAACAAGTCCCAAGTGTCGACGGTTGTTAGCGCGCCTCGTTTCGACAGGAGCAACTCGGGCACGGCGCGCGCGAGTGCGACCATCCACCTCAAGCCCATGTCCTCGTCGTCGGCAACGACGAAGAGTGCAGATACCTTGGTGGTGTAGCCACGGCATCGGTCGAAGTTGTCGGCCCAGTAGCTTCCCTGGGCTATGTATTTGAGATGTAACCTGAGAAGGAGACGGCGACGACGCTCGTGCTTCCACGCTTACTTTCGCCCATCTCTACTCAGTACTCGGGAGGTGCTCATTGCCTGTATGGGGAGCCGGTTCTTCCTGTCGAGAGGGAAGCTGATTTCTCCTGTGCAGGCTCGTGCAGACGACGGCAATGGCCCGGCAAACAGTCGTGCCTGCGGATGCGGTCTCGTCTGGTTGCGATCCCAGTCCTGGGAAGTGAATGCTTGAACTATCTCTTTCCGTACAACAAAATCACACGTCCAGACCATGCAAGATCATGCGGACCAAGAAGAGAGTTGCAATGGAAGGATAGAATGCGGAGAACAGAAGATCGTTTGACGGACGCCCAACATCCGAGGCGCCGTTCCCACCGGGGCGGGAAGGGCCAGTGCCCTTCGCGATTGGTGAACTTTGAAGAGGCCGCCGCTGTGAGTTCTTTGCTATCGCGCGCAGTGTACACTCGTGTCTGACGGTGTTCCGTAGGTTCTACGCTCGCGAACCCAAGACTGCGGAGATGGTGCGGTGCAGAGTTGAAGGCACGGAGATAACAGCGCGCGTTTGTGCATGCGTCGCGGCCGCCAGGCTCTACGACCTGGTATGGCGTGCGCATGTATCGTTTCGTGCTGTACGTGAAGCCGACCCGCGTTCCAGGCTTCACCGACGCAGCGGGAAAGCCCACTCGGAGTCTGTCTGGCTTCTAGGGGGAGCATCGCCCCCACATCGCCCCCGCGCAGATCATTCATACTGGAACGCGACCATGACTCTCGCCGCCACGCCTCTCCGCCCTCCTACCCTCACCTTTCTACGAAGCTCGCCTGCACGCACCCCTGAGCGCCATGTCAAGCCAGCAGATAAACATGGACGCGCTGGCCGAGTTCGACGCGTTCGCCGGATTCCTTCTCAGCGCCCCCATCAGCCTCCTCTTGTCCACCCTCCTCCTCGGTTCGTCCTTGCCCCTCACACGCGCACACACTCAGCCCTAGACTGACTCGGCGCCCAGGCATCCTTACCCTCCTTGTGGCCTCGGCCTCATTGTCTGTATAGTGCGTCCTCCCTTTGCCCAGGCTTTGCGCACGCCCGCTGATCGGATCTACATAGCCGTGCTCCGCGCACGCTCGAGTCGCTGCTCCAGCTCGTCACCCTGCTTGCCCTTCTCGCCTCCACCGTCTCCTACTTTGCGTACACCCTTCGCTATGTCCTCGCCTACACGACGTTCATGGGCGCCACCGCCGTGGCTGCCACTGCGGGTACCGCCTCCGATTCGCTCAGCGCCGCGTCGGTGCTCCTGGCAGGCAAACGGTGGTGGGCGGCGCTCAGCTCGGTCACCGTCGTCAACGGTGTAATCGGGAACGCGGTCGGGTGGTGGCGGACGCACGAGGCATGGCGGGGCTCGCGGTGCGTGAGGTACGTCGGTGCGGGGTCGTTGGCTGTCATGGTCGGTGAGCACCAGTACATCCGCACACCGTCGCGAGCACGGTATCTGACGTATTGACACGTGCAGCACTTGGCGCTGCCTCTGCGGCACTCGCGCGGGCCAACCCCGACGAGAGCGCGCCCATCGTCCCCGGGGGCGCCGCGTTCCGGCTCCGCGTCGCGTTCGCGGTCTTCGCACTGTGCTCGAGCGGGACCGCGGCGGCGCTCTCGGCGATGAAGATCGCGGAGGAGCGGGAGCGGCTCGCGCGCGCGGTCGCGAAGCCGTGGATGATGCACCGCGCGGCCATCGTGGGCTCGCTGGTGCTCGAGTCTGGCGTGCTCTACTGTGGGCTCTGGGTGCGTGCGTTTCTATCCAGACGACGGGCGGTGATCTGAAGCGCAGGTGGCTTTCAGGCGATCGTGCTCGGCTACAGCTCAAGCGTCCAAGGCACTAGCAGCGCGTCCGCGCTCAACTCCGTGCTCTACCTCGCCGGGCTCGCCGTCCCGCTCCTGGTACGTTCTTGCCCTCGTCTCGATGCTGCGTGCACTCATCCCTGCGCGCACCAGGCGATCCACCCTGCACTGGTCATCTTCCTCGCCGCCGCCGACGTCTCGTACCTCTCTCGGCGCGCGATGGAGGCCGCGGTCTTCGGTTCCATGCGCGATCCGACGCGGCGGCCGCTCGACAGTCTCGTGTTCGTGCGCTCACAGAAGAGCACCATGCCGGTCGATTCTACCGCATCACGGCTCAGTCGGGTCGAAGAGTCGGAAGGGGGCACGGCGTCGGGGGCGGACAGCAAGACGAACGTCGGGGAAGAGCTGCAGTGATCGAGGACGGGAGAATGTTATGACTTACTGTAAGTACCAGTGGACTCTGCTTGCTACTCTCCTCTCGCGATGCGCTGTGCGCGCCAAATCGGCTTGAGCAGACCGCGCGCACGTCCGGCCGGTAAGGACGAACTCGCGTGGCCGAATCGCACTTTGATCCACAGACCCGTACGTTGGTGCTTCTCTTGTGCTCTTCGTTCCCGGATCGCGCGCGCCGCAAAGTATTCGGTGCGTCCTGCAACCTGCGCTGTATGTTTTGTGAAGTGCAAGCTTCTCAGCCTCTTCCATAGTCTCGCGGAAGCATGTTTTGGCGTCGCGATCTATGTCGCGTTCGTCCCCATGCGGCGACCTTCCCGAAAGGGGGGCGCCGTTGGATATGCTCTTCGCTTCCCAACGAAGTGCCTCACCCCGATATCGCGCGGTAAGTTCGAGTCGTTCTCGTGATGTGCGCTCCTTGCGCGAACTCGATGGGGTCGGGAACTCTGCATAAGGTCTGTGCCAGCCGCCGTGGCTTTGTCGTCAGCTGTCCGCTTGCCCGTTTGCCTCGTGGAGCCGTCATTATCGGCGACGAAGCTGGAATCGCCGCGCGACGGTTGATGTCACTCGGCCTGGACGGTCCGGACTCCGACGACGTCGCTTGCACAGCCCCCGCGCCTTTGGGAGGCAAGTTTCCGACTGGTCCTTGTTCTCCCAAAGGTGTTTCCTCTCTCCCAATGGCACCTTCATTTACCGCCTCACACCGCCTCTGCAGCTCGGCGCTCAGCAGCATTCCACCAGCCTGCGGGAGTGGTGGGTCCGGTGGCGTTTGCTAGGCGAACTGATGCCATCGCTCATCCGAGGCCGCACACATAGCCGCCGCACTATGCCGGGTGTGTCGTCTCCGGGCACAACATCGGGATAAGTGCGACCTCCTTTCCTCCCGCGTCCCCCAGATCATCAATCATCCCTGCACAATGTCGCTGCTCGCTGCGATCGTGGCGAACGACCTGTCCGGCTCAGTTCGAAGCTTGTACTTGTTCGTGCTGCCGCTGTATGTCATGGCGGTGGTGTCCTCGGCCCTGTTCGGTGCGCGCGTCATCTTGTATTCGCAAAGACGTGGCAGACGCTGACGCTTCTCTAGGGTTTACGACCGCGGTGGCGCTATGGTGCATTTACACTCTCGTGTAAGGATCATCTCGTTCCGGCCAAATTTTCCTCGTTAACATGCTTTTCAGAAACCGAGGCTTCAAGGAGCGATCGATTCAGATCCTCCTTCTCACCACCTGCGCACTGTACGGATCGACACTTGGGTTCTTCGTCTGCGCGACTGTCTACGTCTTCATGGTCAACCACCTCGACTTCGCGGTCACGAACGACCTCGTCCGCTGCAACCCGTTCCAGAGCACATGCGCTAACTCGCCCAACCATTCCGACCTCTCCAGCATCGTGTACAAGATGGGGCTCGCGATGACCGCGACGCTCATGATCAATGTATGCCTCGCCCGTTCTACGTCGGCCTGGCCCTCACGTCTCCCGCCGGGATAGATCACGATCAGCGACTGCATCGTCTGGTGGCGCGCGCTCGCCGTCTGGGGGTACAACCGCATCGTGCTCGCCGTCGGCGCCGTCCTCATCGTCTCCACCTTCGGTGCGTCCCCTCGCTCCTCCGTCTCACGAGACGAGAGCCCGGCTAACGTTCGGTTCGGCCTCTTGCAGCGCTCGCGGTCACCAGCACCGCGCACTCGACCCCCGTCCTCCTGAAGGCGGGGCAGGTGGAGACGTACGTGCAGTACACGACGTTCTTCGTGGGCGACACCGCGGGGCTCGCCGCCGTCGTCCTCTCGCTGGTGACGAACGTGCTCGCGACGGCGCTGCTCTCGTATAAGGCGTGGTACGCAGGCGCGTGCGGAGGTCCAGAATGCACGCTGACGCTGCGCCCAGGGAGCACTGGCTGCTCGTGAAGGACTACATGGCGGAGATGTACTCGACGCAGAGCGCGCTCGGGGCGCTGATGCTACTGGTGGAATCCGGGGGCGCGTACTGCATCGTCTGGGTACGTCCGTCCCTTCGCGTGCCACGAACAGTGCTGACGACATGGCGCGACGACAGATGCTGATCGTCATCGTGTACGGCGCGCTGCACGCGCGCGCGACGGAGCTCACCCCCAGCGCCGTCAGCGCGATCTACATCCTGCTCTTCTTCGTGCAGTCGAGCCTCGTGCCCGTAATCGTGCGTCCTCTTCCCGCTCCCTGCGCGCGACGCGGCCTGACTCTGGTTTTGCAGGCGCTGTATCCGATGGTCTTGATCATCATCTTCGCCATCCGACGGTCGGCGGTCGACAAGGTCCGGGGGCGCGCGCTGAACACGTCGCTCACTATATGAGTCGAGGGAGCCGGGCGCGCATTATGTTGCCCACGAGTCTGTATGTGTATCCATGCTCGAAAAGTATTTTAGTCTCGCCGCGAAATAGCCACGAGCCCGTCTCGAACGCCGCGCGACAGCGTGAGTATGACGTCAATGGCAGCTGCCGCGCCACGCGTCCCGACGGCCGATGCTCGCAGCAGGTACTTACGTACACGGCCTCGTACCTCCGCTCAAGTCAAAAACAACCTCGAGTATGTACGTCCTCTCCTTCCGATCTCTTCGGCACAGTGCACCAGATGGAGTTGGGGAAGATCGTTACACTCATAAACTGCTTATGCATTGCGCGGCTCCAGATCACAGACTGCATCGTCCAATGGTCCTTGCTCCTCGCTATCCGGCACTACCACCGCGTCGTTCTTGCCATCTGAGACGTCCGTGTCCGAACCATGACCCTCGGTGCGCCCGTACTTTCTTTGATCTGTACCCTCGGAGTTCACGCTGCTCTTTGTGCCCTGATCTCGCAGCGTAAGCACCTCGTACGAGACGTCTGTCAGCTGAACCCGACGCGAGGCCGCGAGGACGTGCTGGCGCTCCGGTCGTGTTTCCTCGAGGTCCGTTGTCAATTTCACTCCTCCCGTATGTATTGAGCGACTTATTTTTAGACTGACACCCGGTGCTCCGAGGCCAGTACTCACACTACCGAGGAACGCCGCACGACCCAGTTGAAAAGTCAAGCGGCAGGGCCCGCCCGTATGTGTTCCGCCCGCATGCCATGGCGGTCACTGGTTCCGCACGAACACGGTTACAAGATGCGGCGTCGCGATTCGCCTGCCTGAGAGCGCCTGCCTCTCTGAACAGCATTGCCGTGCTGTACACGTGCCCCAGGCGTAAACTCGCACCAAGGGATAGGAAAGTTTCGGGCGCTGTCGCCGTCCGTTCGAAGCCGGGCACCGGGGGTGTCGAAGCGCGCAGGAAAGTCTCCGATGCTCAAGCGCTTGTCGCCCTCATCTGTCATGCGAACCCAAAAATCCCGCCACCGACGGAGGTCGCACACCGCATGCTGTCATTCATATAAACCAGGTATGTTGACCGTGCGCTCGCTGTTGCCTTGTGCCACTCACGACAGGTCTCAGTATGATGAGGTACGAACTTTCTGTCGCCGATGGTAAAGCTTTGGAGGATGGCCTTTTGATTTGTCTTCTAGTATCTTCTACGCTTTTTGGTGCGTACTTGCGTGTGATCTGCAGCCTTCACATCTAATGGCATCGCAGGCGCCGCGACCGTCATCACTGTGATGGCGATTTATACGCTGCTGTGAGACACACCACTTGATATCCACGACGGCTGAGCTTAACTGATGAACGTAGTCGACGCGGCTTTCAGAACCGTCCGGTCAAAATCCTTCTCGCGGCGACGTCCTTGCTGTACACCTCTACGTGCATCCACTTCGTCTGCTGGATCAGCGCACTGTTTCAAAGCAGCCACTATATTGTGCCCCGGATCAACTTCTCAGGACCGTCTCCAGACTCACAAGATGCGGGCGAATTTCCCGCATCTATGAACGCCATGTTTGTGGCCACTATTGCTTCGCTAGCCGTCAATGTGAGCGCGCTTCTTCGTCCCTTTCCCAGAGCCTGCAGTAACGCTGCGGTCACAGATGACGGTCAGCGACTCCATCGTCTGGTGGAGGGTTCTCGCCGTCTGGGACTACCAGAGGCCAGTGTGGGCCGTCGGCGCTGTCTTGGTCGTCGCTACCTTTGGTGAGCGGCTCAGGCCTCCGTGGTGACGAGTCCAGGTCGAGCTCATCGGCGGCCATTCAGTCACCGGACTCCTCTCAACCACACATAGTATCGTGACGACGTGCGGCGACATCGTTCAGCCCATCGTTATCGGGTTTATTTCCGGGACAGCCGCCGTCTTCTTGACGATGGCGACGAACCTGGCAGCCACGTCGCTCATCGCGTTCAAAGCTTGGTGAGCGCGGGCTCGCATTCTTCGACGTAGACGTCGTTCACACCCCCACTCGCCCCCAGGCAACATCGTGCGTTCGTCAGCCACCTCATCGCCGGCACGGGCGGACGTTCGCGTGCGCTCGGCGCGCTCATGCTGCTCGCCGAGTGCGGGGTCGTGTACAGCGCGCTGTGGGTGAGTGCGCTCGTCTCCTGGCAACCCCCTGTCACGACGTCGACGGCGCGTCCAGCTCTCCATCGGCGTCGTCTACGCGATCCTGCTCGCGCAGGTCTCGGCCGGGGTCGACTTTTTTTCTCCGAGCCGGTCCGCGCCGCTCTACTTCTCGACCAACGTCTTCGTCCAGTCTTGCCTCCCTCCTCTCGTGGTGCGTGCTCTCCGATTCATCGCGCGCGCCGATTGGCTGATCGCGGCGGTCGGCAGGCCATGTATCCGATGTCGATCGTGGTCCTCTTCACGATGAAGCGCTCGGTGCTCGAACAGGCCGGAGACCACGCGTCCATGAGGCTGAACAGCATCAGCTCGGAGTACGGGATAAACCCCGCGAAGAGCGAACTCAGGGCCGCAGAAACAGGGAGGATCTCAGCGACAGAGGACGCGTCGTTGCCGCAAACGCGCATCGGTTCGGTCTCGGACAAAGCGTCGTCATATTCCAATCCTTGCTAATATATGAAGCGTTTCACAAACTCGTTGCACCTCGGGCACACTGGTCGGAGTCGGCGCCTCCGTGGCCGGACGCGTGTTCTCCGAAGGCGGATGCATGAGAGCTCTTGCTGTTGTTCACGATGCTACGTGTGGAGTTGACCTTGGACAAGTCTGCACACCGATGCTCTGCGGGCATGCCGCGCCAGACAAACCATGGATCAGCACGCGTATAGGATATTCCCGCTCGTCGCGACGAGCCGAGAGTAGGGTGCCCACGGTGATAGTACTGCCAGGCTGGAAGCGGGGAGACTACGTACTCCGCGGATTTTGATGACGTCATAAAGATTATTGGGCTGGCGACGACTCACTCAGGCCGCACCTGGCGAGGTCAACGCAGGTTCTTACTTGCAACCACATACGCACCTCGTTGGAACACAGTCCTCTGGAGATGTAGAACGTCGCCCTGAAGCTGACCTAGCGTCGCTCACAACCGAAATTACTAATTTACGGCAACAGTTCTCAGCCTACAAATGTGCGGACAAGATTGCACGCACATCGCGTGGATCCTGCTCCCTCAGTGGAGTCGGAATTTTCTTCCTATAAGTTCGTTGTGTACTCCGAGAGCCTCTGCCAGACGCATATAGGGACAAACCTGACACAGTCTGATGACTAAGCCCCTCGCGATACGCGCCGACGAGCTGATACCTCATCCGCAGTGTTCGAGTCGCTCTTCCTCCACTCTCCTCACTGGCCTTCCCCATACTCGCCCGCATCCGATGGACTACAACAAGCGCGAAGTTGCGGAGCGCTACAAGTCCGCAGAGCCGATCACTGTGCCCTACGCCGCGCACCTCGTCGCGCAGAGCGGGCTCGACCGTGCGGACGGCACCACCGACCTCGTCGTGCTCGACAACGGCTGCGGCGCCGGCGTCGCCACGCACACCCTCTTCGCGCGTATCCCGCCGCCGGCGCGCTCACGGCTCCGGGTCGTGTGCGGGGACATCTCCCAGCCGATGATCGAGGCCGTCGAGGCGCGGATCGAGGTCGAGGGGTGGACGGACGTGAGCGCGTGTGTCTCTCCCTCCCCGCTCTTGCGTTTCCGTGCGGGCTCCCGACGTTGCTACGCGCGAGGGCAGAAATTGAACTTGCCGGACGAGACGTTCACGCACGTGCTCACGAACTTCGCCGCGTTCCACCTCCCTGCGCCGCGCGCGGCCCTGAGCGAGGCCCTCCACGTGCTGCGCCCCGGCGGCGTGCACGCGTTCACGGTGTGGAAGACGATCGGGTGGTACACGCTCGCGGCGCGCGCGGTCGCGCGGATCCCGGACGCGCCGGCGAGGTTCGTCGCGAACAGCATGAAGATAGCCGAGGACGGGCTGCAGTGGGCGGAGCCGGCGTTCTTCGAGGCGCGGGTGCGAGAGGCGGGGTACAAGGGCGTGGAAGTGGTGCTGAGGGGGAACGTGTGGCGGGTCGGGGGCGTGGAGGAGTGCATGGGCGTGTGCGGGAAGCTGGCGGTGGGGGCGTTCGAGGACTGGACGGAGGAGCAGCGAGAGTACGTGAGCGAGCGGTACGGCAAGGCGTTGAGGGCGGTGCTGGTGGAGGAGTTCGGAGATGGGGAGGTGGTGACCACCTGGGAGGCCTACTGTGTTACCGCGAGGAAAGAGTGAGACTTATGTCAGCCGTCCACGGAGCTCGCTCCCGAAGCTCCAACTCGGAGGCGGCCCGAGATCTAAGCGCCGACCGTCGAGAGGACCACCGCGGACAGAGTACCCTGGTTGCATCTTCTCCTTGAATCGAGACGGTCGTACTGACACTTCGTGAACGCTTAGCAAGCAATACTCCTAGAAACATGGCCAAAGTCGATGCAAGTATAAAGACAGGAGCACTTCGCCTCCTTGCCCCATCACCAATCGTCCACCTCGCCCGTACTCCTACTCTCAACCCCGCATCCTACACCCAAACCCGCACCGCCATGGACTGGAAGAACGCGCAAGTCGCCGAACGCTACAAGCCCGGCGAGGCCATGACCGGCCCCTTCGCCGCGCACCTCATCGACCTCTCCGGTCTCTCCACGGCAGACGGCTCCTCCGACCTCGTCGTGCTCGACAACGCGTGCGGCACCGGCATCGTCACGCTCCAACTCCACGAGCACGTCCCCGCCGCGGCGCGCGCGCGCATGTCCGTCGTCTCCGCCGACTTCTCCCCGCCCATGGTCGAGAGCGTCGCGGCGCGCATCACCGAGAACGGCTGGGCGGGCGCCACCGCGCAGGTCGTCGATGCGCAGGTAGGCCGACCCCTATTTACAGCACGAGCCCGAGAGCTGACCGCGCGCCCACCACAGAGCCTGAGCGCGACGCTGCCGACGGCCCACTTCACGCACGTCCTCACCAACTTCGCCGCCTGCCACCTCCCCGACCCGCGCGCCGGCCTCCGCGAGGCCTTCCGCGTCCTCCGCCCCGGGGGCACCATGGCGTTCACCGCGTGGAAGGCGGTCGGCTGGTACCCGCACACCGCGCGCGCGCTCGCGCTCATCCCCGGGGCGCCCGCGCTCCCGCCCTTCGCGGACTTCGTGGGCTCGATGGTCACCGCGACCGCGTCCGGCGAGGAGGAGAAGAGGAGGTGGGTGGACCCGGCGTTCTTCGAGGCGCGCGTGCGCGAGGCCGGGTTCGCGGAGGTGGAGACGGTGCTGAGGGAGAACGTGACGCGGACGGCGGGGGCGGCGGAGCACGCGAAGGCGTATGCGGAGATCACGAAGCGGATGCTGAGCACGGTGTGGGGGGACAGGGTGGACGAGTTCGGGGCGCAGTTTGAGGGGGCGTTGGAGCGCGCGGTGAGGGAGGAGGTCGGTGACGGGGAGGTCGTGTTGAAGTGGGAGGCGTACTGCGTGATCGCAAAGAAGGCGTAGGGCGTGTTCGGAAGGTCCACGTATACTTAAGTCGCTGTCACTTCATCTCACCGGTCCCCCACGTTCCGGAAGAACACGTCTCCTCCCGTAGTCCCGAATCCAGCCACCGAACCGTCTCGGGACAGCGCACATTTCCGCACAAAACGTCCATCCTCGTGTCCGACCGCTTTGCGCAGCGTCCCGTCCTCGAGCCTCCAGAGCCACCACTCGGGTCGCTGCTGGAGCCACGGCTCCAACCTTTCGTCTCCTATTGCCACAACTTGGCCGTCTCCCGAGAGCACCCCGATTGTGAGGACGCCACTGAAGAGGGAGGGGTAGTGGCCGCAGTCGAGGGAGGCGATCGTCGCGCCGGTGAGCGTGTCCACGACGAGGAAATACGGAGTGCCCTTCGCGCCGAGGAATAACACGCGCATCCCGTCGGAGGAGAAGGACGCATCTTGGATGGATTGAAGGTCGGCCGGGAGTCCCGCAGGTCGGATGGTCGTCACTCCGTCGGGCGAGCCCACCGCAGCGGTGAGCAGAGTGCCGTTTCTGCATATCGTGACGACGTGAGGGGGGTGTTCGAGTTCGGGACTTGAGTGCTGGCGGATGGCGGTCGCGTAGAACTGCGTGTCGGTCCCTGAGATTGCACTATCGTGGTATCCGAGGAAGTGGGATTCGCAGGAACCATCGGCGAGTGTCCAGACATAGATCGGATTGCTTTGCGTGGAGGAGGAGGACAGCGCGACATTGGAGAGGAGGTATCGTTCGTCCGCCGACAGTGCCAAAATGCCTGGACGCCGAATGTAGTCCAAGCCTTCGGGAACATGCTCGCCAGAAGTTGCCGTGTAGATAGGCGGGGGAGAGAGGGTACGGAGGTGCGTGAATGCTAGAGCGTCGTAAATGTGGATCTTCGCCGCCACATCTTGAGCGAATATCTGGCTGCCGTCACGGGACCAACACAGTCTCATAACCAGGACATCCAGATGAAGGTCGATGCGCCCAACGGGTTGAGAATGATCTGTAGGACTTGTCGAGGCAGTCTCGACCGGAAGAGGAAAGACGGTTATGTCGTGGAGCGATGCGATGGCCCAGTGCGTCTCAGTCGGACAGAAGGCGAAAGGAGATGGTGAAGCTGGGTAACTTAAGGGCGAATCTGCGAGGCAGTACCAGTGGGAGGGGTGGGATTTTCCGGTTTGACTGTCCCACACGATGCATTCGGACACCGTAGTATTGCTCGGCTCCCAGGTGGGATTCCACAAGGTGCTTGCTGCCCATCTTCCACTTGGAGAAAGCACAACTCGATCCGGCTCTCGAATATGCCCGTACTCTGAAATGCGCTCCGCCGCGCCGGCTAGTATGAGCGACACAGACAGGGATCAGCTTGCGTGCGCATTTTCTCAGAGGATGAATACGTACTCGAGTAGTCTGGGGGAGCGATATGCAACAGCCCTCTTTCTAGCAACGGCGAGAAGACAATTTCTAGCAAGGCTGTCCAGCGAGGCATCTGGTTCCGCCTTGGCCTCTGTATGACACACGTGAGGCCTGTCGATCGGAGGCCGGGGTGTTGCAATATCACCTGAGTCAACTGCTGTATGATGGTCATCTGTTCTTGCGTTAAATGAGCGCTGTCCCAGTACACTTCAAAGCTCCGGAATATCAACGTCAAGGAAAGCAGTGAATTCGGAAGTTTGAGAAAGGCTTTGTGAAGTTCGAAGCTGGTGGTATGGGTGAATTCGTGCAGAATAGATAGATGCCTCAATTTTGTGAAAAGAGGAATCTCGAAACCTAGTACGAAGGCGCAGAAGTTAGCCGACTACACGTCAACTAAGCAGAAAGGACCCGCCAGACTCCACGATGGTGTGACTGCTTAGCGTTATATCTACTAGGGACTCCTTGTTGGAAATCAACAGCGCAGTACACTCTAGCTGAGATGCAAAGCTCTTAAAACCTCGGGATCAGCTACGAGTCGGGCTCAGGCTAAAAGACGCGCACATCATCCAGATGTAGCGCTTGCAGGCCCCGTCGACCCGTGTGGGGCGTGAGGAGGGATATATTTGGGACTGGTTCCAGATAACCCAGAAAATCCGTCCGGACATCCTGCAGCGCAGAAAAGGCATTCACAAGGCGATAGAAGTGCAGAGCGTTCTTGAATTTGCAGTCCCGCAGGACGAGCTTTGTCACACAACGATATTGTCGCAAACAAGCAAGGATCGCCGGGGACGTCGGAAAAAGAGGATAGTAATGATCAGGGACCCCCCCGTAGAGCTCCCATGCGCTGATGTGGCCTAAATGGGGAAGAAGAAGTACAATGGCGACGATCGGGAGAGTTTTTGGCGGGTCGACATCCGAGCCCAGTGAAGCCTCCAGGCGGACGATCTGGACGATCGAGCGCAGAAAGGTGTCGCGCGCAAGGGTGTTGCAGATCGTGGGTAGATGCTCGCCTCTGGAGATGATGAGCCTGTGCCAAAGGCGGTAGCGGCTTCGGGGAGACCATGACTTGCACACCCGGACGCAGCGCGCGAGGGTCCCGGAGTCTTCGTGGGCCGCCACGGTGTCGATGACCGCTTCAGCAACATCGATGGGGATGCGTGGAGAGCTCATGGGGATGTTTGACTGGGCTTGGAGAGCGCGATGCCAGTTGCCGGCTGTCTGGAGAGGTGAAAACAGTGGTAGGACAGGAGAGGCTTATCAGCGCTAGCGCTTGTTGATCATCGATCAGGCCTCATCGCGTTGCACGTGTGCACTGTCACTGCTCCCTTCTCCTCCGCCCCCTGTCCCCGTAATCCTCGCAAGTATCCACCATCCTCCCCGAAGACACTGTAGTGCGGACAGCCTCTTAAGCCCTACCTTCGTAGACAATATGCCGCGTCCCACCACCCCCCTCAATAACGATGGGCTCAAAATCTCTGTGCGTCTTGACGGGCGCTCCATGCTGAAGATGCGCCCGCCCACCCTTAGCTTTGCCCCAAAACTCGGTGTGATGGGCACAACGCGGTGAGTATGAGCTTTCCCCCACCTCGCGCTTCGCACCAACACCCCGATCCAAGCTCCCCTCGTCCTTAGTGTGCTCGCGAAGATGGTCCACCCCCCGCCTGAGCAGCAGCTTGAGGGCATCACCATCCACTCCGATGGCGGCGAACGAGTACAAGCCAGACCAGTGAGTACGTGCGCGTGCCGTGGTTCCCTGCATGTCTCTGACGGCGGCGGTGGGCGGCGTAGACCATCGAACCAGGGGGCGGGGCTCACACGCATGCTCGACAAGGACCTGTAACGGAGCGACGCGGTGGACAAGGAGAGCCTGTGTGTGCTCGCGAAGCAGCGTGTGCGTGTCTCTCCCCCTCTCGTTTTCTCTCGTGCACCCGTTCAGACTGGTGGCTAGTGAGACGGCAGGTGCGGCACATCCAGCTCACGATCCACGTCCTCTCCGACGCGGGGAACATGGGTGACTGCGCGTGCCCGCCGGAATCGTCGCGCTCAAGCATTTCCGGAGGCGGAAGGTCGAAGTCGAGGGCGAGGAGGTCACCGTGGTGCGTTTTTCTCTTGCCCTTTGCTGCGTCCCCGTCTTCCTGTCCATCTGTCTCCTCGCCGTGGCCTAAGATCACACTCGCCGCGCATACACCCAGCATCCCACGTCGGAACGCGCACCTGTACCCCTGTCCATGCCCCACATGCGATCTCGCTCTTACCCTCCGTGTGCACGCCCGTCTGAGTGGTGACAATGTAGTCGAATGAAAACCTAATTATTGCTTCCTTGTTCATTCCGTGGGTTCATAAAAACGCCCTCCATGCTGACTCTTGCTTATGTTTCTCCCAGCCAGGAACTCATCATGTGAACTTTCGTGTCCTGGATGACATATTCCCTGCGATCGCGCCAACTACAAGGTGCTCGGTGCAGCTCCCCGAGAGTCTGGGCGGGCCGCACGGTGCCGTATGTTTCGAGGTGATCTCTTTCGTGCTCCATGTCATGGCTCACGCAGCCGCAGTGGATCCGTCCAAACTCGCCTCCATCGCGACTTTTGTGGATGGTCCTACGCAGCCACTGCTGATGAACGCCGCGCCGTCTTCGGTGAGTGTAGTCTCCTCGTATCACCGCTTGCTTACACGCGGCCACCACAGAGCCTGAGCGCGACGCTGCCGACAAACCACTTCACGCACGTCCTCGCCAACTTCGCCGCCTGTCACTCCCCGACCCGCGCGCCGGCCTCCGCGAGGCCTTCCGCGTCCTCCGCCCCGGGGGAACCATGGCGTTCACCGCGTGGAAGGCCGTCGGCTGGTGCCCACACACCGCGCGCGCGCTCGCGCTCATCCCAGGGGCGCCCGCGCTCCCGCCCTTCGCGGACTTCGTGGGCTCGATGGTCACCGCGACGGAGTCCGGCGAGGAGGAGAAGGGGAGGTGGACGGACCCGGCGTTCTTCGAGGCGCGCGTGCGCGAGGCCGGGTTCGCGGAGGTGGCGACGGAGCTCAGGGGGAACGTGACGCGGACGCCGGGCGCGGCGGAGCACGCGAAGGCGTATGCGGAGATCACGAAGCGGATGCTGAGCACGGTGTGGGGAGACAGGGTGGACGAATTCGGGGCGCAGTTTGAGGGGGCGTTGGAGCGCGCGGTCAGGGAGGAGGTCGGTGACGGGGAGGTCGTGTTGAAGTGGGAGGCGTATTGCGTGATCGCGAAGAAGGCGTAGATGTTCAGTGGTGATACATCCGACATGTAGCGCTCGTAAACCAACTCATACTGCGACGAGCTTGTTGACTGGAACATCATCTCGATATCTAGGGTGCGGACAATTCCTGTCGTGAAAGACACTCAGAGGACGGTTTGCTACTTATGTGGCTATGGAAACCGCGGAAACCGCCACGTCGCTCGTGAACTGGGTTGTAAGGAGTGCTATTTGTGCTGTCCTCCACGCTCATTTGGTGACCGCCGGCCCGCTCACACCCGTCTGATCTGCGCGATGACCCCCGTTGTCATCAGTACACCGGACTTCAACTTGAGTATGAACGCGTCTCTCGGTGCTGAGCCGTCTGGGGACGCGACTCTCCTGACCGATGGGAGGCTAGCAGACGTCCTGTATTGCAATTCGTGCCAGTTGCGGCCGCCTCCAGCGTGTGGGGTGAATGGACGTCGTGCGATATACCCAGCTCGGAACCCTGCCGTCTGAAACTCTCGCGGACAAGACCGTAACCCATGCTGAGAGAGCGGGGGCATCGCGGAGGCGACACGTTGACGGACGTTCCGCAATGGCCCTGACAGGACGCCGCCGCGACATCGCAGAGAAGGCAGCGCCATGCACGGTTCAAACGTTCAAGGCAAAGCTTAATGGAGCGGCCACGAAGGGCACCAACCATTCGACGAACCGGACTGTTCCCGCCCACCCTGCCGCACCAAGGCCACCCATCCGGTCCGCACAGCACAAGCGTCCGACCCCATCCGTAGCATCCTCTCGAGGCCACCGAAATAGACCTGCAAAGCGCGCTTTGTCATAAAGGACGAGAAACAGGTGATGGTCATTGGGGCTCTGACGACGTTCTTGTCGAAGCCGAGAAGAGTCGCGCGACCATACGCGCCGACAGGGGTTTCCAGAGTCTAGCAACTCTGAGAGGCGATGGGGGACGGCAGCAGCAGAAAGTGAGGGTGGAGGAGGAGAGCAAGAAAATTTCACAAGTACGCGGTTACCGATCGGCCCGATCACGTGGTATGCATCACCTGTGCGAGTCCTCGGAGATCGTGACATATTCCTCTCTGGCACCCGCGTCTTCAAGCCTCGAGGGTCGTGCAGAGGGCTCGGCGAAATGACGCGTGCCCAGCGTCGCCAGCGATGATGTCATCGGTAGCCAGCGGCCGTCGTCTCGAGCGTGCTGTCGGCGCCTACGCTAATACCCCCGCAATTGATGTCGCGGTCAGTCCGTCACGATTGCCCTCCGGAGCCTCCTCTGAGGTATGTTATTGCCTAATTCCTCCCCTAGAACATCGCGCAACTTTCATCTACAGCGTGAGGTACTCTTTGGTGACAAATACTACCAATGTTCAATTGTGGGGGATTGGCTGTCCATACGGTCTAGTGCTCGCTGTCCCCTCGCGCAAAGTCGCAGGATATGCCGGCATCGCGTCGCGGACCGCCCAAGAAGCACCGCGGTATCGCCTAAAAGCAGCGGACGGTTCTGTCAATCTGACTTCGGCCGCGCGAACGTTCTGCACCCGGCGACCTTGACCTCCGCGGTTCAGACGTTCAACGGTCTGCACGGTCTCCCCTCTCCCTCCATCTCACCCTCATTTTGCACCGCTGCAGACCTCACAGGGCCCTCCCCGCGACGCGTACTCGACATGGTCACCTGCACATTCACTCTCGACGCCAGCGATCCCGCTCTCCTCGCCAGTATCGGACGCGCCTATGACGGATACTTGCCGAGGTCGACCGTTTCTTCCGTGCTGTTCGGTAAGTTCTCCAGTGCTTCCCAGCCCGAACCACGTACAAGACTTGCCCCCAGGTATCTGCACGACGCTGGCCTTCATGACGTTTTGGGTGCTCTTGTACGTACACTGGAACCATGAAGGCCGCTGAGTACTCACCAGACGCTTTCCCAGTCGTCGCGGCCTGGGTCTCCGCTCAACCCGGCTTCTTTTCGCCGCCGCTGCCGTTCTCTACGCGTCGACAACGGTCTTCTTCGTCTGCGCCACGCTGAGGATGCGCGCGGCCATGCGCCTAGCGACGGTCGACTCTGCGTTGCAGCAATGCACCATCGACGTGGGGTCTGTCGCATACCCGACCCAGCTTGCGCGCGAGGAGAGGGACTTCGACGCGCCGATGACGGCCATGCTCGTCATCAACGTACGTGCCCCCCTCCGTTCTCGCGCTGCGTTTCTCAAGCTCGTTCCAGTCTGTCATCAACGACGGCATCGTCCTCTGGCGCGCGTTCACGATCTGGTCGTTCGACAGACGTTTGTACGCCGCGGGCAGTACGTTGCTGGCCGTGTCCTTCGGTGAGCCCCGCTTCTTCTCGTCCCCGTCCTCACACGAACTGACCTACGCCATGCAGTCGCGGGGGTCGTCTCGACCGTGGACACCGCGCGCCGGACGGCCTTTCCCGGGTCGGACGCGCCGGACGCACCTATCCTTCTCGGGGACGTGGCAGGCATAGTCTTCTTCCTCGCCTCGCGCGCCGTGAACTTGCTCGCGATGGCGGCGGTGTGCAGAAAGGCATGGTAGGTGTGCTCAACGCCGCTTCCCGCACGCTCGGTGCTGACCGGTCTGCCAGGCGTCACTGGAAGACCGTGCGGAGCTGCCTGACGGATATGTACACGGGCTCTCGGGCGCTCCGATCGCTGACGCTGCTCGTGGAGTCCGGGATCGCCTACTGTTTCCTCTGGGTGCGTCGCCGTCTGGTGAACCATGTCCCGGCGCTCACTTGGGATCATCTTTACTGCAGGTTCTCATCGTCGTCTACTACGGCATCTCCTTGACGGTCGGCGCTGATTCCTCCGTGAAGACCGCCACGTACGCCCACGGCGTCAGCTGGATCGTCGACAACTGCCTGGTGTACTTGATCGTGCGTACCTTCTCCGCGCGCTCCGACGTTGAAGTCGCGCTGACGACCGCGTCCCGCCGCTCGCCAGGCGATCTACCCGTTCGGGCTGATCACGGTCTTCGCGCTGAAGGGCTCCGTCCTGGAGCACGTCACCGCGCTCACCACGAACGCCTTCAAGAGCGACGCGCCCGGGACAGGGACGGAGTCGGCGGAAACGGGCTCTGTCGCCTTTCCGTCGCCGAAAGCGGAGAAGATCGTGCTCTCGTACGCGGACGGCAGCCAGCGGACGGCCAGGGAGTACGGCGCTCTGTGATGTCTTTACCCGGGTCTCTGCAGTGTTTCGGGGGGTGATGGACGTCGTGTTGAACGACGAAGCGTCGCTGAGGGCGCGTGCTTCTTCTGTCGTCCCGCCGTTGGAACGACCCTCAACAGGCTGGGTGCCGTGACCCCGCCTGCCCCTTCTACTGCGCGCCAGCGTAAATGCTTCACCTTGGCCTGTCGCTGCCATAAGTACGCGTCTCATCAGACCGACGGGTTAGCGCCGCTCGCGCTTGTAGTGGCACTCGTCATCGCGCCTCCTTCCGACTTTGGGGCCGACTTCGCACATCACAAGCTTGACGATATTTCACGCGAGTTCATCCAATTATTATGCGCTTTGTGTGCACTACGCTGGCGGGCCAGTGGGAAATGACGTCATACAGATCACAAGCGCCTCTTCCCGGGTTCCTCGGGTACAGACGAAACCTCTGCACGGACACTCGACAACCAGGATGGTGCGCCTATGCCACGCCGTACTCAGCCCTCAGACACACGCCTGCGGTGTCGCTCCGGACTGACGGGTTGTTCCAGAAAGAACCCAACTCCACTCGTAAATACTTCACTGAGGCATTGCTGGACGGCGGCGAGAACGGGAGGACGTTCACAATGAGACCCACCAACACAACCGAGACAAACCCGACGACGCACCCCGAAACCTAGGCCCTAGATGCGGCAAGGAGCAGCTAGCACCTGCATGACACCCACCCGCAGAGTCAGTGCGCGGGATATAAATGTTTGACCAAAAAAGAGCGTCTCTATTCCGGGAACCGGTCCAGGACCCTGTGCAGCTGGCTCAACAGTGAAGATCCGGCCATGCTTACCTTTGTCTGTCCTCAACCAATCCTTCGCATTTATGCCTGTCATCTTTTAAGCGCATATCCGCCGAGTACCTCGAAGGCCATGGAGCAGCCGACACCGAGTCGCCAGCTTCTCGGGCGTCAGTACAGGGACCTCAACTCATACCTCCGCCGTTCCCAGACGCCCCTCACATCCTCGAACGGTCTCGACGAGTAAGCCAACTATAATGCACAAAGATACACAGATACACACGTCGCACTCGACTACACAGCGTGCCTCTCGTACTCCCCGACGCAGCTGCTCGACGACGCCGCGTGCCGCTCCTGGCGTATCACGAGCACCTTCTGCCCGGTCTCCCCCAGCGGTATCGAGTCCCCGACGGCGGTGCTCTGTCGGCTGTGCGCTCTGAGCACCGCTGACCCCCCATGGCTGCCGAAGGTCTGGATCGCGACCTCGTCCAGAGGCGAGCGCCGGAAGGCGATGACGATGATGATCGCCATCGGGTACATCGCCTGCGTTGGTGTGCGGGGCGTCAGCGAAGGTACGCGGGGGCGCTCGGGAGACGTGCGTACGATGATGGGTATCAGGAAGGAGGGGACGTAGGGCACCACGCGGAAGATGACGGACATGCCGAAGGACGACGTCGTGCTGGAGAACGCCGGGGAGTTCATCACGCCGTACGCGAAGGTCACGAATATCTGCGTGCTTGAGTCAGGAACGGATGAAGGGGGATCTCGCGGATCTTCCGCACGTACCCAGATGGTGCAGTACATGACCCCGGACTCGATGACGAGCATGAGGCTCCCGAGCGCGTGGCTGTTGAAGTACGCCCGGGCGAGGTAGCTCTGGACAAATTTCCAATGCTGCCTGTTGTCCGTGCATGTCAGCACAGTGAGAACGAGAAGTATTGAGCGATGCGTACCAGGTCTTGTACGAGATGAGCGCGGTGGCGAGGACGTTCGAAACGAGCGAAAGAATGATGCAAGCGAACCCGGCCTTGTCACCGAAGAAGAACGTCGTGCTTTGGTAGTTGCCGATTTGGTACATCGCCGAGTTCGGAGTGGTGTGCGTCGCGATGAGACCAAAGACTGACGAAGCGTCACTTCAACTGTCGCTACGTTGTCTGTTGAGCAGGACGTACCGACACAGACGAGTAGGACAACCGCCCCGAAGGCGAGGATGATCTTGTTGTACCTCCATACGAGCAGCGCTCGCCACCAGACGATGAGGTCGCCGACAAGCATCTACGTCTTTGCTTCAGCACATGAAAATGGCATGAGAAAAAGCGGGGGAACGTACGTTGATCATGAACGTGATCGTGATCCCCAGATGGAGTGCGTCTTCCGTGTTCTTCAGAGCGTTCGGGTAGTCGCTCGGGTCACAGTGAACGTTGCAGGAATACTCGAAGCTCGCATACGCGAAGCTGTAACGAGTCCCGACGAACAGCAGCGCCGTCGAGAATGCGAAGAAGAGGCTTGTCGAGACGTAGAGCACGACTGACGAGGCGAAAAGCACCTTGGGCATCCGGCCGTCTAATCCCTTGCGTCTGCGCAACGACCGCGCGGCATCAGCTGCGAAGAAGGGAGTACGGGAACCGAACACGAAGAAGTGTGGCTTACAGAATGGCGTAAGCGGTGGCGACTTCCAGGGCCGTCGTAGTCCCTGATGGCAGAGGTTATCGGCTGCAGCGCAGAGCGCAAATTCTGCTGTCACTCACCGAATAGCGCGGACGATATGACCGAGTTCACAAGCAACGGGTATACTCTCAGATACGTGTCGTGCAACCAGTACTGAGCATCCAAGCTCGGCATCCCGGACGACATTGCGAATATCCGGCTCTGCCGCGTGAATGAAACAAACGAGCGGAGGGGGAGAAGAGGGATGCCAGGGTCGGCGTCGGCAGCCTTTTTGAAGTGCCGACGCTCAGGGACGGCTGTGCCGTTGCTTTCCAGTGGCAGATGTTCCGGGCGCTGAAAGTCAAAGTGTCCATCAGGGGGGCGGCTTTGGGCGGAGTAGAACCATGCGGAGGTGAAATAGACTTACGTGTGACCGTTACGTTACGGGAGTTGCGTTGATAGACATATGGCTTCGTTTGAAGATACCGAAGAGATATCTAGATGGAAATCATAGCACGACGTAATGCAGCGAGCATCCGGGTAGAGCGCGGGCCATCGCTCCAAACTCCGCGCCTTCGACATTGGCAGTGTGATCATACCTGATGATGGCCCCTCTCCGCTTAAGAGAGAAGCTGATGCTCACGTCGAGGTGCGGAACTCTTCCACACGACCTCCGGAACCAGGCGGTCAGCCGCCGTCCGACTTTGTGTGACACTAGAAACCCGGGGTCTCTCGTTGGTCCGGTACAGATGCCTGCGGGAGATGCTGTGTCGACACAGATGCCTCGCAGGGCAACGTGTGCAAAGCTCGACAGATGCCCCGCCGGTGGCTTTAGTTTGACCGTGCGCGAGGCAGGCACAGGAGGATGACCAGAACATAGAAGATAGACCGAACTCTATGCAAACGAGTCACACCGCCTACGCTGGATATCCCAGGCGCGCGTGGCAGTGTGGGTGGCGGAAAATGTGACCAAGGCCGAACGCGAACGCGTTCCAAATGCGGTGATATCGCTACTCTACGCCCACTGCGCAACATATACCACCCCTGACGGCCAACATCGGAGATCGCAACACACGAGTCCAGCGCCATCATCAGATACCTCAGTCGTCTGAGCGTTGGCATCTCATCCTGCCAAAGTGGAGACGTTCGAAAGCGCTACCACTTCCCAGGATAAGCCAATTGTATCGCGAGCATTGAGCACAACCATCCGACGCTCCTAAGTAGCAGAGGGTGCGAGCTCAATCACCGGATGAGAGACGGAGACAGTGTAACCGAGAAATGGGAGCGGGTTCGAAGCTGAGCGCGTCTGGCTGAATAGTGAATGCAGAAGGCAACGGATTGTTACACAGCGCCTGGAGGCGCGCAGGCACCGAGAAAAGAAAGGCGCGCGGCATATGCTGCGCAGCTACCTCATCTCGTCCGACGTCGATGAGAAGATTCAGAAAGGGTCCAGCACCTGACCTGTCGACGTACACTCGCGGGGGCTATATATTCGCCTTGCGTGGAGAACGGGCAGTATCTGTAAGGGCTATGAAGGTCATGATTGGCGACGAGACGATGGGTATTTCTTCACCGTAGTATTCTACGACGTACGGCTGGGTTGAGCATACTTGAGGTTCCATGAATGCGCATATACCCTGCAGAATTAACATGATTTAGACGGTATATAAAAGACATGCTTTGGAACGGCAGGAGAAAATTTGCGATAATGGAGGATCTCTCAGGCCGCTACGTACCCAGTATGTCAGTCACCTAAAAAATGGTTTTCTCTCTCTTTAACGCAGCCGTCCAATTTTTCCTCGTTTTGTGCGTGTATTACCTGAGGCTCAGAACGCGAAGAAGAGCCCGATGGTAGAGAGCGGGCTGCTAGCCAGCTGCCTACGTATTGGCAGAAAAGCGATCACTCCAACTGAAAGAAACTATCGAAGATGGGGAAGAGACGTACCTTGGCACACCGCACCGCAATTCTGTGGAGTGAAACAGGCCTTGCCAGGAGGGGGGGGGGCTATAGCTTCTCGTGATCGTAGCTCAGGTCGTGGTGAGAGGGAGAGATTTATGAGCCGCCCAAGATACTCGGCTACGTAAGCCACTGCCCAGAACACGAACCGGGCCGGAAAGGGCCGGTACCTGGCTCATCGGACCCAGTGCTCGCCCACAGCCGCTCCCGCCTGAGATGCGGTCTGTGACGTCCATCCAGGGACGAGACGGCTGGAGGGAACATCACGGTATGTGTGGTATGTATCCAGCCCCGTTCTTTCGCAGGCCTGACGGTCCCCAGGGCACGATTACTAGTCCCTTCCCGCATCGCTTCGGGCCTCGGACCACTGTGGCATTGCACCGCGCAGACAGCATTTCTTCACCGTCCAATAAAAACCACAACCATACTCGCACCAATTATTGTACAAAGCGTCAACGTACCGCATCTATTCGTGTATGATCACAACCCGTCCTAAGCATTGTTCATCCTACTGCGACGCCGAGTACTCCTCCAGCTGCGTCTGAATGTCCATCAACTTCTCCATACGTTCCGTCAACCGCTTCCTGGTCACTGCGATCTCCGGATCTTCCTCCATCCACGACTCGAACCGCTTGAGCGATCCGGGCGCATCGACCGCGAGCTCAGCGAGGAGCCGGCCCTGGAGCCCATCCGCGAACTTCTGCACAAAGTCGTGCTGAATCCGAGTCGGGATGTGGTCGATGATTCGCTGTGTCGCTCGCAATCAGTACCAGAACTTGGAATGTAGAGAGCGCGGGCAAACCTTGTACGCGATGTGGAAGAACGCGCGGACCTCCGCCATGACCAGAATCTCGTCCTTGTACTCATCCACGGGGAGCAGCCGCCGGAAGTCGCTCTCGACGAGTGTGGTCGGGTATCCGAGCGTGCGGAGAGCTCCGAGCGCAACAGAAACCTGGTCTGTTGGGTGGGGGTGTCAGCCGTGATCGCGACCAGGTCAGACTGGATACGTACGCTCGCGCTGTTCGACCGTCAGATGCCTGGGCTCACGGGTCACATATGGAGCATGGGCCGTCAGTGTCCCGCTGATGCGGAAGGAGGACTCTTGGTGGTACCGGAGCCACTGGTAGTGCTCGTGCCACCGTTCGGTGCCGACACGGAGATAGTGCACGTTCTGAGTGAAGAATGCGATCTGCTCGTGGTCGAGGGAGCTCATGAGCGCGTCCGAGCAGTCCTTCGCGTGGGTTTTCATCTGTGCCGCAACGAGAGCTCTGATTATGATGGCCAAGAGTTTTAGATGTGCTCCAAGCGGAGATCGTAATGCGAGAACACGAACGTGATGGCGACCTTGAACTTCGGGAACGTCCCAAAAGTAACCTCGATGAGTTCGGCAATGACACTCTCGAGTGTGAGCGTGACGCGCTCGAAGGCCGTCGCGGAAGGGTCCTCCCATTGGTCGACGAAGCCCTTGATGAGCTGCGCTTTGGCATCGAATGGGATGTGTCCTGGGAGCTCCCAGCCAGTGCATCTGCAGAAACCGCGTGAGATGAACTGTGTAGGAAGGATGGGGGGCATTGCTCACTCTTTGATGACCTTGCGCACGTCAACTAGCCCCATGACTTTGCGCCTCGATACCATTTCTAAACCCTGCTTCATAATGAGTGCGAAAGCATCGTCAACAGAGAAACAGCCATACCTCGAAGTGCTCTTGCTGAGGAGGGGTGAGCTCGACCTCGGAATCTGTTTGTGGTATGGACGGCGCACAGACCAGTCCAACAGAAGCCTGGTCCGAATCACCGTCCTCCGAGCGCCCAGAGCCCCCACTTGCGACCGATCCCTGCTCCTCCGGATCATAGGCCTTCTGCGGCACGCGGAACCACGCGTCTAGCCCCTTCGCGCACGCGGCATCCTCCCTCTCTACCGCGTCGAGCTCCCGTGGTCGCCGGAACTCCCGCTCGCACTGCTCCAGCCCGCACTCGAACGGCCAGAACTCCGGCGCGCTCGCGCGCATCGCGTGCTTCATCGTCAGGTACGCCTCGCGCGTGCGGTGCACGAACGTCCGGTCGTCCGCGCGCCCGTGGACAGTGCGGCTCAACGCGACGCAGAAGCCGACGATGCGGTCCAGCGCATCTGCCGTCGCACCCTTCGCGGAGAGCGGCGGGGCGGGGACGGACGCGAGCGCGCGCTGAGTCGACGCGAGGAGGCGCGTGACCTGGGCCATGAGCTTCGGGAGGCTGCGTGCGTGCTATCAGCGCCGACGTTCTCGAGGGGACACGAACGGTGCGCACTCGCGGATGAGGACGCTCATGAGGAGCGCGCTGACGTCACGCACCAGCGCGTCGAGGCCGAGCCGGTTCGCGGCGATGTCTTTCCACGGGGCGTTGGCGGCGAAGAAGCGCGTCGCGCGGCGGGATAGATCGGCGCGCGAGATACCCTCTTTGCGCTCGACGTCGAGGGCCAGCCGCACGGCGTAATATCCCAGTCCGAGCTTGTGTTTGTTGGTTCCCGCGAAAGTCTCCCTCCACAGCTTTGCCGTATCGGTCGCCCCGGCGGCGACGGTGTCGGGTTTGGTGACGATGCCTGAAGGCATCTAGGTGGGCGAGCCTGCAAGCATATCGACGCACAGGAACGTACCGATAGTACGCTTGCCCTCGGGGTCGGCCTCCTTCGCGAGTCGCATCGCCCTCTGGTTCTCAATATTATCTGGAAGAGGTGTGAGGTGTGAGCGTCCGGTGGGACACGGCGCAAGACTGCTCGTACCAACGGCGGGCACGGTGACGAGGATGAAAGTTGAAGAATGTTTGATGTTCTCAGTTACAAGATTCCGAATGAGCCGAATCACCTCCCTGTCCTCATTCTCCACCAGCCCTACATCACAAGCTTCAGCACCTTCCCCAAGTCAACTACTCACCACACTCACCCGGTAAGTCCACGAAGATAAGGTCAGCTCCAGCCGGATCCTCGATGCTGATCACGACCGAATCGCTCACGACCGTCTTGACCGCTTCGTTCTTCCCCTCGACTTTCTCCGTCATCGCCTTGATCTCCTCCGCGTTCTTTGTCTTGAAGGCGTCTCGGGGAAGATGAGGGCAGAGGAGCGTAGCCTGAGCCCGCCGAATCCAGAGCTCCACATCGTCTGAGCGAGAGAGGACTGGCGAGTACCGGGCGTCCGGGGACGGGGAGATGCGCAACGAGATGGTGCAAGACCACGTGGGGCCGGATAGAATGGTACACTCCATCGGGCATCTGTGAGGCGTTAGAAGACTCCAGATAAAATTATAAGGATGGAGGAAAAGCTGACCGCGTGCACATTCCGTCGTCGCGCGGGACCTTCACTCCGGTAACGGCTTCGACGAGGGAGCTCTTCCCGGCTGTTATCGCGTAAGGAGCTTATCCGGATATGCAGCAACGGTGGGCGACTCACCAGACTGGCACCCGATGACGGCCAGGCGAGGGATATTCAGGGCATCCGTCGTCGCGCTGGTGGTCGCGGACATTTCAGCGCGCACACAAGCACAGAGACTACATGAAAGACGTACCCAAGAGCCTTCAAGTCGTGCAAGATCTTGAAAAGAGTCGTTCTGTGGCGAGCATACTCGCTGTCCCCAACGCAGGCGTTTTCGCCCGTCTCGTCGCCCATGATACCGCCGGGAGGCGTGCCCCAGCTGAATTCGGAGCTGGTCGAACCGTCCGAGCCTGCGCGATGACCGGACGTGCCGGACTTTCCGCCCTTGCTGTAGACATACAGCGCTCAGCCCAGTGACATGAAAGAGAGGTTGCATACGCACCCGAGGAAGTTTAGACCAAAGGAGGACTTGCGTTTGTCGTTAGTCATGATGTGGAGAGGGAAGAGAGCGGGGGGTGCTGAGTAGCATGGCGCCGTGCAACGTTGCAGTACATATAGCCCGGTGAGTGGCGTGGGCCTTACAGCAGACTAGCAGTCAAAATCCGCGGATAGATCGTCGTGCGTGCTGCGGTAGCGTGAGGGGGAGTAACTACTGAGTGCAGAGGATGCGTGCTCACGATCTAGGAGAGCTGCTTCCTTGTTCGATCCACAAAGAGCAGCCGTGGTCCCAAGCACGAAGGCGAGTGCTTCTACAGAGAGAGCGGCGCACTCTGCGGTAAGCCGACGCCACAACCTAGATACACGAACAAAGTCGTGCGGAACCCGTAAGACGTACATATGGCGACAGCATGCAACATTCAAGAACAGATAATGTGTCGATTCCCTGGTGCGGTCGAATTTGCCGCTCGAATTACGCGAGGAGGATGCCTGTGTTCTTCCCATCAGCAATGCGTCAAGTAAGAAGCTGCAGGAGGACGTGGCTTCACCCCTAGTGCCTGTGGAGGCAATGGGAATGGTATGCACCGAGGACTTGGCCCCGATACACGCAAAGGCGTGGCGCGATTCATTCGATGGACTGATCCATTGGAACCTTGAGCATCCGAGTAAAGGTTGGGGTCGACCTGCAGCTCGTACGAGGATTTGAACGTATTCGTGGAGAAAAATGGGTGTGCGTTCACATTCGCGTAATGAGACACATGGCAAAGTTCACCAAGCGGTGCGACGACGCGCTTGGATGCCTGAGCCATCGGAATGAGGTCTCCCGGCGGCGCGCTAGTGTACTTAGGACGCTTGAGACGTTCCACAGCATCCGTGTCTTCATCATCCGCCCCTCAGTTTGTGCTTGGCTAGCAATACAGTCGCGACCACCACTGCAGTAAGGGAGAGGGAAGAAGTGAGCTGCAGAAACTGATACAACGAACAAGAAAGACCACGCACCAGACGGGGACGAGAAAGTGCGAGAAGAAACTGCATCTTCCGCAACCCAGTGCAGGAGTCGGGCGAGAAGCATTGCTGATATTCACTGCACCGCTTCATATTGGGGCGGTTCGGACGGTACGCAGCTCACCGCGAGCAGAGAACTCTTCTGATGCAAATGAGAGTGGATGGAGTCATCGGAGCTCGGCAACGTTAACCCGGCCAGCGCTGGTACCTGAGCGTACACGTGACATTCTCGTGACGCCGTCACTACGCGTTGGCGGTCACTAACTTAAGTGCTTCAGCGCCCGCTCGGGTCACATCACGGTCCCTGGCCCATCACGAAACGCGCCCGGACCAGAACTACAGATGGTCGAAGTAGGTCATGTGCAGTCTGCGGAGATCGTCCCTTTCTTTGTCGAACGGACGGTGTCAATTTATGACAGAAAATCGTCATGGTAGAACGGGACCGAGCATCCTAGGCAGGGGTGGTGAGCAGACACGAACATTCGTGAGGGAGTGAATGATAGGACGTTATCATGGCTTGGCTTCGCACAGTTCAGAGCATGGTCACCACCTAGGCGTAGCTTGATCCGAGGTCATCATTTGTGTCTGAGGGATAGAACGGCGCCGTTCATCTACCCGGGTCGGGCTGAGCAGGGCCGGTCGTTCACTCGGGCCGAGATGAACGGCGGTTATCATCCGCTGGGGACGCCATGTTCGCGCATGAGCAGGCCTTCTGAGCGCGGCTATCGGGGTTGATCGTTGTCAGGCGTAAATAAGATCTGGGACGAGGGGCGTAGTGATCATTGCTGCGAGACAAAATGATCAGCGCCAGTTGGGGGCACAGGGATGAGATGAATGAGAGCGCGGTGCAAGACGATCATTTCTTTGTGGGGGAATGACCTGGAAAGACTGATTCAGATGTGCCAGAATGTTTGGCTATCGCCGGTCGACCACAAACGCCCGGATATGCGCGAAATCTAGTATTATTCAGGGCTGTACAGTATGGTTGGTACAGTATGGATGCGGCGAGTAGGCAAGCGAGCGACGAGTCAGGTTGCAACGATAACAGCGGGGTTGTCTGAATGCGAGAGAGCGGGAGGGTTGTTCGAATCGATGTGGGGATATCTAATGGGCGTGCGTAATGAACTCATGAAGCGACAGGTTGCAATGAAAACGGCAGGGTTGTTTGAATCAATGTGGGGATGATATCTAAAGGGCGTGCACAACGAACTCATGCTGCCATCATGATGGCAAAGGCCGAATCTGGGTCGGCCCCCATGACATAGTCGCGAGCCTCCGCAACGGGCGAGAAGATCTCTCTGTCGTCTTTCATCAGCTTACAAGCGGACGGATCACATGAGCACACCAGCACACACCTGTCGTAGAACTCGAGAAGGTCACTCTTCCAGTCGGGCTTCCTAATGCCGAGGTCCAGGACTGCGTTGGAGAACAACTCGTTGACCCAGCCGACGTCAGTCTCTTCCCAGGACTGCTGCGAGCTGAGCGTGAATCGCAACTAGAACGATGATATGGGTTAGTAATAAGCCATCTACGCCAACAACCGGCACCGCTCTTACCAGAGAGGCGGCGTAGATGATGGAATGCACGGTTGAATGTGCAGTGTCGGACTTGGCGGCGACGGACTTCTGACCACGAGGCTTGGAGCTCGACGTCTTAAACTTCTCGGCCTTCGGGCCAAGGTAGAGTGCGCGGTAGAACTGACAACGTGGATGGATGAGAGGAGGTGTTGCAAACAGGGTGTCAGATGCTTACCTTGAGGAGCTCATTTGAGCGAAGGAACACATCGTGGATGGGCACCGTGGTATCCTTCAGCATGTCGAGGTCATAGAATACCCGGGGAAAGTGGTCCGGGGTGATGAGACGTTGACCATTGTTGACTTGTCGACAGTATCTGGTCGTTGTTTAAGGCGGTGAGTCCCAGACGAAACAGAAGTCTGGTTGGCAAACGTACCCTTCGGGATCTGCAAGATAAGCCCTATACTCCTTGCCGATAGGAACCAACAGGCTCGCGCACCCGTAAACGTCGTGATACCCCCTATGAGACTTGTCCTCGATGATGTCAGTCTCGCCAGTCGATGTCACGGGGATGGATACGTAGTAGGTGAGATACATCTTCGAACGGCTGATATCGTCACTGCGGGAGGTGACTCGGAGCTGTGAGATCTGAGAGAGATATCAGATGCGAACACGAGATAGTGCAGGAGAAAGATCTCACATAATTAGATAACTTCCCGAGTATCTTCGGATACTGCTTCAAGTATGGAATATGGTCCTCGAACTCGTCGAGGTATTGGAAGATGATCGGGAAGACATCGCGGTACCGGGCCATTGTATTGCCTTTCTTCGTGGTGACAGCAACGCTGAACAACGGCGTGCAGTGATCCAGAATGCGAGAGCAAAGGAATACTCACCACACTTCCGGGTCTCTGCCATACTCGATTACGGCCCGGGGAAGAACGACCGAGAAGGGTGTATACATGCCTGCCATGCGAATAATCGAGCGGCAGCCGAAGTAGATGTCTTTGACACCTTTCTTAATTTGTTCGGGGACACTGTAGTGTTGCGACGTACATTAGAACAGAGACCAGAGTTGTTGAAAGGGGGACTCACTTGTCGCCCGCATTGAGTGCTTCAAGCTTGGCGAGCCATTCGTCGGAGTAGTAGGGGATGTCTTCCGGCTCCTCATCTGAGTCGTCTTCTGGGTCCTGTCGTGTGAGGGTCTGAAGCGGGGAGGAACCGCGCATGCGATAGGTGACTTCAATGCAGAGGCAAGGCTGCAAGTAGAACCGATGTAACGTACCCTCGAATATGACTGCTGCTGACCGCTAGCAGCCCTGCCGTCGTCCGGCGGTAACATGGATGACGACTGGTGGCTGGGACTGGTGCCTTCATGCTGGGTCCTAGTTGCGCCAGCGAACCTCGGAGAGGGTGTCGGAGTCGTGCGGCTGTTGGTATTGGTCCGTTTGGGCGCGCGGCCAGAAGCCGGCAGATCCGCAGTGCGCTTTGCAGGTCGGGGTGCCTTGCGTGAGGAGCTGGCCATTATTGTGGTATTGTGGGAGGATGGGGATAGAGAGAAAACTATACAATCTGAGGACAGGCCGTCAGCACTCAGCAGCGGAGTGTATCATGAGGCTGAGGTACTGTACAGTGGCAGATTTAAGGTTGAAACTCCCCCAGGACTTGCCTTGCATTTCGTTGGGGACGGGGATAAGAAGTGGAGCTAATGGCGTATAGAAGGAACGAGTAAGCAGGGGTTGACATGAGAGGAAGGAGAGAGACAGACTGGCTAAGCGCACACGCAGGTGCGCGTCGCGTCGCGCGAGCACTTATTCTGAACGGCTCTTCTCCTACGCGCGCTCTCACCTTCCAAGACGCGCTCTCACCTTCCAAGACGCACTCTTGCCCTCCAACGCACGCTCTCGCCCTCCGCCCCACTGCCTTGACCCCACCATGACTTTCAACTGTCCCAACAAAGGCTGTGGTAAAAAATTCAACAACGACAAGCAGTTCGCTCAACATCGACGCCAATGCCGCATGGCCGACGACATTGTTGAAACGTTGAAGAGGCAGACCGCCGAGCTTGACATGTTTGAGTCTCGGAAGAGACGCAGAATTGAGGCCAATGCTGCTAGTCTTTCTCGTCAAGAGCAGGTTCATCGAAGTTGATATTGTTCTCGTTGTTCAAGGCTCACGAGTTACTACTAGCTCCGCACCGGGAACATCACGGTCACACCGCTTCGTCCTGGCGAGCATGCATCTCGAGTCGGCCGTCGCATACAGACACCTCGTCATTTGCGAGACTACATCCCTTCAAGTCCCTCACGAAGCGGACTTCCCTCCCTCTTCTCTGGTTCGTTTTCGGTCAATGCCCAAGCTTCATTGTCACGCCTCCCCAACCCCATCAGGAAAAACACAATTTGCATATTAGCCCTATTGTGCTCTAACACATCTATCCACCAGACTTTTAGCTCTAATGTGGTCTAACACACCTAATCGCCCGACGTTTAGACCAAATGAGAATCAGCACACCTAACACCAAACACATTAGGTCCCACATCTTACTAACATGTCTAATGTGCCGCAAATTTACACACATTAGAAGATGTTGAGGGTGTTTGATACTAGTGCTCCTAATCCTGTAGTCTGGTACTAACGTCTTCTATCGGGAGCGATGATTGCCACGACAATTCACAACAGTATAGAAGTTCTAGAGGATGAAATATATTGGTAGAAACCAGCATAATCTAACTACACTGGGAACAAAGACGTGTTACAGGCCACTAGGACACAAGCAAGGTGGCGATGCAGATGAAGTGGGCGACGCGGGTGGGCCTGTCGTGCACGCACGCACACCAGTCCACGTGGCGCACCGTGGAGCTTTCGGCCCACGACAACGGCGAGCACGACGAAGAGCACCCCACCCAGCATACCCGCGAGGCTCCGCTCCTCCTCCTCTCCCGTCCTCCTCTTGCTTGTCCTCGTCGGCCGGTGCAGTGGGAAGCGCCTCTGCGACGAGCGTCAGGCTCTCGGTCGCTAGTGTGCGCTCGCGCCCGTGAAGACCAGGCGCGGCGGGCGTGGCCGCGAAGTGGGCTGCGAATGCGAGCGAGCGAGCGCGGCAGCGGCGGCGGCTGCTGAAGCGTTCGCGGGATCTGCATCGACGAAGCCTTGGAGCCGGATGGACGGCGGGGCGCGAGGACCAGAGGAATGACGAAGCGGACAACATGGATGTGGGCGAGGCGGGCAAGGTGAGTGAAGCGGGTAACACGGAGGAGATGGGTGAGGCAGACGTCGACGCGGGGGTGAGGCAGAAGCGGACGGGCGATGTGGGCAGGTGACATGAGCGATGCAGTCGTGGGCGAAGTGCCAAGGTGAACGCGGGCGAGGTGGGCGACAGAGACGCACACGACACGACGCGGGCGAGGGCGAGGTGAGCGACACGCGCGGGCGAAGCGGAGCCCGATGAGAGTACATCGCCACCGTGGACGTTCCAAAGCCGTGTGGGCGGAGAGGTCATAGGGAATGGTTCAGGGGGTCGGGGCGCGGGAGGTGGGGAGACAAAGAGCAAATGTAAATGAGAATGGGCAAGGGAGCGTAGCAAAAAAGAGGGGAACGTACCGCAAAGGAGCCGGGGGCGTTGCGGGCGACGGCTAGGGGGAGACCAAGCACGAAGGTTGCACAGCGGCGGGCGGAGGTGAACCGGTGACAGGCGGGCGATGTGCAACCCAGCGGCAACGGCCGCGTAATACGGTCGCGCCGGTATAACAAGCCTCCCGTGCACGTCCTTTAGGTTGACGTGCGCGTTGTGGGGACGGCGTGGCACGGCCGGGGCCTGGGGAGGTGGTGGGCGAGGCGAGGAACACAGGAGGGCAGAACGGGGGACTCACCAAGACCAAGGGGGCCGCAACAGCTCATCGAGGAAGCGGTGGGCAAGAGGCGCGTTTGCGTGCTCCTTGAAGACGTTGCGCCGGGAGGAAAAGTCGAGGAAGATGAGGACGGGAGGACGGGGAGGACGGGCAGCGCGGAGGCAGAGTGACACGCTGGCAGCGCCGGACGCGTGGGAATCGACGCGCGTTGCGTGGGCTCCAGCGCTTGGCGCTGCCAGCACCCTCGTCGTTGATGTCCTCAATGCTCCTCATCGTCTTCTGCTGCCACCTTACCTGTGTTAATCTGCATCGTCCACGTCGCCACGTCGCCCAGTTCTCTCGTCTCGCCTGCGCGTCACCCATCTCGCCCGTCTGGCACCGCGCCCGCCTCTTCCGTCTCGCCCGTGACTTGCACCTCGCCTTGCCTGCCTCGCCCGTCTCACCCACCCCGTCCGTCTCACTTGTGTCGCCCACCTCGCCCGTCTTGCACCCGTACGTCCCACCTCGCCTGCGTCACCCATTTCACGTGCGCCTCGAACCTCGCTCGTCTCGCTCGTCTCTCCCCCGTCTCGCACTTCGCCTGCTTCGTCGGTCTAGTTCGCCTCGCCCATCTTACCCATCTCGCCCACTTCGACCGTGTCACCCACGTCCGTCGCTGCCTCCGTGTCGCCCGCGTTTTGCCCGCGTCGCCCTCCGTCTTAGCCCACGTCTCGCACCTCCCCCGCGTACCCTGCGTCGACCGGACATCTCCCGTGCCCACGTATCACCTGCATCCCCTGGAGTCCCCTGCATCATCCACTTCGCCCGTCTCACCCGTGTCGCTCGCCCGAGTTGCGCGCGTCCCACTGCGTTGCCTGCATGTCATCTGTGTCGCCATCTAGCTCTCACCTGCCTTATTGCGTTAGTCTGGACCCATGTCACCCACGTCGCCACGTCGTCCGTCTCGTCCGCGTCTCGCTTGTTGCTGTCTTGCTCTCTTGTGTCATCCATTTCGCCCGCTTCGTCCTCATCGACTGCGTCTCATCCCTGCGTCGACCTGTCGCCCGCGTTTTGCCCTGCGTCACTTTGTGACCTGCCTCGTTCGCCCACTCGCTCTCGCTCTCGCCGCGTCGCATGTGTCCGTGCCGCCCGCCCTGTCCACGTTGCCTACCTCTTACCTCGCCCGCGTCTCCTGTCTCGCGCTCGCGTCCGCAGCTCGCCTGCGTCTCGCGCCCACGTCCACATCGCCCACGTCCGCATCACCTGTGACGCTTACCTCACCCACCTCGCTCTTGCCCGTGTCACCCGTCTCGCCCGAGTAGATATGTCGCCCACAGACTTTGTTCAGCATCTTTGTTTGTAGTCTACTGTGTACCTTGTAGTATTATGAACAAGAATATATCTGCTTCTCCTTCACGTTTGTGTGATCTATTGAGTGATATTGAAACATATTATGAGCTTGATACATGCCTACTGTGTGTCAATTAGTTCTACAGACCTCCACAATTGCAGCAATTAGACACTGGTTAGACACTAATTAGAGCTAATTAGGACTAATTGGCTCTAAACTTCCAGGGACTTCACTAATTAGTGAATATCCTCTAATATGTCTAAGTTGCACTAATTAGTTCAACTTAGACCCAATTAGCAAGTTGTGTTTTTCCTGATGCCATTCCCCGACATCCCTTCGCCGCAATACCCTGCGTCTGCATCATTTCCATGTGCCCAACCACCTGCAGGCTCCCCATCCCTCGCATCAAATACGGAATACAACCCCACGTCCCAGCGGCCGTTCGTTGACTCTGACACCAACAATTTCGGAGTCTTCCGACGATACTATGGCCGGTCCACGCTCCCCCTCGAGACCCCAGAAGATCACCAAATTCTCGAGGATCTGTGCGATGGGCCTGGGCTCCGTCCTGCTCGCGCCGGCAATCCCCTGCAAGAGCCCACGCTCCAATGGATCGGCAAACCCCAGCAAGAGTGGTACGCTCCTTTCGCTAACCCAACTCAAGCAAATGTTACCCACTGGCGACAATCCCTCACCGGCTCTGGCACCATCTCTCATCCTAGCTTCGACAAGCTCCTCGATATCATGCACGATTCCGTCGTCCATGGATGGGACCCTTTGGAAGATGGCTTCAGCTCTCGCAAGTCTGAGAAGCTTCTCGACGAGCCTCTCACGTCCGCCAATGTCTTCTCCGAAGGCGATTGGCTGAAAGATCCTTTCCCGCTCTCTCTCCCGAAGACTGGCTGCAAAAAGGGTACATCGGAGGCAAACGCTCCGCAGGTTCTCGTACATGGGGGTGTGATCCGTGACATCATGCCGATTGTTCGCGATGTCGCCACTAACACAGAAAGTCGTCATGCCACCCATTATCAGTACCATCCTCACGCTCTCTTCTGGGTCCCGCACGGTCAATCCAAGAAAGCACGCGCACATGCAAGGAAAGCGCGAGCACGAGGCCTCGCGCCGCTACTAGAGGCCGCCCGGGAGCTCGAAAACAGCCCCAGACAATCTGCTCCACCTTCCCCCCTCGGCCTTTATACCGGACCATCCGCACCTCGTCCGATCTCTCCGCGCATGGAACATATGAGGGCGGATAACCGTGCGTATATTCCCTGTGTATACTGCGACTTCGCTTTACTTAATTATGCGATGATAGCACTGTTCTCTCGACCGGCCTCCGATCGTTCACGTTCGCCTCCACCGACTGTCGATCCACCAACCCCAATTCGTGTCTACTCCGATGCTTTTAATTCACCTGCGCTGTTAGCGGAGGAGGAGAAGATTCGCAATCTGCCCCGGAACCCAGCGGACAAGGCCGACATGGAGTACGGCATCATCCCAATGATCCTGTGGTCAGATGCGACACATCTCGCCAATTTCAGTGACGCTAAGATGTGGCCGGTGTACCTCTATTTCGCGCATCTGTGCAAGTACACCCGTGGTCGACCTACTGAATTCACGGCCCACCATATCGCATACATTCCATCGGTGTGTGCACCTCAAAGTCTCTGCTACATCTCACCACTGACACCTTCATAGCTCCCAGACACTATTCAAGAAGCGTATGCAAACATCTTCGGGAAGCCGCCCACAGAGGAGATCATGCGCTTTCTCAAACGAGATCTGTTTCAGCAGATCTGGCTCCGTCTGATGAACACTGATTTTATGGAGGCGTACGAGAAGGGGGTCGTCTATCAGTGCACAGACGGCGTGACTCAGCGGATGTTCCCGCGTTTGTTTGCGTATGCCGCTGATTACCCAGAGAAGTGCGTCCAGCATGGCTTTTTCTCTGCATGACGATTTCTAACGTCACTGTTATACTTTCGATAGGATTCTTGCAACTGCGCTGAAGCCTTTGTCAACGCACCCCTGCCCGACTTGTCTGACAACGATGGATCAATGCTCAGAGGCTGGCTCGCATGAGGACATGAAGCGCCGTTCAGAGCTGGCTCGCACTGACGGGCCGGAACTCCACGACGTCATCACGGCCGCACGAAAACTCCTCTTCAAGGGCTACTCGATTGTCAGTGACCGTGTTCGAGACTTGCTGAAGCAGTTTTCACTCAACCCAATCCGAGTATGTTTCCTTTACATATGCAGATGCGACAATGGACACTCATAATTTGCCTAGAGCGCATTTTCTACAAGGCTAGCGCCCCATGGGGTGAACTCATATGATCTCTTCGCCCCGGATATCATGCATGAATTCGAGTTGGGAGTGTGGAAAGGAACCTTTCACCATGTCATGCGTATGCTTGATTGCCTCGGCAACCCGATTGTGGAAGAATTCAACACTCGGTACGTATAGATCAGGCATGTGAGATTCACAGTGCTGACAACGCCGCTCTTGGTCTTACTAGGATGCGTAGTATGCCAACGTTCGGGAATTATCGCATCCGAAAGGTGATGGGTAACATAGCCTCTCGGAAAGGGCTAGCTGCGCGCGATTATGAAGCTTTCCTTATCGTGAGTATGCTCCCATGCCCGCATTCTTTGTGTGGTACTCAGATATGATATTGTAGATGATGATGCCTGCAATGGAAGGCCTTCTCCCACTCAAACATAATGAGGTCGTCCAAGATCTCCTCTTCGAGCTCGCAAATTTTCATGCGCTCGGCAAGCTCCGTCTACACACGGACGTCACGCTCGATATCATGGAGGAAGCCACGACACTCATGTAGAGAGTATCCGACGCTTCGACGCACTTGCTGCAGCGTCATACCAGACTGTTGAGCAAGAGCATGAAGCGCAAACTCGTGTTCGCCGCGCTCAGGCCAAGGAGTCTACCACCACCAAGCGGAAGGCGAAGTCCAAACTTGTCGAGAAGATCCATCGCAAGGCTAAAAAGTACACAGTCATGCAAACGTACAAGTACCACGCTCTTGGACATTGGGTTCCCTATATCCGGCTACGAGGGCCGATGGATGTTTATTCTACGCAAATTGTTTGTCAATCTCTTCAATCCATCCCTCCTCTTACTCATGCCAGCCAATCTCTCTCTGCAGGGGGAATGTGAGCACAAGCACGTCAAGTTGCTGTTCAGACGGACCAATCGACGCGGCCACGTCTATCAGATCGCGCGCCTCTTCCGTAACGGCACCCGCATTCGCCAGATCAACGAACGCAACCCAGCAAATCAACTGCTACCCAGACAGAGCTCCACGCAGACCCCAACTCAGCCCCCCTCAACGTCTAATTTGGATGTCCCGTCGCCTCCGCAAGGCCCACTGTGCGACCCGCATGAACGCTACGACATTGCGAAGTCCTCAAGTGACGCGATCAAGATTCTGCCGTGGATACGTTCGCATTTTGATGATCCCGCGGTCAAGGTAAGCATTTAGTATTCACATGATGACACTGCCTGACCGCTCACTAACTTTGTAACAGGACTTCTATGTCCGTCTTCGGGAATATGTACTATCGCAAATCCTCGGTGAACGAGAACATTGTGCCCATAACCCCCTCTGGCCTTGGGCGTTCACCCTGGAAGAACACGAAGGGCTGGAGATCACTGATCAGCGCATGTTCTCCCACAAGACCGCTCGCTTCAACTACACGAACTACGCCCTTCGTCGTGAGCAGGACCACATCAACATCCGAACGCATGCCGATGTCATCATGCTTGCCCCTGAAGACTCGTCTCATCCGTATTTGTACGCTCGCGTCATCGGGGTCTTCCATCTCCATGCGCGCTACAATGGCCCTGGAGCGATGTTGCAAAGCTCAACCCTACGACGCTTCGATCTCCTTTGGGTACGGTGGTATGAAGTAGACGAAACCTACCCCGCCGGATTCTCTGGTCGCCGTCAGCATCGTCTCAAGTTTGTCGACCATGAAGCACACCCAGACCACGCTTTCGGCTTCCAGAATCTCAACGATGTTGTCCGTGCGGCGTATATCGTGCCCGCCTTCGATCATGGCCTGTGTGATGACGACCTACCCCCGACATCCCTCGCTCGTGCTGGGTCCAAGGCGCCCTTCTACACATACTACTACGTCATGATGTAAGCATTTGGTCTCACGTCTTTGAATCACACACATCGCTGATTCCGTCACGCAGGTTTGCGGACCGTGACATGTACATGCGCCATCTGGGTGGAGGAGTTGGCCATCAAGGCGAAGGAATCCATGTGGAGGACTCACAGGATAACGCGGCGCGAGATCCACGAATCCGGCCATTGCAGTGGGAGCCTACCAGTGGTGCCCGGCTCGTAGGCGACGACATTGAGCACCCAGATACAGACGTTGTCTATGAGGTCAATTTCTCCTCCGCTGCCACCACCTCTAGCCCCGACAGTGATTCTGAACATCCTCCTCATGCACCACCCGACAACACCCAAGCTCAAGCCTCTCAGCAGGAGAACGTGCCCGAGGCCGGAGATGCCGCCCCACTTCAAGCGGAGGTTGACGACCTCGAGGAGCGCGAGAATGTACATTCCGGAGAGGTTGAGGTTGAAGATGAAGACGCATGCTGGGTGAACGACGGCAAAGATATTGATGAGGTCGAGATCCTTCAGGATCTCGATGGCTGTGGTGACGAAGAAGACCATGACGCTGAGCCGGAGGACGAGTACGATATAACGGGCCATGCTCGCTGGTGACACCCGGGGGACGTCGATGCGGACATCGGTAGGATGACACTCTCTTCCCTGTAATGTGTCCTCATCCTACTCAGTGTCCATGCGGGGATGCAGTGGAGATGGACAGTATTGAATCGCAATTCATCGTCATAGTATACACTTCATGATACAACTACAATCGGGAGCCGAGCGCGCTCACATTGCGCGCAGCGACACAACCCTGCCTACATCCAACCTTCTTCACTCGTGTCGAAGGCGTTTTTGCTCGCGGCCCATCTACACGTGGCTTGTTACACAGAGAAAAAAGACAACGTGAAAGCCGTACCTGAGAAGGAGCCTCATCGTGGTCATCATCGTTGCGACCGCGGACGCGAGGGGGATCATCCGACTCCGGGCTGGGGACGCGTGTTTCTTCATCCCCGGGACTAGCAGAGGCCTCACAAGCGGGAGAGGGGTGTCTCCGAGGCCAATGGATTGACGCAACCAAGTCGTCGGGGTTGATCCAGCGGTTGTTTTCTCCCGTGCATGCCTCATTGAACGCGATCGAGCAGGCCTGCGAAAGCGCCCTCTGGCGACCTCCACTTGGCCACACAACGCGGCTCCCAATGACCGGAGGGGTACACTGACAGGACATAGACGGTGATACTGTGTCCTGGGGGCTTGTGATGTTCGGGAGAGGTCCCTGGCTGCCCAGGAGTCGCCCGGAGATGAGCCGCGTAGAGCGCCGCCAAGAATCATGGAGTGTTGACAGTCCGAGAGGATTCAATGAGGTTGGTGTGTGGAAAGACGTGGCGAGGGAAGTCGAGGGAGACCGGTCGGACCCGAAAGATGGAGAGGAAGCCACAGACAACGTGCCTTGTTGCGGAGAAGAGAGATTGCTAGACACACCGACAGGAACGGGGTTGTTCGAAGAGGTGCGAGAGGGTGATAGAGAGCGAGGCAGAGACTGGGAGAGAGAGGTGCTGTCTGTGTTGGGCAGAGATGGGATGACGGCTAGTCCGACTGCGTCCTCCTCCGTGTCGAAGGCCCTCATGAGTTGCGCGAAGCAATGGGTGATGCGCTCCCGGCGATAGACGATCTCGCCGTGGGTAGAGGCGTCCTCTTTGAAGCAGGTCCTTGCCTCGTTGGTGCAAGTGATCGCGAAGTCAAGCAAAGCATCGCCGAGTAGTCTTGAGCGGCGGGGCTGAGTGCCGGGGACCATTCTGGAGGAGAAGAGTGAAGACGTAGGCACAGAGAAGAGGAATCCGTCTTGAAGCACCCTGCGACGTGCGTCAGATCACGTGGTATCTCGTACTTCCCGGCCACCGGAGCTGGATCAGCAGCTGATCGTCAAATGCTCATTCACTGGTCATCTTATGCTCTGTACTCAGTGTACCCGCGATCATTTGCACATTAACAGATCTAATAATCGTCAGACAGATTGCAAAATGATCGCACAAATTCAGCTCAAGACGATAGTTGATCATATTTCGTCTACTAGACGAACCATGATCATACTTAAAATCGATGACGAAAACAGTTCATGCCGTGATCAACGGGCGCTTTAGAGATCGGCGCCGTTCTATCTCGCGCGCGTTTCGTGATGCCAGGGCACGTCGCTTTCTCGCCTTTTCGAAGCGAGCCAGTCCTTTCCAGCGTCGCTTCGGGGCTTGGACCACACTGCATGGTGCAGATAGCATTTCTTCACCGTATCTATACTACCACTGCTCATAACAACTACAACCATAGTCACGCCAATTATTGTACAAAACGTCAAGCCACCTGTCCGCGTATCGTCCTGTGCGCTGACCATCTACTGCGACGCCGAGTACTCCTCCAGCTGGGTCTGGATGTGGATCAACTTCTCCATACGCTCCGTCAGCCGCTTCCGAGTCACTGCGATCTCCGGATCTTCCTCCATCCACGACTCGAACCGCTTCAGCGACTCTGGCGCATCGACCGCGAGCTCGGTGAGGAGCCGGCCCTGGAGCCCGTCCGCGAACTTCTGCACGAAGTCGTGCTGGATCCGGGTCGGGATGTGGTCGATTATACGCTGTGTCGCCCGCAGTCAGTACCAGACCTCGGAATGTAGAGAGCACCGGCAAACCTTGTACGCGATGTGGAAGAACGCGCGGACCTCGGCCATGACCAGGATCTCGTCCTTGTACTCGTCCACGGGGAGCAGCCGCCGGAAGTCGCTCTCGACGAGCGTGGTCGGGTATCCAAGCGCGCGGAGAGCTCCGAGCGCGATGGAGACATGGTCTGTAGGAGGGACATGAAGTGAGGACGTAGAGTATATACCCCCGCGCGGCGCAACTGTCGGACTCCTGGGCTCATTGGTCACGTATGGAGCATGAGCGGTCGGTTTCCCGCTGATGCGGAAGGAGGACTCTTGGCGGTACCGGAGCCACTGATAGTGCTCGTGCCACCGCTCGGTGCCGACGCGGAGGTCGTGCACGTTCTGAGTGAACAACGCAATCTGCTCGTGGTCGAGGGAGCTCATAAGCGCGTCGGAGCAGTCTTTCGCGTGGGTTTTCATCTGTGCCGCGACGAGAGCCCTGATTGTAATGGTCGTGAGCACTACTAGACGTGCCACAAGACGAAACCACAATGTGAGAACACGAACGTGATGGAAGCCTTGAATTTCGGGAACGTCCCAAAGTTATCCTCGATGAGTTCGACGACGACGCTCTCGAGTATGCGCGCGACGTTCTCGAAGGCCGTCGCGGACGGGTCCTCCCACTGGTCGACGAAGCCCTTGATGAGCTGCGCTTTGGCATCGAATGGGATGTGGCCTGGGAGCTCCCAGCCAGTGCATCTGCAGAAACCGCGTGAGATGAACTGTGTAGGAAGGATGGGGGGCATCGCTCACTCTTTGATGACCTTGCGCACGTCAACTAGCCCCATGACTTTGCACCTCGACACTGCTTCTGAAAACTACTTCATGATCAGCGCGAAATCATCGTAAATCGAGGGAAAGCCGCACCTCGAAGTGCTCTTCGGGCGGAGGGCAGGGCACCGGGGACTCGACAACCATTGGTGGTGCAGTGGACGCCTTGAATGGCCTTCCAAAGTCGTAGTCCTCCGTACCACTCGTAAGCTGCGAGCACATACTTCCTGGGACCGGTCGCCGTTTCTCTGGAACATCGGCCTTCTGCGGCACGCGGAACCACGCGTCCAGCCCCTTCGCGCACGCGGCATCCTCCTCCACCACCGCGTCGAGCTCCTGCGGCCGCCGGAACTCCCGCTCGCACTGCTCCAGCGCGCACTCGAACGGCCAGAACTCCGGCGCGCTCCGGCGCATCGCCTGCTTCATCGTCAGGTACGCCTCGCGCGTGCGGTGCACGAACGTCCGGTCGTCCGCGCGCCCGTGGACCTTGCGGCTCAGCGCGACGCAGAAGCCGACGATGCGGTCAAGTGCCTCTGCGGTCGCGCCCTTCGCGGAGATCGGCGGTGTGGGGACGGACGCGAGCGCGCGCTGGGTCGACGCGATGAGGCGCGTGACTTGGTCCATCAGCTTGGGGAGGCTGCGCGTGCGGTCAGCGCGGGCTCCGTCGAAGAGACAGGAACGGGGCGCACTCGCGGATGAGGACGCTCATGAGGAGCGCGCTGACGTCCCGCACGAGCGCGTCGAGGCCGAGCCGGTTCGCGGCAATGTCTTTCCACGGGGCGTTGGCGGCGAAGAAGCTCGTCGCGCGGCGAGACAGCTCGGCGCGCGAGATGCCCTCCTTGCGCTCAGCATCGAGCGCCAGCCGCACGGCGTAATAGCCCAGTCGGAGCTTGTGCTTGCCGGTGCCCGCGAAGGTCTCCGTCCACAGCTTTACCGCGTCAGTCGATCCTGTGACGACAGTGTCGGGTTTCGTAACGATCCCTGCAAGTATGTGGGTGGGCGAAGCGGCGAGAATAGTGACACGAAGAAACATACCGATGGTCCGCTTGCCCTCAGGGTCGGCCTCCTTCGCGAGTCGCATCGCCTTCTGATTCTCAATATTATCTGGGAGAGGTGTGAGCCTTCGGTGGGACGTGGCGCAAGACGGCTCTTACCGACGGCAGGCAGGGTAACGAGGATGAACGTGGAGGAATGTTTGATATTCTCGGTGACGAGATTCTGAATGAGCCGAATCACCTCCAAGTCTTCGTTCTCCACCAGCCCTATATCGCAGGCTTCAGCACCTTCCCCAAGTCGACTACTCACGACACTCACCCGGCAAGTCCACGAAGATAAGGTCAGCTCCAGCCGGATCTTCGATGCTGATCACAACCGAATCGCTCACGACCGTCTTGACCGCTTCGTTCTTCCCTTCGACCTTCTCCGTCATCGCCTTGATCTCCTCCGCGTTCTTTGTCTTGAAGGCGTGTCGGGGAAGATGAGGACAGAGGAGCGTAGCCTGAGCCCGCCGAATCCAGAGCTCCACATCGTCCGAGCGCGAGAGGACTGGCGAGTACTGGGCGTCCGGGGATGGGGAGATACGCAACGAGATGGTGCAGGACCACGCGGGGCCGGAGAGAATGGTACACTCCATCGGGCATCTGCGAGGCGTCAGAAGACTGCAGGTAAGTATAAGGGTGGACGGAAAGCTGACCGTGTGCACATTCCGTCGTCGCGCGGGACCTTCACTCCGGTAACGGCTTCGACTAGGGAGCTCTTCCCGGCTGCTATCGCGTAAGGAGCTCCTCCAGACACGCATCGACGCTCAGTGACTCACCAGACTGGCACCCGATGACGGCCAGACGAGGGACGTTGAGGGTGTCCGTTGACGCGCTGGTAATCGCAGACGTTTCAGCGCGCACACAGGCACAGGGACTAGGTGAAAGACGTGCCCGAGAGCCTTCAAGTCGTGCAAGATCTTGAAAAGCGTCCGTCTCTGGCGAGCATACTCGCTCTCGCCAACGCCGGCAGTTTCGCCCACCTCACCGCCCATGGTGTCGCCGGGAGGCGTGCCCCAAGTGAAGTCGGAGCTGTTTGAACTTTCCTCGCCCACGTGATGATCGGACGTGTCCGACCTTCCGCCCTTGCTGTAGACATACAACGCTCAGCAGAGTGACATAGGAGAGGTCAAACACGCACCCAAGGAAGCCGAAGCCAAAGGATTGCTTGCGTTTGCGTTCGGTCATGATGCGGAGACGAAGAGAGCGGGGTGGGATGGTATGCAACGATGTAGCAGTACATATAGCCCGGGGAGCGACATGGGCCTCGCGGCAGACGAGCACGTCGGGAGCAATCCCAGTCTGCGCAGAGATCGTGTGCTGCGGTAGAGAGAGGGTTTGACCGTGGAGGATGCGTGCCCACGGTCTAGGCGTGTTCGATCCACAAAGGGAAACTGGGAGCAGCGATTCGCCCGAAGGCAGCCCTTTCCCCAAGCACGAGGGCGCGCGCGAGCTGCGAACCCTGCCGGTTCTGGACGCCACAACCTAGATAACTGGGAAGTACGTACATGGGGCGAACAGCATGCAAATGCATTTGCCGATTTTCTGGTGCGGTCTGACTTGTCGCTCGAAGTTACATGAGGAGAATGTCTGAGTGCGACCCATCATGCATCAGCAATAAGCTGCGGGCGGACGTGGCTTCAAGGCCTCACCTCCCGTGCCGGTGGAGGCGGTGGGGATGGCGTACGCCGAGGGCTTCGCCCATCCCCGCGCGCGAGTTGTGAACCAGTTCGACCGACGACTCCGTTTACAGTGGACACCCTGAGTACCCGAAAAAAAAACTCAGATCAGCTTGAGGCCCGGGTCGAGGGGCAAAAATGAGTTCCACTCCTACGAGGGCTTCGCGGCCGAACGAACTGAAGGCGAGAAGCTGCCCCGTTTCTACGGTCTAATCTAGATATGGGCGAACCTGTGAGAGCGGGTGCAGGGTCAGTCGATGTGCTCTCGGACAAGCGAGACGGCCGCGCTGCAGCTTGCTAGCGCTGACATGCGTGAGCGTACCCGCGACATTCGCGTGACATCGTCGTCACAGTATGTACATCCCAGTCGACGTCTCTGAACTCGTCGATTCGGAATCGATTTGACGGCAGCCAGCTTGAACGTTCCTTGTTGGTAGTGCGCATACAACCACGAAGCGCGGACGTCTAGTATATCTTCCAATCACGATCTCCTATGTCACTGCACCTAAAGAAATCTGCCCACCAGCAACAGCAACAGCAACAGCCTTCGCGTCCGTCCCTGGTGGCGAGGAGCCGCGCCCATTGGCGCGCTGAGCAAAAGCGCAATCCCGTCGAGCCTATATAAGGTTGCGTTGCTTGACGTAGTCTTCGCGTGGGTGCGACGCGCGACGCGCGGGGCGGTCGAAGCCCCGACAGCGTCGGCTTGGCCCGGGCCACATCGTGCGTGGATGCAGACAGCGGGCGCGGCCGTGCGGACGCGGGAGCGGTGTCCCCCAGTGCTCGCGTGGTTCCCTGCGCGGCGACCAGGAAAACCCCAACATGGACCTGGAACCCACGTCAGACGTCAGCAGAAAGGACTGCACGGAGGAATCAGGCGAACGCACTTGGTGGGGCGAGAATCAAGCCGCAGCACGCGCTATCGCGCCCGCTCGCCGTCGTTCTTGTTGCCGGCAGACGCCGCGCCCGCATCGCGGTGGGACCCGTGCGAGATCGTGGAGAGGCTGATGGGACCGGTGGTGAACATCGTTATTTTCTCCAGCGGCGACTGCTTGGCGGCGAAGATGGCGATGATCGACATCGGGTAGATGGCCAGTGCATGTCCCTACTTCAGCCGGGTAAGTCGGCTGACCGGATCCCAAAATACCCCGAAGGTACCGTCCGGCCGGGCCCGATCAGGTCCGGCCAGGTACCTCAGCGGAGTCGCCCGATCAGGTCGCCTCGGGTAGTCTGGAGGAGTCGTCCGATCAGACCGGGGTGCGGGCGGGGAATAACATGAGGGAGGCTTGAGCCAACGTCCTGTGAGTAGCATAGAAATATGACATCTGATGCCTTGAATGCATGGAAGAAAAGGCGGGTGGGTAAATGGAGCTCAGATAGATTTGTGAGTGTTTGTGTTGCAATCAGGTAGTGCGGGGGACTCAGGTAGCCGGATCCGAGTGGGATTGACGGCCACGCACTGGATCACCCATGGCGCCGCGCGGTGCTCACGCATGGCATCCACAAACTGAGGAAACCACTCCATGCTCGTTTCGGAGGGACGTGGCGGCATTTTGGCGCTTGAAAAGAGCTCGCGTGGAGGCTTTTGGGTCGCGCGGGGGACTCGGGCAGCCGGATCCGGCCCAGATCTCCCTGGGCACTGGCTGACCTGCAGGGCCTCACTTTCCTTGCGTATTGTACAGGCTCACCAAGTGTGTTGAAGCGCGCCCAGTTTAAATGCATGCGGCGGCATTGTTGCTCTTCAAAACAGCTCGCGCGGAGCCAGGTGGTGTGCGGAGCCAGGTGGTGCGCGGAACCGGGGCAGCCAGGTCCATCCCGCTGCGCTCCGTTTTCCTCACAAACAGCATCCACATTCGAGAGTCTATGTTGTGTCTATTTTCAAGGTTTCTTATGCCTCATGCGTTCAGCAGCGAGTGCGTACCAAGCTGAGAGCGAGAGCGCAGCAGGTGTCGCTGTCGTGGTCGGCATCGCTGTCGCTGTCGCGGGCGCTTAATCGGCGTCGCTGTCGCGGTCGCTGTCGGCGTCGCGGTCGCTGTCGCTGTCGTGGTCAGCGTTGGCGTCGCTGTCGCTGTCGGCATCGCGGTCGCTGTCGGCTTTGCGGTCGCGGTCGCTGTCGGCTTTGCGGTCGCGGTCGCTGTCGGCTTTGCGGTCGTGGTCACTGTCGGCACCGCTCTCACAGGCGTCTATCCGCATTTCAGCCTGTACCACCGGAGTGAGTATCTACCCTCCAAAGCATTGAATTACTTCAGCGTCATCTGCATCGGATACCTGCATGTATGGGCTGTTGTTATGCAAATTTGGAAGGTATTTACTGCAAGATTGAGGGGATGATGTCACATGACATTTTCGAATGAGATACCACATACTGACATGAGATGTGAGTGCATCACATGCTGGACACCTAGATATATTCAAGGAGGATCTTATGATTGCAACGCAGAAAACAGCACAAATAAATACGGACTTTTGGTGATGGTACTGTGTATGTTTCAAAATTGGAAGTTCTCAGAAGACATGATATGCATAACTTCTCATGCAGATGTGATATTGGCGATCTGTTTGCTTCGTCGTAAACCAATACTTATTGAGTGCTTATATCGGGATTTTCATGCCTATCGGTGACGAAATGCACATGGGGCGTCATTTGTCATTATTTCATGACATACAATATACCGACATATCGTGGACTTCAATGGACATGGTAGCATATGGAACAGGATCGGATGTGCAGCAGCTCGACGATGCAAAAAGAATCTAAAAAAACGGTCAAGAACCGGTGGAGATGTGCACTGGGAGCCCGAAGTGTGCTCTGTGTTGAATGCACTCTGAACTCGCCTTCTGCTGAAACCACACTTCGGGCTCCCAGTGCACATCTCCACCGGTTCTTGACCGTTTTTTGAGATTCTTTTTGCATCGTTGAGCTTCTGCTCATCCGATCCTGTTCCATGTGTTATTATGACGATTGGAGCTCATGCTATGTCGGTATATCGTATGTCATGAAATAATGACAAACGACCACCCTTATGCATTTCGTCACCGATATGCATGAAAATTCCGATATAAGCACTATACTAGTATCGTCTTATGATGAAACTGACAGATTTCCAGTTTTTTGTCTCCACAAGAAGTTATGCATGTCATGTCTTCTGAGAACTTCCACTTTCCAAACATACACAATACCATCGCCAAAAGTGCGTATTTCTTTCTGCTGTTTGTTGCGTTGTGATCAAACAATCTTCCATGAATATATGTAGGTGTCCAGCATGCGATAGACTCACATCTCATGTCAGTATGTGATATCTCATTCTAAAATGTCATATGACATCATCCCCTCAATCTTGCAGCAACTACCTTATAAATTTGCATAACAACAGCACATACATGGTGGTATCTGATGCAGAATACAGCTAATCCATTCAACACTTTGGAGGGTGGATACTCACTTCAGTGGTACAGGCCTGAACTCTGGATAGACGCCTGTGAGAGCGATGCCGACTGCGACCGCGATTGCGACAGCGACAGCGACCCCGACAGCGATGCCGAGGCCGACAGCGATGCCGATGCCGATAGCGACAGCGACCCCGACAGCGACAGCGATCAAGCGCCCGTGAGAGCGACAGCGATGCCGACAGCGAGAGCGATGTCCGCGATCTCGCTCTCAGCCCGCTGTGGGTGCATCCTCGAAGAGCCACACTTCCCCCTACAGCTGAGTTGGAGCGCCGGGTGAACTGATCTAATGCACGTGAAAACTGGGGCATGGAGCAGGGGACTCCATTCTGAGCCAGATGTTACATTGCCTGAGTCCCCTAAGCGACCTGACCACTGCACGAGCTCTTTTGAAGAGCCACAACACGACGTACACATATGGAGTGGGTGCGGAATAGTGCACCTTGCCAGCCCCCACAACACACGAGAAAAGCGGGGCCCCACGGATCGGGCAGTGCCCAGGGACGTTCTGAGTTGGATCCGGCTGGCTGAGTCCCTCGCGCTACTTACCTAGCCCCCTGCACGAGCTCTTTTCGATCGCCCCAACACCGCCGCATGCCTCCGAGACATGCAAGGGGTATCTTTCTTGGTTTGTGGATGCCATGTATGAGCCCTGCGCACCGCAGCATGGGCCGTTATTCTCACCTGCCGGATCCGGCTGCCCGAGTCCCCTGCACTACCTGATCTCAAGACAAATGTCCGGAAATTCCCATAGGCTCAATGCACACACGCACCATTTCTTCTACGCATTCAAGGCATCGTATATTATAATTCTATGCTACGTACAGGGCGTTGCTGAAGCCCTCCTCTTCTTATTCCCCACCCGCACCCCGGTCTGATCGGACGGCTCCTCCGGACTACCCGAGGCGACCTGATCGGGCGACTCCGCCGGGGTACCTGGCCGGACCTGATCGGGCCCGGCCGGACGGTACCTTCGGGGTATTTTGGGATCCGGTCAGCCGACTTACCCGGCTTACTCTAGGGCCCTCAAGTGAGATGGCCTGCGCAGAAAGCCGTGAAGCTGAGCGTTTGGCACGACGCGAGAGATGCAGCGAGAACGCACGATGAGCGGCGCGATGCACGAGAGAATGAAGACGTTGCCGGCGATTTCGAACGAGCCTGGGGGGGCGAGGTGATGCACGATGCGTACCCCGTAGAAGGTAGCGACGAAGGCCTGCAGGGAGGCGCTCTCAATGTGCGCACAAAGGAGCGAACAAGTCGGGCACGTACCCAGCACAGCGAGTAGGCGATCCCGGTTTCTACCAGGAGTAGTAGCAGCTGGAACGTGCGCGGAAGCCCACTGCGTCCCGCTAAGCCCCTTCTAACTGTCTTCCAGTGGATCCTGCAGAGCACTTGTTACGAGATCCAGGCGCGCGAAGCCGACAGAGTTCCTCACCATGTCTTGGCACTAATGAGGGCGGTGGCCACGACGTTTGTGAGCAGCGAGAAGAGGAGACCCACGAACCCAGCTTTGATGTCGAGGAAGGCGGGGAGGTGGAAGGGGACCGGAACCGTTTCTTGGCTGGACGCAGTGTAGATGGAAGAGGCGTGTGCGAGCGCGATAACTCCGTTCACTTGGCGGAGAGATGAACACGCGGAAACAGAGGCAGGAACCAAAAGAAGTACGCACCGAGAATCGCCAAGTTCAGCACCACCGCGAGAATGTTGACCCAGCGCGCGTATCCCCAGAGCGCGACAGCGCGCCAGATGACGACCGCGTCGCCGATGGTGACCTGAAATGTGCGAGCGCTTGTAGTCGTCGTAGTGAAAGACGTGTCGGTGACTCGGTGCTCACGTTGATGCCGAGCGTGCCGAAGACGACGAGGGCCATCGCGTAGACAAGACTGACGCGAGCGGGGCTGACGGTCAGTCCCGCGGCCTGTCGGTATATGATATCGTCCGTTGCAAACGCGGCCACGATCGACGCGACGAAGAAGAGGGCGGTCGAGAGTGAGAGCGCGGCGGTCGCAGCGAGCAGGGCTTTGACAGCGCGGTGCTGCATGTCGCGTCGCCTGCGGGCGCGTTGGAGGAGAACGGAGCAAAAGCGTGACGAGAGAAACGCACCAGAGAAGCCTGAACGAGATGAGAGACATTGCGATCACCACCCCTGGCAGTGCACAAATCAGTTTAGCACCGCGCCCAGTGGCGGCCGACGCACCGGACAACGTTGAAGACAGGGTTGTGCGAGTGATCAGATTGTGGACGGAGTCATGGTACTGCTTGAGCGACGCGACAGCGTCCGCGCCGTCCTCAGCCATAACGAAGGGGGAGAGAAGCAGAGGATGCGGACGACCTCAGGCGCCTTCGGGTTCCCGCGGTGTTCCGGGCGCTACTTCGTAGTCCAGGCACGCTTGTTGATGATCATACTTACATAAGCTTCGCTTGACGACCCCAGTCGTCCACCAACTCACATCCGCTCTCAGTCAGTGAAAGCGATCTCTCCGTGGTCGGCCAGACGCAAAGTTGCACCCTTTGTGCGGTACAAATGAGCGCGCCGTCCATATTCCCGTCTGATTCTAAGTTCTTGATCCGGTCCGAATCGTTACAATCCGTACTTCATCCGCTTCGTATCATCAACGTTCACATGCCTGTCAACCAAAGCTGTGTCCCGCAACATGGTAATAAAGGGCCTCGTGGACGGACTGAGAGCGTTTTACCCCTGCTTCGACGTTCCATCTGGCACCTAGGGAAAATGGCGTCGCAAAGACGGGGTCCAGAGCTGCAGTTTCTGGCCTCGCCGTGGGTCTCGACGCAGGTCTACATAGTCATTCTTTCGGCATTCTTCTTCGGTGAGTCTTCATCTGTACATTCGACTAGTAAAACTCACTGATCTCTTATCTCGCAGGCATCACAGTTGCTGTGACTTCAGTGACTGTGTTCTTGTTGTTGTGCGTATCCCGTGTCCTTTTTCATCCGTCGCCCACTGAGCCAACAGGCCTGCTGCAAATTCCATTAGGCGCGGCGGTCTAACTCGGAGGTCACACAAGATCCAGCTGCTATCAGTCCTGCTGCTCTTCGTGTCGACGTTGCTGTTCTTCCTTTTCACGACAGTATACAACGTCAATCTATACACCTTCAACGTGCAATGGGATATCGAAGCACCACTCGCGTCGATCATCTCGGACGTGGAGTCGCGCTGGGGAGAGCACGCCCAGCGCGTGCAGTCCGGAGTCGTCACTGCATGCCTGACGATCAATGTACGCAAGCAATCGGCTGCCTCGCTCGATCATTAACCTCAATTTGATCCCTGTTCAGATCTTTATCAGTGACGCCACGGTTTGGTGGAGGGCGTGCATGCTATGGCCCCGAAATGCCTTGGTCCGTTGCATGTGCTTCCTGTTGCTCGCGTCGACTTTAGGTGTGTATGCAGGTTCTGTAACGCTCTCGCGTGCTGACACTCAATACCTCACATCCAGGAATAGGACTTGTGGAGACATACACGTCTGCCCTTTCACTCCCGAATTTTGTTGCATACGACTATCAGGCCCAGCTGTATACTCGGGATGGTTTTGGGACCATTGCGTTCGTCTTGTCGCTCACGAACAATGTGGTTGCCACCGCTCTCATCGCGTTCAAAGCTTGGTAAATGCTCGTTAAGACTCATACTTGTTGCGAGGGCGCTGACGGCGTCCTTGCCAGGCGACACGCTCGCATTCTGCGGGCTGCGCTGGGCGCTGGGAACAAGAAGTCTCGCGCCGTCAAGATGCTGTCACTCCTCATCGAATCCGGCGTCATATACTGCGTGGTTTGGGTACGTGGACGTTCAGGTTCACGCGCATATGATCTCTAATGTTTCCTCCAGCTCTTCATCGTCATCTCTGCAATCCGGATCCCCACTACGGCGAATGATACGAGCGTACGCGCCGTCGGATATGCCACATCCGCGAGCATCCTCCTCAGGGGGTGTCTGGTCTATGTTATCGTTCGTATCTCCCCGGATCGCTCATACCTCATACGCGGGTTTGACTTGGACCATGCAGGGCCTCTATCCGATGTTGATCGTGGTCATCGTCCGCCTGAAGCATTCGCAGCTCGACAACGTTCATTCGGAAGCATCCGGCACGTCGATAAGGTTTGGGTGGCCCGAAGCATGCTCCAGACAAGATGTTGAACCCGCCATCATCTCGATTCCTCGTATGGGTCCTCTCGGAGAACATGAGTTCAAACCCGATTCGTCGTCGCATACGCTTACTCGGCCAAGCTCGGTTTACGTCTCGGCGATGTCGGGCGAGAAAGTCGCGGACTTGCGAAGGCGGCAGGATCGTTCGGGCAATTGATGTGCTTCAGTTGACAACAACACAGTGTTAAGACGTGACTGCATTCCAACGTGAGCAGCAAACGACTGCTTTCGCTTCCACGTAGTATGCGCTCAATCGGAGAAAAAAACGGCCGTCACTGCTTGCTCGACCTCTGTGGAGTCAATCAGTCTCCATATGTACGCCGCGGGTTGCAGGTAGCCTAGCGTCTCGTCGGGCACTATGGTTGCTCTGGAGTGACGCCGCCTCGCCGAGTCTTTCTTCGATGTACTGTACCATTTCGATCTATTCGAACGTCACGCGTCACAAGCCCTCCAAAAGTTCGAAATTTCCGGGGTTGGTCACGCATCACAAGCCCGCGGTTCGAAACCGTTGGATGGGCGCTTAATAACATGCACACTCATTTCGCGCCGCGTCCACAACAATTTCGGCCTTTGGGTGCGTTCTGCGCTGACCGTGGTAGAGCTGAGTACTCTGTGTCTCTTGTAACGGTTCGCCTGGCTCGTTCCAAACTATCTGGTTCGAATATTTCGGAGTGGTCACGCCGGGCCGGCCCCCGGTTCGAATTCACCTGGCGGACTTGGGCTGTCACGCACCAAGGCCCGGTTCGAATAGATCGAAATGGTACAGTATGGTGATACTTACCGCCCCCCGGGTGGAGCCCCGTTGGTGGGAGATTAATTTTGTTGCGGGTTCCAGACCCGGACGCCGGCGCAGGGGAAGCTGCGCTTGCCGCAAGGATGCTGATAGTCAATCTGACGCATTCACAGCTCGAAACGATACATCCGGATACTGTAAGCCTACACGTGCAGTTCTCGTGGACACAAAAAGACTCGAGGAACAGCATTGCGATGCCAATGTCGGTATCCTCCCGCCGCATAAACACGCCCAATGAAGACGAAGTGAACCGCCCATCCTTGCTCAGCCCAGCTCGACTTATGCTTCGGCGATGTCGGACAGCGAGTGCTTGGAATAGGACGATGGTAGGACTAGTTGGATATTCAGACTGTGCTGTGTAACAACGTAGAGACTATGAAAGCACCAAGTAATGTAATAACGAGTATGCTGCACGGTGATATTTACGGCAGTCGGTGCATACAGGAGAAAGACGAGGGAGCAGTGATTGCTCCGCTCACATCACCTCACCTCGCACCTCCTCGATTAAACTCTTCCTCTTCCTCGTATCCGCTCCACCGCCACCCGCCCCCGCCCCCGCCTTCTCCGGGCCCGCGATGACCTTCCCAGCCCTCGCCTCGCCACCCCGATTCCCGCACACAACCGCGCCCAAGAACGCCTCGCTCTTGAGGCTCTCGACCCCCACGACGACCGGCGCCGCGCACACCTCCGCCTTCGGCAGGTCCCAGTCCACGACCGTCGCGCGCGCGCGGACGACGAACGTCCGGTGCTCCCGGCGCCCGAACAGCGCGAGCGGGACCGGGGCCCAGAAGCGCACGCGCCACTCCGCTGCCGGGTCCGTCTCCGTCTCCGCGCCGTTGCTCCCGTCTTCCTTGTGCTTTGCCGATGTCGCGCTCCCAGGGAAAGCGAGCCACGGGATGGCATCGAACCGAGACCAGGACGAAGATGGAGGGAGCGGGACGAAGACGGTGTCGCGGTCGATGGCGATCCCCGTCTGGACGCTGAGCGCGCTGAGAACGTCGGCGCGGGCGATCTTGTGGCCGGTGTACGTTGTGCGGAAGTCGGCGTGGAGAGAGGAGATGTGGAGGTGGAAGGCAGAGGCGGCGCCGCAAGGGGACGCGACGGCGGCGAGCTCGATGTGGAGTTCCTGGATGGGCGAGCGAGGAGGGAAGGCCTTTGAGCCGCCGGGTGGTGGGCGGGTGTCGCGGACGACGAGGGTGGCGCCCCACGCGAGGATGTCTCTGTGAGGTGAAGTGAGCATAGATATGAGGGAACAAAGGGGGAATACGGGACGTACTGCTCGTTCGCGTCCCAGACCACGATCTGCCACTCGTCCGGCTCGATATCGACCGAGACCTTCCGAGGCGAGTTCCACAAGCCCGGCATGCTGAAGACTGGTTGAGACGCGCTGGGTTGCTGCTGCGGTGCCACCGAAGCTTTCGCGTCTGACGGAACCCTCGGAAGATTGAGTGCGTGTGTGTCTGGTAGCAAGCTGCTGACGGGAGGAAGCGTGAACGGTTGCGGGACGGTAGAAGACAGCGATGCTGGCGGTCTGTGCGAGGATAACGCTGGGACTTCGCGCTTCTGGATGGCTTGGAGCACAGTCGAAGAGCGCGCCTTCGGACGACCGGAGTTATCATAGGGAGAGTAACGATGTATGAGGGGACTAGAGACTTGGCGAGGAGGAGGCGGGTCGTTGCGCACTGGAGAGCTGATGAAGGTCGTGTCCGCCGCCGCGTCGCAGTGATCCTCCACGTCCGATCCGCAACCAGAGTCTCGAACCCTATTCTCCGCGCTCGCGGTGAACCGGCTCTCGTTCCCAGCGTCGACGAACGGTGAGTCGATCTCTTGCGAGTACGGAGGTGGCGGCGACGCGGCGGCGAAACTTGACTCAAGCGGTGGCGATGGCGCCCTCGAGATGTCTCGCACGTTGAGCTTGACCACCCGAGGACCAGCGGCGGGTCGGGGTCGGCCGCGTGTCGATGGTGGCGTCCCAGTGGGCGTCGTCGAGCGCTTTCCTGGCATGACTATCGTTGTTGTTCTTTTCAGGAGGGGTGCCGATGTGGAGCGCGAACGCGGGGATCCAAGTGGCGCGCCTTATCTTCGCGATAACGCTCGGCTTTGTGGAGTTGGCGCCGAGGGTGGCGGGGCGGCTGAAGGTGGTCGACACCGAGAAGGAGACGGAGCGCGAGCGGCGACGGCGTGGGGTGGTCACGCGCTTGAGTGTGTGGGCGGTAGTGGACGCGAAGGTGCGGCTGGAGGGTAGTTGGTACCCTTCCGAGACGGAGCGTTTGAGGGCGCTCTTGAGCGGGCGTGATGCACGGGCTTCCCGACCGAGCTTCTGGAAACGAAGTGTCGAGCGCACCGAGTCTTGGGAAGCACTAGAGTCAAGGCGGGCGCGAGCGCGGGGAGGCGTTGCGAGGTCGTTCTCCTCGACGTCGCGTTTCCGCTTTGGGAGCACGCGAGTGGTTGGAGTGGCAGCTGAAGTGGTTGGAGGCGCTGGCGATGCGCGTCGGGAGAGTGGTTGAGGATGGGAGATGATGAGACGTGGACGAGGTTCGGACTTCTTGTTCGGGTTGAGGAGGTGTAATACCTTGTCTGCCAGAGACGTTCGAGGACGGAGACGGAAAGTAGCAGGGCTGTTGGAGTGGCGTGAGGAGAGGAGAGAAGGCATGGAGAGAATGCAAGGAGCCGCCTCTCGTCGCGCAGGTCTTCGCACTGCACTGCAATGTCGTTTGTGTCGCTTGGAGACCGGTAACGATAAAGACATGACAGCAAAAGCAGACGATACCAGAGAGCCGAAAGCAACTTGTTTCGAGCCGTGGAGTAGTTTACAGCACAGCTACCATGCGCTCTTTATACGCTCTTTGTGGGCGACGCGAGCGCGGATACTTGGCACTATACTTCGTCAATCCACAGCCTTGGCCTATGGCGGATCGCCCTGTCAGAGCGATTTATCACTACTATAATCATCATGAAGAAACGACACGTACATGGGAGGACTCGGCCGCTCATACTCACGCGATAATCTGGGCAATGGAATAACTGGATCTCAAGATTCCGCATTGTTCCAGCGCACATTGAAGTTCGAGCGACCAAACCCTCATGCGTAAGACTGGGAATACCGCCTTTCGAGTGGGGAGAGAAAGGGAAAGAAGGCCGCGGCCTGCCAGCCGTTGCGAAGGCGCCAGAATGCTTGATGAGATAATGGTTTCCCAGCACGTGCCGTGTGATTCTCTTATCTTATCTCCCCTCATGTATACCCGTACAACATGTAAATTACAAGATTTCAAGCTTCAACGCCGGCGACACAAACCCCTGAACCTAACATACCAATAGACACCCTATCTGTTTGAAGCTTCACGCGTTTCTTCAAGGAAGCATGGTGGAGCCGTCGAACAGAACGTTGAGCCACGCGGCAAGTCGGAACCCTTGCTTCGCGAGCTGGAGGTCGATCTGTAGCATCGAGCGCACTCATAAACAAACCCCCGCAAGGCACAGCGCGAGGAAAACGACGTACCACGGGGATCGCCGCGTTGAAGTACGCGCCGCTGCACAGGTCCTCCCCGGTGGTGAAGTTGAATACAACGGTCTGCGAAATCAACCCCGTCGCCACTCAATGAGCAAGAAGACAACAAGCGCGACGAGAGAGAGAGACGTACGCAGTCAAACGCGTTCGACTCAGCCGCCCACGCGAGCGGGCACGCGAGTGGGGTGATCGTCGCGTCTTCCGCGTCCCCAGCGCGCGCCACGAGCGCACGCACGTCGGCCTCGATCTGCGCGCCAGGGTGGACGAGCGCGCGCGAGGAGAGCGTCTCGGTCGGGTTTGTGCACGCGAGCCACTGGGCGGTCTCCGACTCGAAGGAGCCAGTCTGTGCTGGGGTGAGCGGGGACACGGAGCGGGCGGACGGAGGGACTGCGCACCTTGATCTCGGCGACGAGGTCGGTGGCATACTGCTGTGGGGTGCCGCCGTGGCTCTGGTCGATGTGCTTGGTGACCATACCGGTGTCCCAGACGGCGTGGAGGTTGCTGGAGGACTCGCCGGAGCACTTGGCGGAGATGTCGTTTCCACCGACTTCGAAAGCCTGGATGGCGTATGGGTTCAGTGTACGGCGCTTCTTCGGACAGCGAGGGACGTACCTCGACGTGGAGGGGTTGGCCGATGTCGCCAAGGAACTATGGCACAGTGTTAGACGCATACACCGACCGGAAAGTCTGAGAACGTACGTGATCTGAGAAAAAGTGTCAACCAAGAAGTAGTTGAGACATGCTACAGGGACTACATACCGAGGAACAAGAGCGCCTCCATGATCTGCTCATCGTCCAGCTTCGTGTCCACAACGCGAGTCGTGTAGTTTGCAATAGCACCCACTGTTTAGTGCTGTAAGTCACCGCATATAGCGACCTATCGAACGGATCCAGGGTACTCACAGATGCACAGATTGTTTGCGCAGTCGCGCTGCTCGTTCACAGAACATGATGTGGGCGGGTTGTCTGCATCCTGCGCATCGGCGATCCGTTCATCACGAGGATCGGCAAGCAACTCACCCTCGGCGTCAACGAAGTGGAGGTTCGCGGACCACTTGAACGCGGTTTCGCCCTTGACTTCGTCCGCCCACTGGAGTAGCACGTCGTCAGTCGCCGCATACCTGGTATGATGACTGTTCTACGCACAATGGCAGCCGGCCCAAGGGAGAAGTTCCACACCGAGCCTAGCGTGGTCTGAACAAAGGAGAGCGCGTTTGGAGCGAGGAACTGCGCGCAGATCCGAAGGTTGCCGTCAGCCTGATATTAGCGCGTACTAAGGTGTATGCTCACGCTCTGCGCCACGAACCTACGCAGAACGACGGACGTTTGGATTAGCGGACAAGGTTGGGGCCGGGTGACCGCAGAGGTACTTACCCGATTGTCTCGTGGCCAAGGTTTCCCCAGGCGAAAGCAGAACCAGCACTGAATGCGAGGAGGGTGGCGATGGTGGTGACACGCATCTTGCTGGATTTGTTGGAGTGGGCGGGCTCAGAAACGTAGGGCCTGCACGGTTCAGGACTGGCAGTCCAAGCTTGATGCTCTTATACCGAGGTCACCGAGCAGAAGTTGAGGCTAAAAGTAGCGCATACAGCGACCCGCGTGCTTGCATGGGAATTTGAGCGACTTGAGTCGGGCAACGTGCGATGGAGCGTCGAGGAGGTCTTGCCTTATCAGGGCCCGGACACGAGGAGCTGCACCGGCGGAACCGGCACATTACGAGCGAAGAGAGCGAACGTCGAGCGGGAAGCGGGTGTACGACGAGAATGGATGAGAGCATGCAGAGGACCTGTCCAACGCGCATTAGCTGGGAACGTGGTGCTGTGGGGACTGGACGCACCCGCGTGCTCACGTCGTATGGTCCGCATGCGCTGAGCGATGTTGGGGAAAACGGGGTGAACGTGCGGGGAGTCGGTAGGGACAGCGTGGAGGAGTGCCTGGAGACGTATTCATGGCTTTGACTTAGGCTTTGAGACGACTTGCACACCGGGGGAACAACCTTAGGGCAGGTCCAGACTCCGAAGACGTTCGGCGTCTGCCGCGTGGTGCCTGCAGCCTTTCCCTGGCCGCTCATTGACATCACTAGCACTCCTCTCCCGGCCTCCCCACTCACTGCAAACAAGCTGTATAACGGAGAATTAGGGCTACAATGACAGCGACCTGCGCTGATTACAAATGCGTACAGTACACCTCAACGTCACTCCCAACACCCGCCTGAGCTCGCTCTACGTCCTCCCCACCACCTCCTCCATGCTCCTCTCCGCCGCCAGCCGCCGCAGCGTGTTCGGCGACCCCCCGCTCCCGCCCGCCGCCCCCGCCACCGCGTCCGCCGCCTCGACACCCAGCACCTTCAGCTGCTTCAGCTGCGTCCGCTCCGCCCGCCTCCGCGTCGACCGCCGCTTCGCCGCCGCCCGCAGCGACACGCTCAGGCTCCGCGCGCCCCCGGCCGCCGACTCCCAGCTCTTCGCGGACCCCGGCGTGCGCGTCTTGCGCGACCGCGTGCTCGACCGCGGCGTCTTCGGCGAGCTCCCAGATGTGCGGCGGCGCGACGGCCGTGGAGTCCGCGGGGGCAGCCCGAGGGCCCAGCCGAGGTGACGTGTGGGGAGCGCAGGTGCAGGTGCGGGGACTGCGTGTCCATTGTCGTCGACGGTGACGTCCATCTCCTCCTCTTCCTCGTCCGAGTAGGAGTCGTCCATCGCCGCGTCCTCGTCCTCGAATTCGCCATCGGGGTCGTCGCAGAGCATGTGCTCGTCTCCAAACGGGTCCGCCCCCACCCCGCCGCGCATCTCCGCGTCCGCGTCCGCGCCCGCGCGGTCCGGGCAGGGTACGGGGACGAGCCCGGGCAGCGTCGCGCACCCGTCCGCGCCCGACCCGTCCTTGCTCCACCACGCGTACACCTGCCGCCGCCTGCGCCCGTCTTCGTCTTCGTCCGTGCGCGACTCGCTCGAGCCGCCCCGGACGAAGTTGAGCGCTGTCGCGAGCATCTTGCGGCCCTTTCCCTTTCCCTTGCCCCGCCCCTTCCCCTTCTTCGGCGACGCGGAGGACGGGCGGAGGAGCGCGAGCCCCGCCTCCTCCTCCACCTTCGCGCCGCCCCGGAGCTTCGCGTACTCCCCGGCCCGCCGCCGTGTGTTGTTGAACATGCGCCCGCGGGTGTAGCGCGCGACGCCGTGCGCGTCGTGCTCAACAGCTACGCTCGCACGGCGCGGCTGGCGCGGGTCGGTCGTTGCGGGCGGTGCGGTCGGTGCGGTCGGGTCGTGGGGTGGGAGGTCGGGAGAGAAGGGGGTGAGAGGCTCTATGGGCTCGTCCACAAAACAGCCGTTCTGCAGACGCGAAGGGATGCTGATCGTGGACATGATCTCTGGTGGTCGGTGGTCTTTGTTGAAGAGGCGTGGTGAGTACTTGACTGCAGGGCGAGGCGAGCGTCGTCGAGACACGAGATTAACGGGGAGCGTAGCGTGGCGGGATCACGTCGGTGTACGCAGTTGGCTTATAGGCCCGCGCAGCGTCCATGCGCGTGTACGAAAGGGCTTTGGACAAAGGCGCGGCGGGCGGCACGCGAGCTTCTACTTTACCTGACACCGCCTTGAATTCGATTGTCGTGCACCTTTCCCGGCTTGCGTTTGTGTGACGAACCACAGTGCCACCATTGTTGTCGACCGTTGTCCCGAGAGTCGAACTGTGGTCGTGAATTGCAAGTACCAATGTTTGGGTTGTGCGTTGAAGCCATCGACGGACCAGCGAAGACTTGACGCAAATCCCACTTGGTCTGGAGACACCTTGAGGCTTTGCGAAGTGAGCGGAAGGAGACCAGAGGTGATAGGTGAAAAAAAGTGTTGCTACATGCCACATACCCGGGTCGAACGAGTGACCTCCCCATGACCTGTACGGTACAAGTGGGGCGCGCATACCACTACGCCAATGCGGCAGCTGACATTTTCTGGATGTTTTAGACTCTAATCAGTTGGTTTGTTGCATTGCACCGAGATCGTCCAATTCCAGGCTCTCGCCACCTGACCAACATCATGTCACTCAGTACATTCTTCTCAGACACATTCCTTCCCTGAATCCTGATGCTATCTCGTCCGCGAATTGACCGTGAGTGTAGATCCAATGGTACTTACTCTTGAAATGCCTTCACCAACATCCAGTTGGCTCAAAATAAAAGCAAGTCTTCTGCGCAGCATCCCCAGGACCTTCGCAGATGCGCCCGACGTCCGTCTCCACGCGATTTGTATTGGTGCGCCCAGCCCCGCACACGCTGGGTCTCGGCACCCTCAGCCAGGGCACGGTCACCTGCCCGTCGCCCCTCTGCCGGGTGGGGTTCCCGCGGCCAGAAGGATCGAGTCCCTGGCCAGAAGAGGCCCCGTGAGGCCTATCTGTCCACTTGCCCATTTCTGCGCCCAGCGTGGCGTGAGCAGCCAGCCGACAGGGTTGGGTACATAACCTCCATCCGTGGGCTCGTCCACGTGCGCACCGTTCGTCTCACGAACAAGTGACCCAGCTGCCTGCCTGCCCGACCCCACCACCCCCCTTTGGACTCGACTCGACTCCCTCGCTCGCGGTCACCACCCCTGCACCCCAACGCTAACCCAACCAGCCCTTCGCATCCCACCCACACGAGCGATGTCCGCCCTCCTCCGCGCCGCCGCCGCCCCCTCCGTCCGCGCCGCCGCGCGCCAGACCTCCCGCCGCCAGGGTGCCCGCCTCGCGCACACCGAAGCCCACGAGGCCCCGCACCTGCCGTTCAAGTACCAGAACCGCCGCGCGTTCGCGGTCAAGTACGTCGCGAGCGTGTCCACCTTCTTCGCGATCCCCCTCATCGCCGTCGGGTACCAGCTGTGAGTCTCTTCGTCTTTGTCTTTGTCGGCGTGAGGCGCGGGTCCGGGGCACGGGGGCACGGGGCAGGGACGAGCTGGGCTGATGAAGTTGGGCGGGCTCTGTTGCAGGCGCAAGTCCGCGGGCGCGGCTTGAGGGGCTCGTGCAGGAGTACTGCGAGCACATGCTCAGGCAGCGGCATCGGGTGTAGGGAGGAGAGACTTGCTTGGTGTTTGCTGCCCAGAAGGGGGGTTTGCGTCGTCGTCTGCCATCGATTGTATCATAGAGCCGCTGAATCGCCGCTGTATACGCTTGTACATTCTTTGTATGGATCTTCCTCAACAATACCGTGATCGGCGTGAATTTTCCATGCACTGGAACCTGGATTGTCACAGCAGTAGAACTTGCCGTCCACGGCTAGTGCGCCGGGCATGCCGCAGTTGTGTGATTTTCGCGCACGTAGCTTGGGTTTGGCGTCGGTAAAGAATGACGTCATATCATAGGAATAGTACGATAGCGAAAAGGCGCGCAGTGGCCGTCGACACCGGCGTCTGTCGAAGTGGCAGCTCTCTCTACTTACCACCATCACAATCCTTTGCTCTGATCTCGTCGGGCCTCTCTGGGCAGCCATCCACTCTGCGCCCTCCGTTAAAACCTGAAAGCGACATCAGTTGTCAAATGCGGCGAGCTCGTCGATTCGCCAGTATGTCAAAGGAAACGTAACGTGCGGGTGAGTGCAGTCAGTCGGTACGTTTGGAGTTCTATCTTAAGCATACGCAACGCGCCCACTCATCACGCCCTCGCGTAGCTGTTGCGAGTCGTCACTTTCCTTGGGCCACTATTTCCGATCTCAGCATCTCATTATCTCTCACGTTTCTCAAGTTCACGGTGTCAAATTTCCCCTAAGAGCAGAGCGCGGGACGGTACGTGCCACCTCGTGCCACTGGCTCGGTAATGAGTGGGTGGCTGCATCTGGCTAGTCTCTCGGCCTTGCTGAAATGGCAAATCCCGAGTGCTTACGGGGGTTGCACGTGAATACGCGGGACGATGGATATTTTAACGGCATCATCTGACTTCGACACCATCAGGCCGCGCCCTTGTTGCTCGAGCGAAGTTCCGATTTCTGTGCCGCGCAGATCGCTCAACCTCTCCGAGGAGGTGGGTTTGTTTGGTTTTAACTTCGTTCAAGCACACAGCTGATCCCGCCGCGCTCGCGCACCTGAGCAGACTCCCTTCGTCGCCCCCCTTTCCCAGGCAGCTCTGAAGAACAAGCTCGCGGACTTGAAGAATCTACTCCACTCGTCCACGCAGCCCTCCGAACTTTCCTTATCTCGTGATGATGAACTCCGCGATCAGCAAGACGTGTAGCTGATGGTAGCTTCTCGGCCGCGTCCACGCGCGCTTCCGTGAAGTCATGGTACGTGCTGCACATATGGCTGCACCCTCACCTGCTCGCCGCCCAGGTACCTCTGTATTGCAATTTGCCACTTATGTATCGCGTTTCTCCAGGCTGCGTGCACATGCCGCGATCTCTCTGCTTCCGGCGTCTGCGTCCCGGCGGGCTTGTTTGCTCGACGACAAGGGTCCACTACGGATCGTCGAGCGGCGACGATTTCCTCTCCGCAGTGTCCCTGGAGGGTGAGATATTGATCCCCTCGCGATGTGCGCATATGCCAATGATTGATGAATCCCGCTTTTAGACTCAGTACTGCTGCATGGTACGAGCATCAGCTTGACGACGGAGGCACCCGAGTGTGCTAGTTGCGCATAGGCTACCACGACCTTCACCGCGGCCTCGCCAGGCCCCTGGCCCGCCTTTGGACTGCAGGATTTTGGGTACGCTGACTGATTTCCCCCCTTCGCGATCGCTTTACTCTGTTCTTTATTAGGTAGTCTTCTTCTCTGCCCAACATCGTTTACCCGTGCCTCAACGTCCATATGCGCAGCACCCCGAGGTTCGTACTTCCGACATCTTCTGTGCAATCCCGTGGCCCGTTCAGCGTTTGAGTGATCTACCACCCCATGTGCTTCGCGTTTCATGCTCCGCCACGGTTCTCTACTTCTCTGTCGGCCTCCTCGTTTCGATTTCGCGGGATCCGAGGGTCCCTGAATCGCGCGGCGCCCAGTACCATCCGGGTTACCGTCCACTGACCACTTGTCGTTTTACCTACTTCTGCGCAGCGGAGGAAAGGTATAAGACTGCCGCGTCTCTCTCGAGTGGTCTGTACGACGAGTTCCTCCTCCGGGTTCTCGTTCCTGTCCTTGGTCCCCCCTCCAGTCCAGCCGCGCCCCCTCCCCCGCCCCCGTCCTCGTCCCCGCTCCCTCCACGATGTTCTCTCGCGCTGCGCTCGTCCTCGCCGGCCTCGCCGCGCGCACTCTCGCCGCCACCTACGGCCAGGCCGACAGTTTCGAGGGCGCCGGTTTCTACGACGGTTTCACGTTCATGGCAATCTCCGACCCCACGGAAGGTCGTGTGTACGTCCTTACCTTTGATCCTCTCGTGCACGCACAGGCGCACGCTGATCCCGACGTACCCATACAGGAACTACGTCGACCGGGCGACGGCGGTGTCCCAGAACCTGACGTACGGCAGCGGCGACACCTTCATCCTGCGCGCGGACAGCACGACGACGCTCGCCGCGAGCGACCCGGGGCGCAACTCCGTCCGCCTGCAGAGCAACAAGCTCTACAACACCCACGTCACCATGTGCGCATCCGTCGGGGCTGCGGTCTCCCCGCCGAGAGCCACGCTGACCCGCCGCTCGGCCCTTACAGCTGGAACATCCGGCACATGCCGACGGGATGCGGGTGAGCGCGCATCATCTCGCGACGCGCTTGTGTGGCTCATCCGGATGTCTTGCCCTCGTAGCACGTGGCCCGCGTTGTGGGAGTTTGGGCCCGACTGGCCTAACGACGGTGCGTCCCGGCTCCCGGCGGCGGAAGTTTGTGCCTGCGCGGCGCGCGCGGGGCTCGCTGGGGCTCTTGCCTTCGCGCGGCGCGGCGCATCGTGACATACGCAGTGAGGCTGACGCGCGCGGTTTTCGGCAGGCGAAGTAGACATTCTCGAGGGCGTGAACGACCACGGCCCGAACCAGGCAACCCTCCACACCAGCGCCAGTAAGTCGTTGCATCTTGTGCTGAGCATTGTCCCCATGGTGACCCGACGGCGGACAGACTGCGCCATGCCCGCGACGCGCGACATGACTGGGTGAGTGGGCGTCTCAGACGCGTTTCGTGGCGCCCGCGTCCATGCGCGCCGCCCTGCCTCACCGTCTCGTCCTCGCACGCGCTGACGCCGCCCTCGCCCGCAGGACGTCGACGGGGAACAACTGCGACGTGAACGAGACGGGCAACTCCGGCTGCGGCGTCCAGTCTGACTCCTCCTCGAGCTACGGGCCGGCGTTCAACGCCATCGGCGGGGGCTTCTACGCGATGGAGCGCACGAACTCGTTCATCAAGGTCTGGTTCTGGCCGCGCAACTCGGGCAGCATCCCCTCCGACGTCCTCTCGGGCGCGACGTCGGTGACCACGGACAGTTGGGTGCGTCCGGCGGTGACGGTGTGTGAGGGTACGGAGATTCAGTGCTGACGCGCTGCGCAGGGCACGCCGTTCGCATACTTCCCGAGCCAGTCGTGCGACCTTTCGACGCACTTCAGCGGGAACAATATTATTATCAACCTCACATTGTGCGGCGTCTGGGCCGGCGTCGTCTTCAACGCGGACGGGTGCCCCGGGGACTGCGTCAGTGAGTAGCTTCTCGTTTGTCGCCTCAGTGCACGTGCTGATATCGGTACAGCGTACGTGAACCAGAACCCGGGCGCGTTCGCGAATGCGTACTTCGACGTCGCGTGGTTGAAAGTCTACCAATAGATGCATACGATATGCAGAAATTATTTATAATGGGCTAATAGTAATGTTGTCTGATTCCTCTGGTGTGGAGATGAATATGTACCCGTGTTTTCAAATTTATGTGACCACCGTTGTCGTGCGTTTGGACATACTTTAACATTGTGGGTAGTCTGTATGTCCGATATGGTGTAGTGGCTAACATTATCGCCTCTCACGCGATAGCCCGGGGTTCGATTCCCCGTGTCGGAACTTCACTGCGAAGTCCTTTTTGTCTGGGAGATTGGGCACTCTGATATCCGCCTCTTCGTTCAACCGACAGTCATGTCTGGCCTGCTGCGTCAGTATTTCCTTTGCAATTTGGTATACCCCCCTTCTCATATAATCACGGCATCGCGGGAGATGCGCGTTGGGTCTTGGGGCTGGGACTTAATAGGCGCCCTATGTTGTGGCTGGGCTCGGTGCAAGGCCCATCGTCGCTCTCCATTCAACCGCAACCATCCCCTCGACGATTTCCCTTCACACCTCTCTATAAGCACTTTCTACGCGGACGGTGTCTCAGAATGCGACTGTCTTCACTGCGGAAACCGTTTTGGCCAGCCGATGGTCGAGTAAACTTCAGGATGTCGTTGCTCGTGGCCAGTGAGCGAAAGTGGCAGGACGGGGTGGCAATGGTACGTCCTTCACCCATGTTCCGCCATCGGACATGTGCTCATGGCTGTCGTCTACTAGTCTCGGTGCGCCCTCTCGCAATTGGGGGCTGCTCAAGTAGTATCAAACGTTTTGATTCTGCTTACGAAAAGTAGAAGCACAGACGGAAGCTGTCCTACGGTCTGCCATCCATGAGCTCTTGTCCTCATGTGGCGAGAAAGACAGGTGTCAGGCACCTTCACGGGAGTACTCATGTGAGGTTTCGGGTGCGGAGGGTGCAACGGATGCACATGCACGATGTCCTATCGGAGGCCAGCGCTGCGATAGCGCGTCGAGGTATGTGAGGAAATGAAGCTCGTGAGGCACATGAAGCGCGCTAGAAGGGATTGAGGCCAATCAAGTTCTCTTCTCTTCGGAGAGGGCATGCTTGTCGCGAAGCTGGACGTATGGCCCTGGGTTCTGGCGGTGAGTGCTGCAATGATCTTGTCGGGGATCTGTCTTCATTGTGCTTTAGAGATCCATTCGCATCCACGCAAATGTGATGCGACCGGCCGCCTCGGTCCGTCTGAACTGTCATCCGGCCGCCCAGCTCACCGCCCACATTCGTTCTCGGACAGATGCCTCGTCAGGCGCATATACCACGCGGATGCGTGAGAGGCGGTGAGCGTTGATCCATGTCTGAGCATCCAGCACATGGTCGTGTTACCCGCCTCAGCACTCAGATCGTCAGTGATCCGTGCACGGAAGCAGCTGGGAGAGTTCGTACAGAGGCGCTTGAAGGCGCCGATTGGCTCCGTTTGTCTAAGACCCGTAACATCTCATCGCTCCCTCGTGATGAAGAGCTCGCCAAAAGAGGTGCGTCGGGGCTTCTTTGGCTTGCGCGTGCATAGTCACGATTTACTGAACATATGGCCCAGCTATCAGCTGCTCGCAGCCAAGCGTTTATGGGTGAGCTGTCCCATTTTCTTCCATTTTCGAAATCGCCGCCACGTGGAGTTCCCTGAAAGGCAAAGCGTCTGGTTTCCGGCAACGCCGCCCCGAACTTATTTGGAAAATTGAACAGGAAGCGGCGCCCAGATGGTTCACAGGCAAGCCATACACCGCACAGGGCGCACGTCGCGGGGTGCATGTCGCGTAAGCGTTTTGTTTTCGCCGGAGCGCTGTGCTCACTGTTCCTGGGGCTCCACCCATAGACCCACCGCTCTATTCCGCGGAGGTCGTCCTAACGACAAAGGACACTGCGCACTTCACATGCCCAGACCGTCTCAACCACTCGTCTCCCTCCGTTCGGCGCTCCCATGCGGAACAACTTTCGGTTCCTCCGTTGCCCAGAAAAACACCCTTGTCGTCGGCGTTTCCGCCCTTTCCTGTCCCTTGATCCTTTGAACATCTTCGCACCCGCCCCGACCGAAAATTTCACCCCGCTGGCCTTCTTCGACGTAGCCCCGTGGCGCGTACGACCTTGTGAAAACACACGATCTGCGCCCACCATTGGCCCACACCATGTGCTCCATCCTCTCATGGTGGTACTGTGACTTCCTGCGGCTCCCTATATCTCCTCGATTCGGTCTTTCGCGGGCGTGCCGCCCAGGTCCGGCAGGTACCTCACCGGCGCCCCCCACTCTCCTACCGGCCGCGCGCGAGAGGACGCCAATGTGATCTCCACCGGACGGGCCGCCCACCTTTCCTCCGGACCCAGTGCCTCGAGCGCGCAGCCGCGTTCATTCGTTCCTTGGAGATCCCGGGGGCATGTATCCTTTTTCACAACTCCTGCGCCGCGGCTCGGAGGTATAAAGCGACTCACCCACCCAATCCCTCTTTTCAGCTCGCTATCCCCGGTAATTTCCTGCGCTCGGCTCAGCACGACCATCATGTTCGCTCGCGTCAACCTCGTCCTTGCAGCCCTCGCCACACACGCCCTCGCAGCCACGTACTCTCAGTCCGACAGCCACCAGGGCACCGGGTTTTACAACTCCTTCTCGTTCCAGGCGATCTCGGACCCAACGCACGGGCGTGTGTACGTTGTTCGGGTGTATCGCCTGCTCCCTCCATCGCGGCTAATCTGTGATCGCGCATTACAGCAACTACGTCGACCAGGGCACGGCGATGTCGAAGAACCTGACATACGCCAGCGGGGACACGTTCATTCTTCGCGCCGACCACACGACGACGCTCAGCTCGAGCGGCCCCGGGCGCGACTCTGTCCGGCTGCAGAGCAACAAGCAGTACACAACGCATGTCACGGTGTACGTACCCTCCCTCCTGCCAGTGCCGCACTCGCACCCCTTTGTTTGGAGCCAGCGAACTGCGCGCGCGGTGCTAATTATATATGTATCTTCTCCCTTCTGAAACCCCCGCCATGTCCTCATAGCTGGAGTATCCGCCACATGCCTGTGGGCTGTGGGTGAGTGATCGTGCCCTCCGACGTATCTCCAAACTCTGTCTGATGCGCGCGCCCCTTTTTCGTCCGCACACAGCACTTGGCCTGCGATCTGGGAGGTCGGCAGTGACTGGCCTAACAACGGTGCGTATACCGCTCCCGCTCCCCAGCCGTGATGTCCGCCTCGCCTCCGCCCCCGTCTCCGCGGACGCGCAGCGGTCCGATGCGCGATGGGCGGTCCCCGACCCGACCTGCCCGAGCGCAAGTCGCGCGGCGCTCCCACGGCCCCGCTTCCTTGCTTCCTATCCGGAGCTGACCTCGAGCTTCGAGGGCGGCCGCGGCTCCGACACGCTCACGGCAGCATGACGCGTACTGACGCACATCTACGCAGGCGAAATCGACATCCTCGAGGGCGTGAACGACCAGGGCCCGAACCAGGCGACGTTGCACACCGGCGCAGGTAGGCTTCCTGTCTTCCTCTTGGCGCGATGCGCATCACACGACGCGCGCGCGCCTCCGCCTCCGACCCCGCGCTGACCCAATTTGGCCCGGACAGACTGCACGATGCCGTCGTCGCGCTCGCAGACCGGGTGAGTGAGAGCGCTCTGCGCTCGGGAGTTCGTTCTTGCTTCTGGATAGACGCGGTCCCGCCCTTCGACAGTTCTATTCGCGACCTATGCCCCGAGCGCGTTGGTAGCGTCTCCACGTCCGCGCGGTACGGCGCGCCCACGCGGTCTCGTGCGCGTGCGCGTGTCTCCCCTTTGGTCTTGCGCTCCGACTCCCGCCAGCGCCCACGTCTTCGCTCCCCCTCGTCCATGTCAATATGAACGCGCTGACGCCAAACTATCATTGACACCGACAGGACGTCGGCGGGGAACAACTGCGACGTGAACGAGACGAACAACGCCGGCTGCGGCGTGCAGTCCAACACCGCGTCGAGCTACGGACCCGCGCTCAACTCCGCGGGTGGCGGGTACTACGCGATGGAGCGCACGAACTCGTTCATCAAGGTCTGGTTCTGGCCGCGCAACTCGGGCAACATCCCCTCCGACGTCAAGAGCGGCTCCACGTCGATCAACACCGGCAATTGGGTGCGCTCTCTGCTGCGTGTCTGCAAGCGTGAGGAGGCTGACGAACTGGACGCTGCAGGGTACGCCATTCGCGTACTTCCCAAGCCAGTCTTGCGACCTGTCGTCCCACTTTGGCGCGCACAACATCATCATCAACCTCACGTTCTGCGGAGACTGGGCTGGCGCCGTCTTCAACTCTGACGGGTGCTCCGGCACGTGCTCCAGTGCGTATCCTCTTTGGCCCATCTGACACTGCGCTGATCACACATCCATGTTACCATAGCGTACGTGAACCAGAACCCGTCCGCATTCACCAATGCATACTTCGACATCCAGTGGATCAAGATCTATCAATAAACCGTCACGCCCCCCAACGCCCCCGTTCATCCCTTTTGTATCACATACGACTACAATTACACGTCTCGTTTGCTCGCTCTGATGTACACAACCACACTTTGTACTATGCAGTAACGACCCTTCACGCCCATCGCTATCGTTCGCTCTTGTTCTCGCACCCTGCACTCCGCTCGCTTCCTTCATTGGCGTTTTACCCACCCCCGCTGTCTGCTGTGTCTTTGCTCCCGGATTGCGCGCCACGACGATGTGTCGCGGCGTGCTTATGTAGCATTTGGATTTGATGCGAGCTGGCTTCTCGTGCAGTTTTAGAGATTCGACACGCGCTTGGCCATCAATTTACGGCAATAGTTCCTCACGCGCTGGTCCGGGGTTCGATTCCCCGTTTCGGAGTTGTTGGTTTTGGTTCGAAGACTGGTCTCGTTTATTATCCGCGCTCTCCACGACCCGATAGTCTGGCATTACATCGGAGGTAAAACGCTGCGACGTTCTTCTCGTGGCCGATCGATGTCGATTCTGACCATGTCGAGCTCCAGCACAAGTACTACTCAGAGAAGCACACCTCCCTTCATGGCAGACGCGGATTTCCCCCAGTTCTCCACCTTCAAAGACTGCCTCGCCCAACGTATCCTCGCTGAACCCGGTGTGCTGAACCCTGCAGGCTCTCCGGACGACCCCGACGGCTCACCCAGCGGAGATTCTGACGCCCTCGACGACTTCACCTCCTATCTCGCCGAGGAGATCTGGCCCGCCCTCCCCGCCTCCCTCCGCACCGCGACGCACGAGACGCGCGACGCCGTGCCCGACCCGGACGCCGTCCCGCTGGACTCGATCCCGGGCGCCGTCGGGGACACCCTCGTCTCATGCGGGCTCGTCCCCCCGGCGGCGCCCGGTGACGCCGCCGACCCGCACGTGGACCCGGAGGACGCGCCGCTCGCGCGGTTCCTGCGCAAGGTCCTCCGGGACTACGCCGCGGAGGCGTGCGCGCCGCCGCCGGTGTGGTCGCGCACGCGCGCGGCGGAGTGCGAGATCTGCGGGCGGGCGGTGCCGCTGACGTACCACCACCTGGTGCCGCGGTCGGTGCACACGAAGGCGCGGAAGAGGAAGTGGCACGCGGAGGGGATGCTGAACGCCGTCGCGTGGTTGTGCAGGTGCGTGAGGGGTGGCTGGATGAGGATGACGAGCTGATGTGGGGTGATACAGGCCGTGCCATTCCGCGGTGCACGGGGTGTGTGAGGTCGCCGCCTCGGCGTAGCGTCCAAGGTGTCGAGAGAGTCGAGAAGAGACGCTGGTCGAGGAGAGGCGAACACGGGAAGAGCGAGACGGCACACGAGAGTGAGTAGGAGACAGTCGTATCCCGAAAAGCTACCTACTACAGGTCGGCGCAGACGTCTATATATATGAGGTCGGGGCCGGAACTGTATAGTAGGTGGTAACGTAATCAAGCCATCGTCCAAATAAACAAACACAGTGTGATCAACGAGGAGAGAGGGGAAGAGGGAGCGCCGGGAGAATCCGGCGCGAGCGGAACAGATAGAGGCTCGGCGCGCGCAGCAGAATGCCCGCGCGCGATCACGGAGGCCTCGCGTCGTGCTTGTATCGATGCGCGAGGCTCCGAACTGTTCCTGTACTTGGTGCGTGAGTCCCAGTCCTTACAGGGTGGCGAGCAACGAGGCGCTTGCGCGGGAGTATTACACGGTGGAGCTGCTGCTGCAGCGGGAGGATATACAGAAGTGGCGGAAGTACGCGGCGAAGCAGCGCTGGGGCATCAAGCGAGTATGAAAGCGTTTATAGAAGTAGATTCTCGTGGACTACATGGAACATCCTCTCGAACAAGTACATATACAACACTGCTTCTGCTCTCACAAAACATATCTGGCAGAGCGGATCAGAATACCGGACATGTGCGATGGTCCGGCGGCAGACATACCTGTGGTACGGGTTCTCGAACTCGGTGAGATCGCGCATGCCAGCCTCTGTTATGACGTCATTAGCGCATCACTCGCTGGGCCGATGAACCTGGAGCGCGCACCTTCCCCCTTGAGCTGGTCTTCATAAGACGTGATTTTGCCGTGAATACGGTCTTTCTGTTGGCAGTGGTCAGCGAGCGAACGGCATGCGAGGATAAGCCCGACTTACCTTGACGTTGCTCTTCCACATGTACACACCGAGCAAGATGTGGGCAACTGCGACGGTGGGGACTCAGTGACACGCCGTACAGTCTGCTTAAGACAACCTACTGGTCTTGATGATGTATCCTTCGATGTTCTCTCGGTTAGCAGCGATGCTTGGAACTTGAAAGAGAGCCTACTCACCGATGAACATGGCAGTCTGCACATTTCACTTTTAGGAGCGTCGAAAGGAATCAGAGGCTGGAGATGGTGCTCACCGTGCCTGTAGGATACGTAGGAGCCTCGCTGTCCTACAAAAAATTCTCAGTACGAGCCTCATTCGTACGGAGTCATTTGGGACACATACAATGAGGAAATGGGGCCTGAATGCGCGACGAAGGGTGAGAGAGATATAATGGCACGGGATTGCGGAGGTGACGGACCCAATGATGTTCCCAACGCAGTACTGAGCGAAGAAGAATGAGCCTCATGACGCGCACCAAGCCGTGAACCAACGCACCCCGACGAACGTCACCGCCGTAGTGAACGTCCTCTTGGTAAATCCCCCAACCTAGACGCGGGATCAGTGGCATCGGTGGTGCAGCGAAAGGGCACACGCACATTGTTGGAGATCATCACAAGAGACAACGAGAAGCCGACCGACTGCGATTGCTCCTCGTCAGTTCACATGCGCTGGTTGACGAAGACTCTTTCTCTCACCTGGAAAGACGTGAACCAAAACGCGACGAGGCGGTTCCACTTCTGCTCCGCGGGCAAGTACGTGAGGCATGCCGCGGCGATAATGCAGGTGATGTTCCCCGTGGCCATCGTGATCACGCGCACTGTGAAGGAGCGTCAGGCTCCAAGTGAGGTGTATTCGTAGAGGGCATCGACGTACTGTTCTTGAAGTGCATGCAAACCCACCTACCGCGCAATACGACGATTCAGTAACGAGACCAAGGAGATGATATGCGGAACATACCCGGCGCTCAGAAGACTGGCGATCTGGAATGCGCTCGACACGGCGTCCAAGAGCGTCGTCTGGGAGGTAGAGAACCCCATACCCTAGCATAGTGCGATGTCGCTATGGTTGTGCCTGTTAACGACAAAGCTATACGCACCTTGATGACGATGGTTGAGAAGTTTGAGACGATACTGCAGTCGTCGTGAACAACGTCGAGGGGACGGCGTCTTGAGACGCTCACCCGTTTGGAATCTGCGCTGCTATGGACGCCACGAAAAGCAGCCATGTCTTCGGGTCTGCGACCGCCTGTCGAATCTGTCGCCGGCGGCCGTTGGTTGGGAACTCGAGGCATGCCTCCGAGCCAGGAGTCTCACCTGGTAGATCTTGAACTCGGTGTTCTTCACACCGACCTTCGACTCAGCCACGCGTTTCACCGCTAGGATCTTCTCCTCGGCCGTGAAGAAGCGCGCATCCACCGGGGAGTCGGGGAAGAGGAACCACAGCGCGATGGAAACTGCGGGGATGATCGCATCATTTGCGGGGTATGTGATCGCAGCGCGCACGCACGGCATACACTCATCCCACCAAGGATGAGGAAGATGTACTTCCACAGCGCGATCTGCGGGTGCTCGATCCGTCCGATCTGAGGTGCACGTGAGAACACTGCAAGAGATCGAGCTCGGGGGGACGTACCCCGAAGGCGACGAGGTCGCCAAAGATGCCGGCCCAGCCGTTGAACGAGTACCAGATGAGCGACCGGAAGGGGACCTCTGATTGCGTGTACCAGATACCGGTAAGGAGCGTCATCCCCGGCGTCACGATCGCCTCAAACATGCCAAGGAGAAGGCTGGAGACGTGAGTCTACAATTTGTGCAGGCATCCGAGACGTACCGGTTGACCACCGTCCCGGCAAAGTTGGTGCATGCGGGGGTGCTGTAAGCAGCGCAGTCAGGCGATATCCCGCGTCCCAGGCAAAATAACACACGTAATGACAATGGTTGCCCAAATAAGCGTGGCTGAGGGGAGAATCAGACTTCGATGCGGTCAGAGCATGGATTGTAGGACGTACTGATTGACAAGACCTTCCCTGTGGGGAACCTCTGGAGGAGCCGCGAGTCGGGATAGTTTCCTACGAGATACCCTATGCTATTATGACCGTCAGCTCCGTCCCATCCTCGATCCTGAGTCCTCTTACTAGAAGACTGCATGGACGTCAGAGTAGACAGGCCGGTATGACACGGCAGGAATACGCACTGCTTGCGAACCAGTTGAATTGGTCCCCGGAAAGATGGAGTGCGGCCTTCATGCCGTACAAGTTTGCGAAGTTGAGTCTGGCGGCGATGGATGAGCTGATGTTCTAGCCTGCTGCGGCCACCGTGCCACCTACGCAGTCTTGTCCACTGAGATGAAATGACGTCATTCAAAACATGCATTCCCAGGAGAAACGGGGCAAGAACGCACAGATACTCAGCCCTTGACACAAGCACAGCTGCAAAGCAAGCACGATCAGACACATCCGGACGCCCGCACACCCTTCGAAACCCACCATCGGCAGGATCCACACGTCGATCTTCCGCCGGATCCTAGTAGGCATCAGCGTCCACTCTCTACGCGACTCAAAACAGGCAACCGCTCACCTTCTGCTCTCTTCGGGACTAACCCGCAGGCCCGAGCGCATCGCGAGAGCGAACTCGTGCAGGCCCACATTCGTCGCGTCCGCATCGACAGGTGAGTCTAGCTGGAGCGCCTTCTCCTTATCGCCGAGTGAGCCGCCGTCGCTCTCGTGCGCTTTCTCTTCGTACTCGGGGGGCGCGACCATGGGTGCACTGAGCGTAGACGTGAGCGTGAGTTGTCGGCGGGGGGCGGAAGAAAAGCCTCAGCGGGGGCTTGCGCGTGCCGCCCTTAAGTACCCACGAATGCGCTTCCGTCAGGGCTCCCGCGCGATGGTGCGAGCTCGCGTTCTGGAAGAGCGTCCTAAGCGCACCTTATCGCCCTCGCGGGGGCATAAGTCACTTGAGGTAGCCGTACCGCGGCGGCCCGGGTGGTATCTCGCTGAGTGTATCGCGACTGATATTGAAGGGCTCGCGCGATGTGAGCGTTGATCGCGAGCTGCATTGCGTGACGCTTGTCCGCGAGCGGTGCAGATCGTTCTCACTTTCGTTTGTGAGCAAACCAGTCCCAGATTGACGAGGCGCGCCAAGACGCACCTTATCGCGAAATTAGACGCCGAGTGCTGCACGCACGGAGGCGTGATAGATACATGGACTACGAGCACGTCGGTCAACCCAACGAGTGAGTGCCTACATAAAATCGAGGTATTGTACGTGTAATGGGTAAGTAAATAGCAATGTGCAGTTGTAACGATAAGCAATAAGTCGATCTTGCGCATGCCTCTAGAACCTACGTTGACGGACCATCCACCCCCTTCGACGCCGCACTCTTCAGCGACGCCGCCTTCGAGCCCGCCTTCGAGCCCGCCTTCTCGTCCAGCACGTCCACCGCCGCGCGCCCCTTGCCCTTGCCCTTTTCCACGGACGCGCCATCGAAGGCGCCCTTGGAGCCGTTGAGGGCGCGGACGGCGCGGAGCTCCACACGGCGCTCCCAGCGGCGGACGATCCAGGAGAAGAGGGTGATGGTGAAGCAGGAGAGCGCGATCCACGCGACGAGGACACCAGCATTGACCCCGAGGTTGTCCTTCGTGTTGAAGAGGATTGTGCGGAGCGCATGGGACAGGTTGCTGCGCGTATGGGGGAGTTTAGCAACGTGAGAGCGAAGGTGATGAAAACCAGGGACGCACAAGATGGGAAAGCCGAGGCCGTAGGAGAAGAAGGGGTGCAGGAGTTCGGGGGGTAGGACCACAGGCGAGATATTGTAGAGGATCTGAATCGCATATAGTGAGCTTCCATGGATCGAGGGCGTGGATGAACGGCTTACGAGGGTGAAGAGGAAGAACGGGGCGAAACGGGGGGTGAGGAGCGTGATCATGGCCTCTATCGACAGCCCGAGGGCAGACATGCCGAGATAGATGTAGAAGAACGAGATGATGAAGCCGCCGCCCGATCCGAATCTGAGCAACATATGTTCAGCATCGAAGCCAAGGTCGAGGATTGCAGTACAGCTTACTTGGTGCCGAGAGGTAATCCGAAAGCAAGGTTCATCAACGCAAAGCTCAAGCTTAGAGGGAAGTAAGCGAGCAGTGGGATGACGAGGCGGAGACGTATATAAGGCCGGAAAGCCATGTAGGGCTCGACGAGGGCTCGACATGTCGAGTTTGCCATGGTCTAGAGTGTATGTCAGTTCGACGGCGCTACAAGCACGTGAGAAGCCCATACAATCATGAACCTGTGGGGCGGAGGTCAGATAGAACAGACTTAAACAGTGGTGGAACACGTACGAGAAAATAACCAAGAAGATGTTGCCGACGAGAGTGGCCGCCTGAGCAGCGGGGGCACTGTACATATCAGGTGAGTATTGGAGCCGCAAAAGCCAATCGAAGACGCACTTATAAGGTCGTAAGTTGATCATGGTCCAGCTGATGCCGGGAGTGATCGTTTGCGGAGCGTTAGCAATGAGCTGGAGCGCCGTCGCGTTGGGCTCGCCGTTGGAGTTGACTTGAGCAAAATATCGCTGTGCAGAGCCGGTGGCATAGGCGACAGTCGTGGCTTGAAGTATCTGGGTCGTGAGCGGGACGATGAAATTGCCCGTGGCGATCTCCTGGCGCGCCTACGACAGATTTAACACACGAAGAGGGATGTGAGACGGGTAGCATACCTGGTTGTAATAGACGCGAATTGCCTTGCTCGGGTCATAGGTTGTGCTGCCGACAGCGCGAGCACGGGATAGGTGTATGGTCGCATTTGGCTGGACTGCAGGAGGGTGAGTGTATGCACAACAACGTATATCAAGGCTAGTGCGGGAAGCGGGCTTTCACTGCTCGAATATGTCGTAGAGGTGCGCTCCTCATCAAGAACACCTCGTGCGGATCGCAAGGAAGAAGAGGAGCGTATTAAAGGTGGGAGTGACTCGGAGTGAAAACGAACGCATATATCGAGGCTAGTGCGCCGGGAAGCGCGCTTCGACTGCTCGAAGATGTCGTAGAGTTGGGAAAGCTGATAGAGGTGCGTCCCACGCCAAGAAAACACCTCGTGCGAACGGCAAGGAGGACGAGAAGCGCAATAGAGGTGGAAGAGACTCACCGACGATGACCACCCACACCTTTTCGTCCAAAACTGCGTTGACGACATCAAGATCGGTGCCGACCTCGTCCGGGGTCTTGAACTTCCAGTTGAGTTTCGGGCCTGGGGAAGCGAAGCTGCTAACGGCGTCACTCATGCCCTGGCCGATGCGATCGCCGTCGCGGTCGATGAACCAGGCCTCAAGATTTCCGACGAGCTTGGACGAGTTGGAGAGGGCGCCCCAGTAACTATAGGCAGTCAGCACATGACTGCACGGAGCCCGGGAATGGCGCACGCACACAGGAAGGGTCGACCACATGAGCAGAATGATGAGCACCGTGGCGCGGCCGATGATGATGAGGTATTCGCGCCGTCGAGCCGCGAGGGCGGACGAGAAGACTGTATGCCCAAAGGAAGCTCGCTGAGCAGCGGATGGACGGAGGATGGCAAACCACTCACAGCCGTGATTTGCGGGACTCCAGTCGTCCGCAGCAGCATGCTCGCTGACGAACGAGGGCTTGCGGCCGGGTCTGTCGGAGTGCTTGCTGTCAACCTCGACTTCGGCGATGCTCGCGCTCGCGCTGGGGGATTTCGGCGCGCTCTCGGCACGGCGGGTTGCCGAGGTGCCGAGAGACGGGGGCGCAGAAAGACCCGCTGCGGAGCGTACCCGGCTGGACTGAGCAGAAAGCTCCATTGGCGGGCCAGAGGTCATCGCAGGTGGGGGGGAGGACGTCGCGATCGTCGCCGGCAGCGACAGGCTCCGCGTCCCAGGCCGCACCCAACCCTCTTTGCGAACGTCAGCACCCCATTAATGTGTGCCTGATGCATAAAGTCTATTCATATTATTTGTAATACAAAGTGGTAAGTCCGATATGGTGTAGTGGCTAACATTATCGCCTCTCACGCGATAGCCCGGGGTTCGATTCCCCGTGTCGGAACTTGTACGTACGGCGGTGTTTTTGTCTGCTAAATTGGCCGTTCTCGTACCCACCTCCTGACCATCATGCCCACCTCTCTTCACCTCTTCACCCTGCCGTCTGAGCTGCTGGAGAACGTTTTCCTATCCTGTGTTTTGCAAAGAAGTCCTCTTTCTATCGCTGCTCTAGCTCAAACATGTCGCACCCTCCGAGTCCTTATCTACGACACTGCCGACAGCCACCTGTGGCGATCCCTTTGTCTGGTCTATTTCGACGATCCGCGTCTGCACCCCGGATGTTCCACAGGTACGACAGACGCACTCTCGCATCTGCATTACTGATGCAATCCAACAGTCCACTGGCGCCATATGTTCACCGAGCGAGTCTGGGCCGAGAGATACCTCGATAGACATGCACGCCCACTCGAGGTTACCGTCCCCAAACATAATCTCAGGTCCACGCGCTCCATGATGCTCTCCCTGGACAAACTTGGGCCTCAAGCCGAACCCCACGTCCACATCCGTCTCCTCACCGCCCTTCTCGACGCCGTGCAGACCATCGCCCCTGCTCCGGGGATACGCGTCACCTCTAGCCCATCCTCGACTCCCCTGTTTGATAGCCCACTCGCCCTCCGGCACGCAGACACCCCCATCCTCCCTCCCTCGTGCCATATTCCCCCAAACATCGAATCCCGCAATGTTGCTTGGCTGCAGGGCGTCCTCACACACGGGCTGCCCATATCACTTACCCGCATCATCGCCTGGGAGGACCTCGCTCCGAGCTGGAAGAACCACGCCGAGGGTCCGCTCCTCTGCGAGCTCATCGCCCGCCTCGGGTTCCTCCCCATCCCGCTCAACCAAGTGTCTGCGGCCCCCGAACACCGCTCTCCACCTTCGTCACCGACCGCGCGCTCGAAGCCGCAGGGCATGATCGATCTCAGCGAGGAGATGCAGCGGCGAGTCGCGCACGAAGGAGGACGCCCGCTCGCGTTTTCCATGCGCTTCCTATCGCGCCAGCGAGCGTGGGGCCCGTTCTTGAGGGTCGATATGCTCGCGAAGGCTGCTGCGCCGACGGACGATGCAGAAGAGGAGATGGAAGGAGACGATGAGGACGACGAAGACGCCGACTACGTACCCCCGGACGACCCATCGGACTCAGACGCGACGCCTGGGACCGCGACCCATCCCGTTGCAGCCACCCCGGGTGCGCCATCGTCGACGAACACGCTGCCCGATCCGGGGAAGCTCTTCCCGGACTGGACCTGGATCGCGGCCAGCCGGGTGGTGGCGGAGTGGAAGCTGTTCGAGAACATCAAGCCCGCCGACCTGCCGCAACTGTACGACTGGAACAACTTGCGTGCGGGGGCCTGGATCGCACCCCGTCCGCCGTCTGGGGAAGGGAACACAGTCGAGTACCCTGCTGGAGAAGAGTGGAAGGCGCATCAGTGGGACTGGGCGGGAGTCGAGGGCGTTTGGAGACGGCTTGTGTGCTGGCTGGACTACGACGAATTGATATGTGCGTATCTGTGTCTGTGTCTTTCATCTCGCTAACACACAAATATATATATAGATAACAACGTGGGTCCTCCTCATCTGAACGTCCTACGTACGCTCCTAATCTTGGCGCCAGCGATGGGGCTCCTTCGTTGACGAGAACTTGGACGAGGCCTGGATCATTGTGCCCATGTCCGTCCGCATCACCGGCTACGAGCCGCCCTCGCTCCCAAAGGAATACCCAAACCGTCCCACAATCCTTTTCGAAGGTGAGATGGGCGGCGGCGTGGGCTGGGTGGGCACTGTCTCGCCTCTTACAGACTACTTCCGCCGGGTGCGCGGGCGTGTGAGCATGCTGCCCGACGGTCGCGTCTGGTACTCTTCCGTGAGCGCTGTTTCTACCGTGCTTGCTTCACCGATCAGTCTCTGATGTCTCTTGGGTCGTCGCAGGTGTCGTCGGCGCTTGGGAGAACTGCCGACGAACGGGTGAGCGAAGTGATCCAGCTCGGTCCAGTCGGGTCTGCGATGGGAGCGTTGGGGTTGTGGACAGACGCGCAGCATGAAGTTGAAGATCCGCTGGGTGCGTCTCTGCTTCTGCATTGAACAGACCGCTCCCCGCTAACACAGCTGTGTGCACCGTCGTCCCCAGGTGTGGTGTGGCAATGGCGGGTCGCGTAAACCACTTCCCTAGGGTCCATGGCCGTGACAGGTGCCGGGCCCAGGCTTGAGGGGCATAAATGAAAAGTTGGACTTGTTGTAAGGCCGCATTGGCGCACTCGCGTCTGGCCGTCGAACGCGACAGGCACGCAAGACGGCATGTTCTGCCTGTGGCTGGCCCCAACATGGAGGTGCCTGAGTTACAGCCGCGGCGCATACCGTGTTTCCGCATCTGTGCGGACGGGAGGGTTCTAGCGTGGCTTGTGGGGCCACTCCAGGACGTATTCGTAGCAATATCGGAAATAGTGTTTTGGCCAGCGATGAAAGCAACGCGGTTATGTTCTCTCAAATGTGGACTGAAGCGAGGGTGCAGGATGCGGTACATCAGCAAAAGGTGTTTTTGACGGTAGCGCCCGATAGCACGCGACACTGCCATATCGGGACAGGTCGTCTATTGTCTGCGCAACAAGTGATGGTAGCAGAACGGTAGCAGCTGGTATTCATTCGTCTTTACTATGAGGTTCGATCAAATATTGTGGCCGCAGACAGGATATGATGGATATACTACAGGCACAAGTAGCTTGAACAGAAGGCTGTAGTCGATGATAGTAAACGATCATGCGCTCCTTCAAGGGTGAATCACGGGGCGCGCGGGGTGCATAAGAGGTTCGTATTTAGCTATACGGCCGGCTCGTGAGGACGCGAACACTGCGCGCGGCAGAGAACGCGATGCGCGCGAAACTATGCGGACGGACGTCAGCGCGGGCGCCTGTTCCGCTTACGCGCCGCGCACGGAGTCCTCTGTCCGGCATCGATGGCGAGCCCCATCCTCTGTTCCCTTAATATTTCTTGACGCCTTTTATCCCTTTCGTTGCTCTATTTACATGCGAGCGCGAGCTCGTGAACTGGAGCAAGGCCTACTCCGCGGACCACCACTACGAGAGTCAGCGGAGCGCTCTGTTTGATGCTCTCATTGTCACGAGCTGCGCAGCAAACTCTCGCACAGGGCACTGGGCGAGGGGTTGAGAGTTAAGTCAAGATATATACATCGCTGGGGCCCGAGACGTACAGAGGTCCGTGTTAGTAGCGACATTCTGAAGTCTAAAAGTTTCTTGCAGTGATTTCTTTGCTAATTGTTGTGACCCGATGCGGCGGCGCCGCAGTGGCGTCCCGCTTTGGCCTCTCTCACGACGGGAAAGGCCAGATGGGAACCGCCGGAGTAGGACGTTCACCAGGCTGAGGCCATGTTCCATGTCACGGTCACGGTCTTTGTCTGGTGTTGCGCACACCAGACAAAGACCAGGAAACATGGTCACACCATGGTCTCAACCTGGCCTCCGTCAGTCTCGCGCGCCTAACGCACTCGTGAGAAATCCACCTTTTTGTGGTTCTCACTCGCTCTTGATTCAGTGCTCCCTCCCTCCACGCTCTATTATATAATCACCTTACACCGAGGCCAGGCTGAGACCATGGTGTGACCATGATTCCTGGTCTTTGTCTGGTGTTGCGCACACCGGACAAAGGCTGTGACCGTGACATGGAACATGGCTTCAGCCTGGCGAATGCCCTGTTTCGGCGTTCACCATCTGGTCCCTCCCGTCGTGTCTATTGTTTCCAGACACGGGCGCGTGTGCTGGGTTGCGCGCCTACTGGGCTTTATTTGCGACCACCATCATCCCCCAAGCGCAATGTGCCACTCACACTCGCGCGCGATGTATCAAGACACGGTCAGTTCTTCCTCACTCATCAGCATAGGCTCGCTCACATACACACTTCTGTCGACATCGACATGGCTTTTAACACCGCACTCACACCGGCAAAAACCTGCGCCCTCAAGACTGCGGGTACAAAGGTACGCTTGAGTACTTACGTTGCTTATGGACACGGGTCGGTCACATGTGAGGCCTGATTCCTCAGCCTCGCCGACAGTTTCGACGCGGTGCCGCGCGCTCCCATGCGAGCCAGCGACCCAACACTGACCATTTGCTTGCCACTGGGGATTCAAGGCGATGTGGAGGTGGTGCGGCAGCCACCGGCTCCGTGAGAGCACGGTGTACAGGTATGTCTTCAGAACGTCCGAGCGCGGCAGGCGAGCAGGATATCACGGTGTACCGCATGGTCGAACCCGCGCATCCTGGGCTCCTGCTGCTAGATCTGCGCGCGACCGCTTCCGGTAGGCGTTGCTGAACGCGCGCGACGCGTCCGCCCCGAGCAGCCACCCGTTCTGCAGAGGCAGCAGCTCACTGGTTTGTGTTCCTCTTCCTTCTCTACCGAGATCAGTTCTACAGCCGCTCATTCCACCAAGTCCACAGCGGCCTCGACCGACGAGTCACAGTACTCGCACTTCACCTGGGCGATTGCCCCGCGCAAGCAGCGGTCTCGAGTCGGCCCACATGTCTGTCTCCCACGACTACGGTGTCCTCATTGAGGACGAGGGGATCGCCCTCTGTGGGCTCCTCATTATCGACCCTATAGGGTACCCTCAGGTACGTCCTTGATGGAGCGGCATACGTCTGGGAATCACGACTGATTGTGCGTTCGGTGGAGCTGGAAAAGTAAATTATGATCAACGACCTCCCCGTGGGCTGCTCTGTCGAGGGGACGATCCGGCTCGTGAAGGCATTCCAGTTCTCCCGGGTGCGTCTCTTTTCCTCCGCGCTCCCTGTGGCCGTTCCCGCTGACTTCTCCCGCCTCCCTCCCCCTTCCCCGACGCAACCATCCGCCTCTCCACGCCCAACCAATTCACCCTTTCGCGCCCATGGCGCCCCTCCATGCCCGATCTGTCTATCTTGCCGCGCTCAACCGACCTTTCCGCGCTCTCCACATTGATTTCTCTATCAGGTAAGCAATCCCCAGATACGAGTTTTCTACATTACTGACCACTCCGATAGTACTCACAATAGGGAACACTCCGTCAATTCGGGGAGACGTGCTGGACGAGAGGCTTCAAGCTTGGCCACATCGCCGACCATGTAAGTTCTTTGTTCTGCTCATGTTTCCGTTGCGTAGAATACCGGCTGTTTCGTATTTACCCCGAATGGATTACTGTGTGATTGGAATTATACGTGCGCCCCAGTGTGCGACGGAAGGCGATAGTGTTCCGCAGTTATCTGTCATCTCCTCCGCTAAATCTGACACTTTATCGTGAGGTGCTATCATTTCATGCGCCACAGATGACCGATATATGGTCGCACGCGCACCCAGAAATGATAGCACTGTCCGCGAGGTACGATCATCATTTGATAGTGGAAGAAGCAGACAATAATACACTGTGAGTTACTGCAGTACTTGGATGCTCAGCTACTGTCTATTGTCTTCGCTATCACTAACTATCGTACGCTACGAATGCCCTCGTCCACTATCAGACGCTACCGTTTCCGCGCCCATTTTGCTGATGTAACGTCTGGGGCTGCTGACTCAGCCCACATCCCTCTATCGGTCCCTACCGGGCGCCCACGTGCTACGAGCTATCGCCAGACATGCTAGAGGTAGTGCATCGCGCAAGATATGAGGTGTTGACGTTGACTGTGATTAGGCCTCAATGGGGCTATCATTGTCAGAACAGGGCAGTTGATCGGCATACACCCGAGCCATATGATACGATACACGAAAGTAATCCTTCATTGCCCCTTCATCGCTGTAAACTCGGCGACAAACGCCTCCATCGCGTCCAATGCTTCGACGAGGTGCTCGTACTGCAGCGGCTGCCCGCGACTGCGTGCAAGCGAAGTCGCCGTCCGGCACGCATTCTTGATCTGCCTCCCGTTGACATTGCGCGCCGCCAGCGCTGCGACGCGCTCCGCCGACACCACCTCGAACTTCATCTTCCCTGGCTTCTCCCCCGTCGCAGCCGCCTCGCCCTCGACGGTGAGGCCACCTTTCTTGAGGAACGCGCGCCAGATCCGCGCGCGCGTCTCCTCCGCGAGGTCACCAAAGTGCAGCGCGACGTGGATGCGGGACAGAAACGCCTCGTCGAAGGTCATGATCCGGTTCGTGGTGAGGAAGAGGATGCCGCGGTAGTACTCGACGTGCCGGAGGAAGACGGCGACCATCGCGTTCCGGTCGAGGTCGTGCAGCGAGCGCTGCTCGAGGAACACGTCCGCCTCGTCGATGAGCACGATCGCGCGCCACGCGGTCGCAATGTCGAAGATGCGCTCGAGCGCGCTGTCAAGCTGAGAGGGCGACGTGCCGAGGTCGCCGCTGCCGACGACGTAGAGCGGCCGCCGGATGTGCTCGGACGTCGCCTCCGCGGAGAGCGTCTTGCCAACACCCGGGGGCCCGAAGAGGTTGATGACGAGGCCTTGGCCCTTGCCACGCACAAAGTCGTCGAAGCCGGCGCCACCGTCGGCATCGTGCGCCTCGACGAGCGAGCGCAAGAGGGTCTTGCGGTCCGTTGGGAGCACGAGCCCCGCGAACGTCTCGGCGTTCCACGAGATCGCGTGCACCAGTTGGACGCTGTACTCCACTGCGGGGTACGTGAGCGACTACGCAGAGAGAGACGAGTGAATACTCACGCCAGATTTTATCCGCGAGCGAGAACCCGTACAGTACGGGCGTCGCGAGCAGGAGGTGATCATCGGTCAGGCCGCTGACGTCCTGCTCCTTGTTCAGCTTCCAGACCGAGTCTGTAGCTACGATGAGCGACGCGGCTTCACACGAGGACAAAGCACCTACCCTTGTTTGCGGGCTTTTGCGCAAAAGGTTCACCTGGCTTTGGGATCGAGTAGTTGGCCTCCAGCCTCGCGAAGTTACCGCGGTCGATCATGATTCGGGAGTTCACCTGGCATTCCATACAGGCATATGAGCATTCCACCGCCGTCTGTCCCAGGAGACTGACTCACGTTATACCGCGCGTAACCTCCATTGCAGGTGATCTTACCCGCGAGCCCATTGTAGTACACATGGTACACACCGTTGAGCGATGCCCACTTACGCCCGCGCTTGACAAGTTCCGCACGAAGCTGCGCCGGGTTCGGGTGGAACGCGAGCGGGAACACGGGGAGCTTGTTGATCTTGACCGTTCCTGCGAACTCGCGCACAGACAGCGTCCGCGCGTGCATCCCGAACGCGTGCTGCGTCGCACGCTGCGGTGAGCCTTGCCTTTCCCCGCCCTCGTATCCAGAATCGCCGTCGTCCATCTCGTAGTCGTCGTCCGTCTCGTCGTCATCTTCGCCGTTGTTGTCTTTGCCGCTTCCCCGCCCGTTGATGGACTCGTCTTTCCGCGCGTCCGCCGCCTCGAGGCCTTCGCAGGTGAGGTTGTAGTACTCGGCCGTGCGCTGGAACGCGAGCAGGCGCGCGGCGCGCATCTCGCCGGTGGCGACGTCGCGTGTGACGAAGATGGTGCCGGGGATGAGGATGCCGTAGAGGAGATCGTACGAGATTTCGCCGTTCGCGACGAGCTCCTGCAGGCGCGCGAGCGTGTGTTCGTAGTTCTGGCGCAGCCAGCTGAGCAGCGCGCTGAACGCGGTCAGCGTCTTCTCCTCGTCCTCCGGCCGGTCGGCCTTCTCGCGGAGCGCTGTCTCGTGCGCGGCGAGCTGGGGATAGAATGCCACGAGCAACGTGGGGTCGAGCTGCGGGACCGGTCGACAATGAGAATGATGCGGGATGATAACGACATGCGGAACCCTAGGAAGACGGCGCTTACCTCGACGGGCTTCGACTTCCACGACAGGCGAGGTATGTCCCCGATGACCTCCTTGCACGCCTGGAGCAAGTAAGGGCTCTTCACGACGACTTTGAAGGTGACGTTGGGGTTGTCATATGGGCGCCTTGGGTCGGGCAGCTTGCGGACGACGACGAAGTCGTAGTTGTCCCAGTCGTTGTTGGCGGTCACGACACCACCGATGGGCTGGACCGCCTCGGCAGGGATGTCGGAGTCAGTGTCCTTGTGACACCATGCCTTTTCGCTAGCGTTGTAGTAGTGATCAACGCGCTTGACGGACATGGCGGAGGAGGAAATGTAGGTGAGAGAGCTCCGTTGAAGAGGATGGTGGGGGGTCAATTGCGCTCGATGCTGCGTACTTATATGCGGGAGGTCAGCGTAGAGGCGCGTTGATGGCTCCTTGAACAAAAAGTGACTCCGTGAGGCGGTTCCGACGTGGTAAAGAGCTGTGAAGGAAGTGAACACATGCTCCGCTCCAGTGCTTCCACCATCTTCTGAACTGGAATTGAAAATGCGGACGGCTCGAGTGTGCCAATGGAATCTGAGACTGCGATCAATTGGGGTCATAAGCGAGTCCCTAAAACTGTGTTCCAGATTCCAGAGTTCCTGTAACCGTGAGCTTCGACTGGAGCGCGCAGGTAAGTACGTACTCCTCAGGCGAATGTCAAGTGCTACGATGCGAACACAAAGGCATCTCGTCGTGACCTTTAGACATACAACGCGTTCGATAAGGCTTCGGAACCGATTGGTGGGAAAGTGGAGCGTGGGACGGTCGAAATGAACATGTCCGAAAATGAGTCGGAGTAAGTCAGGACGTTGATGCGGCGCCGGTGCCTGAGAGGTTGATATCGTGACTTATGTAGTTGTTGAACTGCAAGCAAGTTCATGGTTCATCATCATGGCACCTTCTTCCCAGACGAAGGCCGGAAAGTACCTCCAGCCCTCGTTGATGAGCACGCTGTCGCGAGGAGTGCAAGACTGCGCACTCACCCACGGCGGAGTCCTAATCGCAGGCGCGCAACCAAGGCGACATCAACGACCTTGGTGTCAGCCACGTCAGAAGACCTGTGCGGAGCGAGACCGGCGGCATACCGGGCCATGTCGAGAAAGAGGTGCATCTAACTCCACCGGAGAGCATCAATCGAACCCACTAACGGTGTGATGTCATGCCTCTATGTCGTGCAAGTAGAACCCTTCTGGAGAGACATTAGTTCCGTGCGGACGCCAACAGTAAAAAGATACCATTCTGTGTCTAAACCAGTACTACCAAAACTTGACCCGCTTTCACACTTACACCTTCTCGAATGCCAGGACCGAGAGCATCCACTCTCTTCCCCACGTTCTCTTCGCCAGCTTCGATGTTGACCTCCGTCTTCATCGCCTCTAGTATCACAAGCACGTCCTCAGCAGACTGTATGATGTCCCCCACCGCGCATTTGATCTTCCAGATGTTCGCGTGAAGCGACGACGTGACGTACTGCCCACCACCCTCTTCAAGACCGATCTCAGCACCAGCTCGGAACATATCAATAAGAAAGGCCAGTCTCACCTTGAGCGGCGTCGGAGGCTGATGCCGGACTCTCCAAAGCAGCGCGGGCGCCTGCCTCTGCGCGCCGCCGCTCGTCCCATTCTGCGAACAGGGCGCGCTCCCTGGGTAAAAGCGTCACGCGGTGAGTGACGACGGCATGCGTGTCATGAATCACGAACCTGGCCTCTTCACGTGCGACAGCGCGCGCCTGTTTCTCTTTGAAAGCGCGGACTTCGTCTGCGATGCTGGCAACGAAGAAAGAGTACTCGGCCATGGAAAACGTCTGCTCCTCGATCTGTAAAGCCAGTGAGACCAGGGCGTTGGCGTGCACAGGTGGATCTCACCTTGAACGCGTACTGCCCGGCATCGAATACCTTCTCGAGCTAAGGTTTGGTCAGCATTGAGAGGCATTGCGCGAAATCCGGAAGCACGGACATGCAGGTACTCTTCTTCCGTTACAACTTCGAATCTCAACTAAACATACCAGGGGTGAGTGCAAGCGTACGAAACGATGACGAGAAGCATACCTGGTCGAACGCGCGTAGTAACCACGGGCTGTCCAAACTGAAGTCGCGCCCTTTTCCCCACGTCTGCCATGGAGGGAGGGTGCGCCCATAAAGCTGATAGCCGCCTGGCGACTCGATTGGGTAGATCGCGGCGACGACGCCCGCGATACCAAGCGCGCCCTACATAAATGTGAGCTCTCGCGAGAACGCCCTCAGACTCAGGATGGCGTACGCGGGGAGTAAACGTCCGAGAGGGGTTCATCTTCTGGCCCACGAGGCGACATCGGGGGTCGATCTTTGATGGTATATGAGCATGAGTGACACGAGAGAGACCCAATGAAATCGCATACAGGGACCAAAAACGGGCATGCCAGATAGAACCCGACGCCCAACACAAGCTGTGGTAGCGCTCATCAGCGTTGTGCGCGACGTCAAGGACGAGCGACTTACCCAGTCTGTGCCCACCAACGCTTTCAAAGCTTCCTTGGCCCCGTCAAGCCCGTTGTTGTTCGCAAGGTACTCGACGTTACTGGGCAAGTACGCCGCGGTGGGCCGGATGCTTTGCATGTACCTCTGCAGCGCCTCGCGGTTCCACCGGTCATCGAGCACGATCGGGAACGTGATCTTGCGTCCGGGGAAGACGAGTTCGTCGAGGCCCGACGGGACGGCGGCCTCGGCGTCGATGAGGGCCGAGAGCACCGCAGATTGCGTGGTGAGGGACATGTCGAAGTGGACCTGCGAGGACTTTCAGGACCGGGAGGAAGGTCGAAGGAAGGGAACTCACCATCGTCGAACGTATGCACGGCGCGAGAGACCACACCCCAGGGACGTCGCGCTTCTTAACCTCCGTCTCGAACGCGTGGATGCGCGCGCGGAGCGCCAGGTCAAGCACCATCTCCCCGAACTCGACCAGGATCGCCTCGTCGCCAGCCTGGCGGAAGACGACCCCTGGACGGTTCGTCGCTGGGTCCGGCGGAACCGCATGCAAGCGCGGATCGATGTCCTTGTCTTCGAAGTCTAAGCTCGGCAGCGAGCGAGCTGCACCCCCGCCGCCCCCTGCGCCAGCCGCGACCTGATCGCGCAGCGCGTCGAGGAACGCCTCCTGCTCCAGCCGGAGCCGCTCCGCGTCCGCCCACGCGACACGCCGGAACCGCACCGTGTCGCCCGCGCGGACCTGACCGATCTTCCACACCTCCGCGCGCGCGATCGTGCAGGCGCACACGTACCCGCCCATGTCCGGGCCCTCGTTCCCGAGCACGACGGGCGTGTCCCCGTTCACGTTCACCGTCCCGCGCGCGTAGCCGTTGTCAAGGATGTTGCTCGGGTGCGATCCTCCGTCACCGCCGGTCGCGCGAGCCCAGTCGAGGGTGGGACCTTCGAGGCGGACGCCCATCCGGTTGGACGAGGGGGAGACGCTCCAAGAGGTGGCGAAGAACGTGGTGATCCCGTAGGGGGTGAGGAATGTCGTGTCGCACTGAGGGCCGGGAAGGACGTGTATCTCTTGGTGCACCTGGTACGTTGGGATCTGGCTAGGGTGGAGCGTGGCGAAAGAGCTATCGGTGGGCGTCGGGGAGCAGTCACCTAGCGCGATGTGGTCGCCTGAGGTAAGAGCGCGACCTTGGTAACCGCCGAGTCCCAGCGACGTAGATTTCGATCCCAGATACTGGGGGACCTCCGGAAACCCGCCTCTGAACGCTATGTATGTGCGCATGCCGGCGCCTTGAGCGGTCCCGACGACGAGCCTGCCACCCTTTGGGACGACGAGGCGCGTCCACATCGCGACTTCGGCTCCGTTGACGGTGACTTTGGAAGGCGCACCCGTGACCGCGATGACGGTGTCGCAGTGAAACTGTATGCGGCACCCGGTGAGGGTGGTTTCGAGCCCTTCTGTCCCGTCCCCATTGCCCACGAGAATGTTCGCGATGCGGAAGGCGAGCGAGTCCACAGGGCCGCTGCGGGGCATGCCGAGTCCGATCTGGCGACCAGGGTAGTCTTGGACCGTGGTCTCGAGACCTCCAGTGATGACCGTGAAGGCTCTAGACGATGTTTAGTCAACTGTATGCGCATATATGCGGGATCTACATGCCTTGGACTGTGCAAGAAAGTGTCTAGAAGTGTCGTCGTCGTGTGTCCGGTCTTGAACGAGCTCGAGTCGCAGATGGCGCGTAGATAGGATAAGTTATTGGGAGGGCCGTACACTTTCGTCTTCGTCAAGACCTGAGAAAGGCGTTCCGTGGCCTCTTCTCGCGACGAGCCGGTCACGATGAGCTTGCAGGCGAGAGGGTCGTAGTGGGGACTGATGGTCGTCCCGGTCTCGATCCACGATTCCACGCGGAGGAAGTCCTCGTTGGGGAACTCGACGAGCTGGAGCACGCCTGGGGAGGGCTTGAACTGCGCCGCGGGGTTCTCGCAGTAGACGCGAGACTCGATGGAGTGCAGTGTGGGCGGGAAAGAGTACCGCGTCTGGTCGTAGAACGGGTGTCGTCGTAGAGCATCAGGCCCGCCCACGCCGAACACGAGCATCATCTCCACAACGTCGAGGCCAGGATGGACTTGCTCCGTGACCGGGTGCTCGACCTGCAGGCGTGTGTTCATCTCGAGGAAGAAGAACTCGCCCGTCGCGTCGTTGACCAGAAACTCGACCGTCCCGGCGGACGCGTACTGGACATGTTCTGCGAGTCGCACCGCTGCAGCGCACATCTTTGCCTGGATGTCGGGGTGGGCGAGCATGAACGGGCTGGGGGATTCCTCGATGACCTTCTGGTGGCGTCGCTGGATGCTGCATTCACGCTCGCCCATGTGGATGGCGTGACCGCCGCCGTCGCCAAAGACCTGGACTTCAACATGTCTTGCGGCGGGGATGTACTTCTCGACGAACAGACCGTCGTTGTGGAACATGGACTGCACAACATTTAACCACGGTCGCTGCAGCAAGACCAGGGGTCACTCACCTTGGCTCGTGCCTGCGTCGCCTCGAACTTGGCGTGGACGTCTTCCTCCCCGCCGCACACCACCATGCCCATTCCGCCGCCTCCCGCCGTCGCCTTGATCATGACCGGCCACCCCACCGCTCTCGCCTCTGCCACTGCCTCGTCCACACTGCTCACCAGCCTGCCTACAGCCGACCCGGGCACGCCCGGTACCCCGACCTCAATCGCGAGCTGCCGCGCTCGATGCTTGAGCCCCATCGCCTCGATCGTCGCCGGTCGCGGCCCGAGCCAGCGCACTCCTGCATCTTCCACCGCGTGCGCAAATGGTGCATTCTCGGAGAGGAAACCGTAGCCGGGGTGGAGGAGCGTCGCGTTCGCGGTCTTGCACGCCGCGAGCACCGCCGTGGGGTCGAGGTAGAGTCGCGCGTCCGCAGCGTCGTCCGTGGATACAGGTGAAACGAGGGGGATGGCTTCGTCAGCGAGAACGACGTGGAGGGCGGTAGCATCCGCGCGAGTGTAGATGGCGACCGTACGCAGGCCGAGACGGCGCGCGGTACGGAGGATTCGCACCGCGATCTCGCCGCGGTTTGCGACGAGGAGCTTGTGCGATGCGTAGATGCTGCCCGCCATGGTCGATGTTTGCTGAGCAACATCAGCTACGCTGCTACTTGACATGCTAAGGAGCGAGATACCGGGGACTCACGTGAACATCCTAAGCTTGTTGAACGATTATCCCACTGTTAAATCGTGGTCCCCCTCACGTCTCCAGAGTCTCATGACCGTTATCTCTCCCCGCTAACTGCTTTTCGCTCTCACGCCCACTATCTTTGGCCACTGTGACTGTGGTCTTGAGGCGTTGAGGAGCACCGGCGACCGCAGGATATACATATTGGAGACCCCGACTTCGACCGTGACCTCCATCTTCGTTCGGCCGACGATGAGCAAACTTCTAGCGACGGTAAATTGCGACATGGGGGAGGTGAGTGCAACGTCCAGGTGGCCGTGGCTCAGACGTTTGGGGAGATAAGGCATGTGGAGGACATGGAGGACAGTACCAGTCGGTTGGTGGCGAAAGGGAGGAGCGAGCTGGTCGCGACTCGCGACTCGCGAGCGCTGCGAATGGGCGCTGGGGCACTCCGAAAACTTCGGTCTTCGTGATGAGATCCACGCACGCATACTGCAGCACAGCGCTGCCTCCTTCCACGTTGTGCCATCATCATCGATATCTTCGCAGTTCATCACTCTGATATGTCGCAAATCAGGGTTTTGCTCTATACAAGATCGTACGTCCGCTTTCTAGCTCCAGAGTTCGATTCTTGCTTATCAATTATATAGGGTGACGACGAATCGTTGATGAAGACAATTCATCTCGCTAACGTGGCCTGTGGATTTCACGCGTCGTAGGCTCCACATTCGCTCATGGTTGCTTCCACTTCAATTCACTCCATCCGCTCAGTGACTTCTCAATCATGAATGAGACTGTACGACTCGCCAAAGAGAACAACGTCCGGGTTGGAGCCCACCCATCTCTTCCTGACCGACAAGGTTGGGGGAGACGTGAAATGTCCATGGAGCCCGTGAGTGTCTGTCTTATAATCTCACACCCGATCAGGCGATTGAAGAGGTATGATGGCCGGCAGGACGAACTCGCATCATGCTTTATTTACCAAGTCGGTGCTTTGACCGGTTTTCTGTCCCTCCACAACCTCTCGCTCAACCATGTGAGCAAGGATTTCAGCCTACAGCTCGTATGATCAAGCCTATATTTCTATGCTCATGTTGCACGCTGCACTTCAGATCAAGCCTCACGGCGCTGTGTACGGCATGACCGCACGCGACATGTCGCTTGCGCGTGCCGTGCTCGGCGTCGCGAAGCTGTACAACGTCCCGTTCATGGGGCTGGCGGGTACATGCCATCAGACCGCCGCGAAAGAGCTGAGTGTGCCATTCATTGCCGGTCTGTCGATCACTGTCTTTTTTCGTTTCCAATGCTCACGTCAGGACGATGGCGTAAAGAATGGTTCGCCGATCTCGAATACAGCGACGAAGGCAAGCTGCTCATAACCAAGTAAGTCTCCTCGCGCTTTGTCGGCGTCGTTCCTGCTCAAGTGTGAACAGGAAGCATGACCCCGTCCCGCTCTCCGTGGTCAAGGCTCGAGTCAGCCGACTCTTGTCCGACAAACAGATCACAACTCTCGGCGGCAGTGTTCCTCTGCCAGAAGGGGTTTCCGAGGTCTCCATCTGCTGTCACTCCGATACCCCGGTGAGAATGGTCTACAGACGCTCGATTACGGAGAACGTTCTTAATTTGCTCTCTTCCACAGGGCGCGGTCGAGATTGCACACGCGGTCAAGGCGCTCGTGGACTGGAACAACGAACAAGTGTAACGGGCCTCTGCGTCTCCGGTGTCTTTAGCAATGAATATATGATATGTCACATTGGAACCCGACAGTGTATCGTCCGCTCGATTCTCCCGATCAATTCTTTCCTTGAACGCTTTCCAGCATCTAATTGTATGTCTATCTCCCCGCTCTTTCCCAGGTGCCCTTCTTGCAACTTGCGTCGTGCCAATGGTTCTCGCCTGTTTTCTGCTCGCTGTGGCCGAGCCCGATGTGATCGCCGATACGCGCCTGTCGATCGAGCCGGTTGCGGGGCGGCAGGACGGATTTTGCGAAGGACTGGTGTCCGTCTCTGTCCCGCCCTGAGTGCGTAACCAGCTCAGGGCACATGTCGACAGCTGCGTGTCGCCCGCGAGCACACCGGCGATTCGCGACCTTCTGATCCAGCGACAACATCATCACCGTGGGACGCGCTGGGACGCTACCGCGGGGCCGACGCGGCTAGGCTGGCACGTGAGCCGCGCCTTCCTTTCGCAGCGGGATCGTTCCCGAGGGCGGAGCGGCTGGGAGCTGGGACGCGTGACGAACTGTCTTTTGCACGGTGTGCGACATAGCGTTCGGCGCGACTGTTTATCCTCCAGCTGGACATATAACCCGCGTTCGCACCTCCATGCCACCACCACCGCCGCCTCCGCCACGCCCGCCCCCAAAGCCCCGTGCTCCGACCCGCTTCCGCCCCCTTTCCTCTCCGCCCCCATCCCGCCCACACAACCACGATGGCCCACCACACGGCCGCCGCCCCCGCCGCGAACGCCAAAGGCGTCTCCAAGTCCTCCACCCTCTACGACGGCCGCACCGCCCCCCACTCCCTCCACGTCCTCGTCGTCGGCTGCGGCATGGGCGGGCTCGCCGCCGCCCACTGCCTCGGCAAGGCCGGCCACCGTGTCACCCTGCTCGAGGCCGCGGCCGCCATCGGCGAGGTCGGCGCCGGGATCCAGGTGACCCCGAACCTCTCGCGTATGCTCTGGCGGTGGGGCGCTGGGCCCACGCTCGAGGCCGTCGGCGTCCGCCCCGACGCGATCGTCCTCCGCCGGTATGCGACTGGGGAGCGTATCGGGTACACGAGCTGGAAGGACATGGAGGCGCGTTACGGCGCGCCGTACTACCACGTCCACCGCGCCGACCTCCACAAACTTCTCTTCGACCTCGCCGAGCCGTGGATGACCCTTCGCCTTAACGCGGCCGTCGTCGCCGTCGACCCGGAGACCCCTTCGGTCACGCTTCAAAGTGGGGAGGTCATCACTGGGGACCTCGTCGTCGGGGCGGACGGAATCAAGAGCCTGTGCCAACAGGTCGTCCTCGGCTACACGAATCCAGCTGACCCGACGGGCGACGCCGTGTACCGCGCGATTGTGCCGTCGGAGCTGCTGCTCAACGACCCGGAGTTGCGAGAGTTCGTCGACGTCGCGGAGATGACGGGGTGGATGGGCCCGCGGCGGCATATCATGGCCTACAACATCGTACGTTCCTGCGTTATCTCCATCGCGCAGTGCCCTTACCCGGGCCCCCCTCTTCGCACGCCAGCGCAGCAAGAAGGAGTACAACATCGTGCTCGCCCACCCCGACGACGGCTCGGTCGAGTCCTGGACCGCCGAGGGCAGCGCGGACAAGATGCGCGCCGAGTTCGCCGACTATTGCCCGCAGTAAGTGCGCGCCCCGCCATCACCATCACCCCTTCGCTCACCGCGCGCGCGCACCCCCTCCCCTGTTGCGTTTGCAGGATGCACAAGATCCTGGGCTTCGTCAAGTCGACGCTCAAGTGGCGCCTCATGGACCGCAAGCCGCTCCCGACGTGGATCCACCCCTCCTACAAGGTCGTCCTCCTCGGCGACGCCTGCCACCCGATGCTCCCCTACCGCGCGCAGGGCGCGGCGATGGCGGTGGAGGACGCCGCCGTGCTCGGCAGCCTCCTCTCGCGCCTCTCCTCGCCGTCGCAGCTGCCCGTGTTCCTGCGCGCGTACGAGGCGCTGCGCCTTCCGCGCACCGCGGAGACGCAGAACCAATCCCGCCTGAACCAGCACACGTTCCACCTTCCGGACGGGCCCGCGCAAGAGGCGCGCGACGCGGACATGCGCGCCGCGACCGCGCGGGAGCTCGAGCGGCTCCGTCAAGGCCGCGCCGTCGGCGAGGACGACCTCGGGCGGAGCGCGGGCGCGGCGAACCAGTGGGCGGACGAGCGCAAGAACGAGGAGCAGTTCCTGTACGACGCGGATGCGGTCGCTGAGCAGTGGTGGCGCGAGACGGGAGCGGCGGCGCTCGCGATGCCCGTGCAGGCGAGCAGCACGCCACTGTCGAGGTTGTGAGCGTTGGGTCGCCTCCGTGCGCCGTTTCTGATTCCCAGTTGCCGTGCTTGATGCCCGATCGTCTCCTCGCGAGTGCGGTGGAGGAACGTTTGAATTATTTCGTGTTTTTTTCGGCCATTACTGATGTGCGCGCAACCCCACGAACGTGAAGTTTCCGATGTAACCTCGTTTATATCCATACTCTTATCCGATGTAGACGTCTCTGTATCCTGTACACAGATTTATATCACTCTACGTATCTACCTTGCGAGGGAGTTGAAACATCGTCGCTCTTCGTCCGCGGCCTGTCCGAGTCGAACGTGCTTCTGCACCTTTCTGCACTCGCACGTCTATTCACCGCGTGTACGCCGGTGCCGCGAGTTCTCGCTTGGCGGCGCGCGGGAGGATCACGTCGCCCAAAATGTGCGACTTCTCCAGGGGTCTCGGGCCCCGGGGCGGCGAGCGGCACCAGACGGCACCCCAGCCTCCAGGGCACCCCGGTCCCCACACTGCGGGGAAGTCCAGGGACGTGCCCTAGTGGCCACTGGCCACAAGGGCCGGGAGAAAGGTTGTCGCGACGTTATTTGGATGAGCCTCTATCGTACATCCTCGGAGCTGAACTCGAGAACTGGTCGCGGGACCGAGCTAGCATGATGTGAGTAAGTCGGACATGGAAGATCATGTGTGTGTCGCATGGACGAAATGTCCGACGGCGAACGGACACGCCGCTGCCCTTGCAGAGATGAGAAGAGCGCGATTACCTTGTGACAGACCCCCGAGATTACGAATGGATCGTAGTAGACGGTGGTTGGAAGGCCATGCGGCACTCAATGCCTTACCAATAGTGAGCGTTTCTGACGGCCCGAGGTGAACGAGCGGCGTTAGAAGCGTTCCGGCAGGTCCCTCGATGGAAATCGAAGGCGTAAAGGCGTACATAGTTGAGGCTAATCCGTAGATGCACAACACGAGGCGATGTGCTCAGCGTGGTTTGGCAAAGTCAGTGCCCATGGGGCCCGGGTGCCTTCCCTCTCAAGATCTCACGGCTGAGAATGCTGTCGGCCATTCACTCGCAACTCCGACAAATCCAGATCGGGGGTGGTACCGCGTCGTTTCGACGAGCACCGCTTCGTATGATCGAGGGAACACGTCGTCCGTCGGTGGACACTTCCGCCTACACGATCCGAACAAGGATCGGAAGAGGCACGATGAACCTTGAAGAAGGGCTGAGTCAGCAACTTCCACGAATAGTAAACACTATCACTAAGCCATCGCTGGCCAAAACACCTTTTCCGATACTACTACGTCACAACCCACGTCATAAGCCACGCCAGCGTTCGCGCCGATGCGGAAAGACGACGTGCGCGGCGGACTTCCCCGTGCTCCCGTAGCTCACGCACCCCCACGCTGGGGTCTGCCACTGGACTACGGGGAGCACATGCCGGTTTATAAGTGCGCATCGCGTTCTGCGGCCAGTTGGCTGCGGCACTGGGCCTTCTCCGCTCGGGGTGGGGTACGGTATTGATGTTCAGCTGCTTGGGTGTATTTCCGGCGAGTGTGCCAACTCGGCCGTTGTACAACAGAATGCGGAGAAGTGAAGGAAGTGATTTAAGCGACCCGCCATTGCGACACCACACCTGTAAACGACGATGTACACAACTGCGTGAGCATGGAGCGGTCATAAGTACAGTGCAAGAGCAAAGACGCACCCAGCGGATCTTCATCATCGTGCTGCGCGCCTGTCCACAATCCCAACGCTCCCATCGCGGACCCGACTGGACCGAGCTGGACTGCTTCACTCGCCCACTCGTGGGCAGTACCTCCAAGCACCGACGAAACCTGCGACGACCCGACAGACGCCGATATCAGAGACATATCAGTGAAGGTGAAGCAAGCACCAGCACTGACGGAAGAGTACCGGACGCGACCGTCGGGCAGCATGCTCACACGCCCGCACACCCGGCGGTAGTCGTCTGTGAGAGGCGAGACAGCGCCAACCCAGCCCGCGCCGCCCATCTCACCCTCGAAAACGATTGTGGGGCGGTCTGGGTATTCCTTTGGGAGCGAGGGCGGCTCGTAGCCGGTGATGCGGACGGACATGGGCACAATGATCCAGGCCTCGTCCAAGTCCTCGTCAGCGAAGGAGCCCCATCGCTGGCGCCAAGATCAGGAGCGTGCGTAGGACGTTCAGAGGAGGAGGACTCACGTTGTGATCTATATTTGTGTGTGTCAGCGAGATGAAAGACACAGACACAGATACGCACATATCAATTCGTCGTAGTCCAGCCAGCACACCAACCGCCTCCAAACGCCTTCGAATCCTGCCCAGTCCCATCGATGCGCCTTCCACTCTTCTCCAGGAGGGTACTCGACTGCGTTCCCTTCCCCAGACGGCGGAGGGGGTGCGATCCAGGCCCCCGCACGCAAGTTGTTCCAGTCGTAAAGTTGCGGCAGGTCTCCGCGGTCCATGTTCTCGAACAGCTTCCACTCTGCGACCACCCGGCTCGCCGCGATCCATGTCCAATCCGGGAAGAGCTTCCCCGGGTCGGGCAGCGTGTTCGTCGACGATGGCGGGCCCTCCGTGACTGCAACGGGATGGGTCCCGGGCGTCGCGTCTGAGGCCGATGGGTCGTCTGGGGGTACATAGTCGGCGTCTTCGTCGTCCTCATCGTCTCCTTCCGTCTCCTCTTCTGCATCGTCCGTCGGCGCAGCAGCCAAGTTCGCGAGCGCGTCGACCCTCAGGAACGGGCCCCACGCTCGCTGGCGCGATAGGAAGCGCAGGGAAAACGCAAGCGGACGTCCTCCTTCATGCGCGACTCGCCGCTGCATCTCCTCGCTGAGATCGATCATGCCCTGCGGCTTCGAGCGCGCGGTCGGTGACGAAGGTGGAGAGCGGTGTTCGGGGGCCGCAGGCACTTGGTTGAGTGGGATAGGGAGGAACCCGAGGCGGGCGATGAGCTCGCAGAGGAGCGGACCCTCGGCGTGGTTCTTCCAACTCGGAGCGAGGTTCTCCCAGGCGATGATGCGGGTAAGTGATATGGGCAGCCCGTGTGTGAGGACACGCTGCAGCCAAGCAACATTGCGGGATTCGATGTCTGCGGGAATATGGCACGAGGGAGGGAGGATAGGGGTGTCTGCGTGCCGGAGGGCGAGTGGCCTGTCGAGCTGGGGAGTCGAGGATGGGCTAGAGGCGACGCGTATCCCCGGAGTAGGGGCGATGGTCTGCACGGCGTCAAGAAGGGCGTCGAGGAGACGGACGTGGACGTGGGATTCGGCTTGAGGCCCAAGTTTGTCCAGTGAGAACATCATGGAGGGCGTGGACCTAAGATTATGTTTGGGAACGGTAACCTCGAGTGGGCGTGCATGTCTGTCGAGGTATCTCTCGGTCCAGACTCGCTCGGTGAACATATGGCGCCAGTGGACTGTTGAATTGCATCAGTACTTAGAAGTGCAAGTGCAAGAATGTGTTCGTCGTACTTACCTGTGGAACATCCGGGGTTCAGACGCGGATCGTCAAAATAGACCAGACAAAGGGAGCGCCACAGATGGCTGTCGGCAGTGTGGTAGATAAGAAGTCGGAGGGTGCGACATGTTTGAGCTAGAGCTGCGATAGAAAGCGGATTTCCCTGCAAAACACAGGATAAGCAGATGTTCTCTAGTAGCTCAGACGGCAAGGTCAAGAGGGGACGATAACTAGACATGATGGTGGGGAGGTGGATACCAGAGCGGCCAATTTGGCGGACAAAAACACCGCCGTACGTACAAGTTCCGACACGGGGAATCGAACCCCGGGCTATCGCGTGAGAGGCGATAATGTTAGCCACTACACCATATCGGACGTATCCGTAATCGCAGCTATTTAGTGGTGCTCCTTCCCACATACTCATGTACCTGGTGCCTGGCCTGGATAGCCGAGGCAGATGGGGAGCAGGACGAGGCGAACGTCGACAACGGCTCTCTTCTCGGCCAACACCACCTTTCCCCTATCGCGCCCATGACCCTCGCACGACGCAGGGTGTCGTACGTGATTCCTTCCCCGGTTGACTCGCCGCCCCTTCTCCACCTCCCCGCCCCCGACGTTCCCCGCCACGGCCGCATCGGCCCTCTACTCTTACCTATCAAAGGAACGCATACACCTTCTCCACACGCCTGGACATGGTCTGCGCATCCTCGCCACCGCCTCGGAGTATCATGCCTCGCGCTCGACACATCGACACCTCTCGTCGGCCGAAACTCCCCCGAAGGTATGCTATACACCGGGGGACGCGATGGCCTCGTTATTTCCTGGGACCTGGGCGTACCGATGACGCGTCGTGCGCATCGCTACGGATACGGCAAGCAGCGGCAGAGCATGCGGCGGTGGGAGGTCATGACGAACTGGGCCGACGACATCATCGAAGAGGAGGACGAGGGCGAGGAGCCGCGGAGCGATGGCGATGTCTTGGGCGAGGTCACGGGCAAGAAGAAGCGCATACACACCGACAAGTCGATTTCATACGAGGATGAGTGGGAGACGGATGTGGACGCGTACCAGGCGTTCAAGGTATGTTCCAAGTTCTTTCGCGCGCGCGGCCAGGAGGGTGGTAGATTGCTCAGCGCGCACCCTTGGAACTCTCTCTTACAACGGTAACTGTAGGCTCGCCCGCCAACAAGCAGCTTTCGCCAAGCTGTACAGATGCACTCCGACTGGATCAACGATATATTATTGTGTAATTATAACCAGACTCGTACGTATACTCCGCTTGCTATGTTCTGCGCGTGTTCAAGTGCATCCAGTCATATCCGCATCCTCCGATGGTACCATCAAGGCCTGGTCGCCCCATGCCCACAGCTCTTCTAGCTCGTTATCTGAACCCACTGTAGTTGGTTCACACACGGACTATGTTCGCTGTCTTACACACAGGTATGGGCGCGCTTACTCCCACTCGGCGTTGTCTGACGACACCCAGTCGTGAACAGCAGTGGTTCGCGTCCGGATCCTTCGACCGCACCGTTAAGATCTGGGATCTTCCTTCTGCGCATAGCAAGGTCGAGCCCCTGCTTACGCTTAATCCACCAGATGCCTCCGGCCCGAAAGCGTCACTGTACGCTCTCGCGACTGACCCGTACGGGACAGTCATTGCGTCTGGCTCACCGGAACGCGTCATTCGCATGTGGGATCCTAGATCTGGAAAGCGAATCGCCAAGCTTGTTGGTCATACTGACAACATACGGGCCATTCTGGTCTCAGACGACGCCAAATACGTGAGTTCATGCTGATGTTCTACTTCACGTTTACTGAAACTTCTGCTAGTTGTTGACTGGATCAGCGGACGGTGCGCCCTATTTCGCAACCACTTTCACGACGGGAAAAGCTGGTATACCTCGCTGGGTTAGGACGTGGACCATGATATTGCGATGTTCCATGTCACGGTCGCAGTGTTTGTCCGGAGTACGCCTTTCCGGACCATACCACCGAGCTCGGTTTCACGGTGGGCGAGTTCGTCTTCCTCGCGAGACGATGGTTGGGGAGACCGTGGGGCTTCCCCTTCGGTCGGGAGAGGAGACGCCTAGCAGAGATATGTGTCTGAGCACGAGGGGCGGGGCGTGACCTGACGGGTTGCGCTCGCCCCCCGCGTCTCTGGAGAGGTGGTCAAAAGCATGCGTACGCGCGATGTGGGAAGACCACAAGCGTCCGCATCCCCCGTCCACGCTAAGCACACCTATGCTATAGTCCTCCGCTTGTTCCTCGTGAAGGACCAAGCTTCCTGGACTGGGAATGCGAATATTCAGACCATGTGATCTGGCATTTGTCTCGTAGGCACTGCACCAGAACAAGGCTGCGACCGGGAAAGGGGATACGGCGGTGACATGGTCCACGTCACATCTGAGCGGAGGTTATCTGGCCTTTTCGTCACCTCCGACAATATACTTACCCTGTGTTTAGCCTCCGTCAAACTTTGGTCCCTCTCATCGCAGCGCTGCCTGCACACCTTCACTCACCACACCGAGTCCGTCTGGTCCCTCTTCTCAACGCACCCAGCACTGGAAGTCTTTTACTCGGGAGACCGTTCCGGCATTGTGTGCAAAGTTGACGTTGAAGGCTGCGCCGACGTCGCCGAGGGCGAATGCATCGTTCTCTGCCAGGATGCCGGTACAGACCGCCCGAACTCGCCTGGTGCGGAAGGTATCAACAAGATTGTCGCGATGGACGACAACCTGCTCTGGACGGCTTCAGGGAGCTCGAGTGTCAAGCGCTGGCGGGTACCTCAGCGTCGCGCTGTTCGTGCGGCAGCACTCAGCACGGAGAGCACAGTCGACAGCCCCGTGTCCTCCACCCAGCCCGTGGAATACCAAGGTTGGCACTCCGGCAGGAACGATTCCCTGGACCTTCCGCGTGCGATCTCTCCGCCACGCTCCCACTCCAACTCTCTATCACACGACCTGTCAAACTCGCGCAGCAGCAGTCCATTCGCCACACGCTCCTCGCGCGCTGACTCCATACCTCCCTCTGCAACCGCCAACCTGCACGCATGCGACGCGCTGGGCATCGATCCGACACAAGAGGGCGAGTCCTCGTGGTACGGAATCCCGTTCGAGTCGCTCGTGCGCCTCACCTCACCCAACGATACCGGTTTCGGGCTCACGCGACGGGGGCACGACCCGGAAATCGCCACGCTTTACTCAGCCGCGAGCGTAATGAGCGTCCCGCGCATGGTGCGCTCCCCGACGCTCGGTCTCTCCTCCAACGGCCTCATCCCCTCTTCCTCCGCCATGATGCGTAGCGCGAGTCCCGCTCCAGGCCTGCCCGAGCCACACACTCAAGGCTCATTTCCGCCTCCCGCTCCGGGCGCGATGGCGCGCGCGGCGTTCGACCTTCGCGAGGTCGCCGCGGACGCGGTGCCTCTGCACACCGAACCGGACGAGGAAATCGCGGGCGAGCAGGGGCTTGTGCGCTCCGTGCTGCTCAACGACCGCGTGCACGCCCTGACAGTCGACACCGCGGGCGAGGTCGCGGTGTGGGACGTCGTGCGGGGCGCGTGTCTCGGCCGGTACGCGCCCGCGGACGTCGCCGCCGCCGTCACGCAGAGCCACGGCTCGCATGGGGGTAGTGATAGTGGGAGCGGGGGTACGGCGGAGCGCGCCAAAAGCCCGCGGGAGGCGCTCGAGACGGTGCGCGAGCGGATCGAGGGCGAGGCGGTGGTGCCGACGTGGAGCGCGGTGGACACGAAGACGGGGGTGCTCACGGTGCACTTGAGCGAGCGGTGCTTCGAGGCAGAGGTGTATGCGGATGAAGCAGGGTATGGGCCTGAGAGGCAGTTCAGCGAGGAGACTAGGCGTAAGTTCACCTTCGTCGTTACTGAAGTCGTGATACTAACGGACTCGCAGTGAACGTCGGCAAGTGGGTGTTGAAGAATCTCTTCCACGGCTTCATCCGCGAAGAGCAGCGACAGTCATCACGCCGCGCGCGCTCGCATGATGGCTCTATCAACGATCCACACGCCCGCATGCAGCGCTACCCCACGCAAATACACGTCGATTCTGCGTCCTCTGGCGCGCGCAGCCGCTCCTCCTCCGATGTGTCCATTGACCCTCACCCAAGTCAATACAACCGTCATCCGCACTCCCGGAGCGCGACGATTGTCGTTTCCCCGAACATGATACCGGCCGCACCCCCTCCCATCTCTGCAGCCCCCCGATCCTCGCCACTTATGGCGCCCCTCATCCCTCTCCAAGGCGGTCTCCGCGACAGCTCCGGGCTTTCCCCCATCCCCCAATCCCCCACCGTTTCCGACACGCCTGGCTTCCGCACCACCACGGCGCACCAGCAGGAGGGAAGCACGACTCCAGCCGCTGTCCCGCCGCCGAGCGTCAGCGCGACCGCGAGCAACGGGAGCTCTACCGGTGGCGGGGACTATTTCTCCCTTCGCGCGCGGCGTCCATCAGTCTCCGCAACCCCCGCGGCTGTAGGAAATACCGCGACGCCTGCGGACGACTATGGCGCCTGGGCGAACCCGGGGCCACATATGGCGATAGGGTCTACTCCGGGTACTGCGAGTCCGGCCATGGGTGCGTCGAGACCGGGGACTGCGGAGGCGGTTATGCCAAACACCCCGAGCACGCCCACTGTGGGGAGTCTGATGGGCCGGTTGAAGGCGTTTGGGAAGAACTCGAGAAAGCAGCCGAGCGAGACTTCTGGTGCAACGGCCCCAACTGACGCAGGGCCCACAGCGTCCGTCGGTGGCGGCTCGACCGAGGTACGCATCTCGTCTACATACGTCTGCATGCGTACTAACTGTCGTCTGCATTGGATTGCAGGAGACCCCAGCGCCCCCGCCCTCCGCTGGACAAGCGCTGCTCGCGGGGCCTATTACCCCACCTTCTTCGTCCGACGCCCCACCGCTCCCGCTTCCGCCACACACCGCGCTCGTCATCTGCGAAGAGGCGCCCTCGGGCTGGATGACGCTCTATCGCGGTAACGTGGGCAGCACAGGCGTCGATGCACGCGTGCTCGAGGACGCGATGCCGCTGTGGCTGCTCGAATGCCTGTTGCAGAACAAGACACCAGCGATTCCGATCACGAAGATCGGATTCGTGCTGCTGCCGCACCAGGAGCCGGATGGGGAGCTGCTTCCGGAGCTCTTGAATACGTGCGTTGTGTCCCCAGTTGAATAGATGGTTGATAGTGAGACTGCTCCATCCCCAGCGCGCAGTCGAAGCTGACTGCGAGCCGGTTCCTGCGCGTCCGCAAACTTACTCACCATGTACGTCTCTCGGCCCTTCTCTTCCCTCTGCGCCACGCGTGCTCATTCTGCACCTGCGCACAGGTGCAAGACAAACTCGAGAAGCTACAGAACGGCACATCGTCGCCCGCCCCGCTCTCCACTCCACGCTCGTCGCTTGACCGGCGCTCGATCGCGTCCGCACACGCGCACCACGCGCACGGCCGGCCACGTGCGGACGAGCAGTTCGAGATCCTCTGCAACGACGTCGTCCTCCCGCTCGACATGACGCTCGCCGCCGTGCGCCAGTTTGTGTGGCGCCAAGGCGCGGAGCTTGTGATGCACTATCGGCGCAAGCCTCAAACCCCGCCGCCGATGCCCAACACGCATCCTTGAAGACGTGTCGTGGGGGAGAGGCCGACAGGTCGGGTGAGTGAGGCGGGCTTGGTGTAACGATGCATGGTGTGCTGCGGGTTGTGTTGTATATCAATCCTACGTATATAGATGCGTTGAATATGTTATTCTAGACGGTCGTCTAAACTATGCTGGGGTAGGATCCGCGTGGTTTCTGTTTCATGTATCCACCCAGCCACGTAGTTGATTTACAGCCCGAGTGGATGAACGCTATCGCTAGTAATGAAGACATTTCAACGTTTATGGAAGTGAACAACCAACGACGACCACATCTGAAACATGGGATTGTGGTGTGAACGCGGAGAACTCGCGACTCCCATAAATGGCTCACAATGGGACGCCGTAGGCGCCAGTGCCACAAACGCGCTCTTTCCCTGCACGTGACAGAAACGTGCTGTTCGCTTTCTCATTGTCCGCCACTGTTCAAAAAGCGGCTCGCGTCTGCCGACCACTCTTGTCTTCTACCCCCATCCTCGTCTCCTCGCCTCCCCCTTCTGTACGTAGACACTCACCCCGCCATGCAGCTTCGCTCAGGCAACCGTAAACGCAACGATGCTCCTGCTCCAAAACCTGGCAGACGAAGCACTAGGAAACGCGATGTGCCTCCCAAGGCCGCGTCTCTTCCTAAACCCGCCGCACCCCCACCTGCTGAACCCCAAAAGAAGCCAGCAAAGCGGACGAGACGCGGCCCACAACCCGCTCCGGAGCCCATGGAGGACGCGCTGGAACTTGTTACCGAGGGCTTCAGGCTCGACTCACGTGCTTCGAGCCCCTCCGACGAGTCCACACTGACGCGTGAGTATCTTCGCGAATATCAACGCGATATTTTTGTTGACGCACAGATTATCAGCTGGAACACCCATGGCAGCGAACGAAAGTGTGTTGCCCAACGAGCTGTGGTTGCTTGTCCTCGATCTCATCGAGGAGAGGCGTGATCTGGCAATTATGGTCAGCACATGCTCCTATCTGCGCAGCCACGCAGCGGAAATGCTCCGCGACTTCACATTCGTACTTCGCACAGACGATGATGTCACGAATTTTGTTGCAGCAGTCGAAAAGGACCCCTCTCTCGTCACACGCGTACGTGAGCTCCGCGTCGACACCGATGAGGGGTTCGAAGAGGAAGTTCAAGTCGAACTGTACAAAGTCCTCCTCAAGCTCACTGGCCTTTACACGTTCGCCCTCTACGGCCCATACGTCGTTTGGGCGGAAGAGTTCCTCGATCGGCTCGGCTGCATCACCTTCCCGTGCCTCACCACCTTCGAAACACCGATCTACACGCGCTTCGACATGACCGAGTTCGCCGCCTCGAACCGCTCCATCCGCCACCTCGAAATCCCGCGCTACTCCGAGCACGACGGCGAAGTCCGGCTGCACCACCTCCAGAGCATGTCGGTCCCGTACCCGGTCGTCCACCGCTTCTCGATCACGCTCAAGGAGCTCCAGGAAACGATCCCCGACGACTCGGAGCTCAGCTCGGAGGACAAGTTCCAGGTCCTCGCGGGCTCGGTGTGCCACAACATCAGCCACCTCTGCCTGACCGCGAGTGACCCGTACGCGCCGGTGACGCTCTCCCGGCTCGTGCTCGGCCAGCAGGTCGTCAGCCTGCGGCTCGCGGCGCCGCAGCGCCCGAAGGAGTGGCTCGCAAACACGGGCGAGTACGACCTCTTCTTTATCCTCAAGTCCTTCCCCCGCCTCAAGTTCCTCGAGCACGAGATGCGCGGCGTACGTCTCTCCTCCTCGTTTTCTCCCTCGTTCTCCCTTCCTCTTCCCCTCCTCACGCATGCCGCGCTGACACGCTTCTCCGCAGTACACCGTCGTGTCCTCTGACCGCCTCCCGGGCCACACGTCCTTCTGGGAGCTCCAGTACGAATGGACGACGACGCCCGAGGAGCGCGAGCTCCCGCACCGCAAGAACGCAGGCTCGCTCACCGTCGCCTGGTCGTTCATCGACATCCGCGGCTCCGCGCTCCGGCCCGAGCGCGACGACGAGCTCCGCACGCTCGAGCCGCCTGAGCGCGAGCCGGTGTGGCGCGCAAAGTGCGAGGAGCGCGCGGAGTCGCTACTGCGCAACACGGGGATGTACGTCGACCGGGTCATGTACGGCAAGTGCGGCGCGCTGGACACGGTGGTGACGATGCCGGTGCCGGCGCCGACGAAGAAGAAGGGGAAGGGAAAGGCGAAGACGGTCAAGGCCAACGTGGAGCGACTGGAGAAGCCAAAGGAGATGTATTGGAGGACGATCCCGAAGTGGGTGGAGCCGAAGAAGGAGGAGGACGCCAAGGAGGAGTCATAGGTAGTCGGTGTATGCGCTTTGGTCGGATGTTCTGTGAACGGAATGCTATCTGCTTTGATTCATGTCTCGTGTACGCGCTCAGCAGCTCTTGCTCATGGTGTGTGGAGCGCAACTGCAGTCGTCCGGCCCCCAGGCGAAGATGCGACTGAGAACGTGTGGTGAGCGGAACGGAAAAAACGAAGCAAGCTGGCACTCGTGGGGACTTTTATCGATAAAGATCGCGGCCGGGCCACCCATTCCGTCTACACAAAGAGCCAGTATACAGCATATCTGCAGAGCAAGTACAACCCGAGTCCGCCAATGCAGCTCCAGATATACGGCGCTGCTCGATGGACGACCGAGTATACAACGAGCCGTCCGAGCAATGTCGTCTCCGTGGTCTCGCGGAATGACGGCAGCTCGATAACTTGGCGCCCCGGCTCATCGGGGAGGGGGAAAGACCTCGTTACGTCGCTGGGCTGGGTGGATGGGTTCTGCTGTTGCGTGTACGGTACTACTTGCATATTCCGAAGGCACCCGATAGACGCAGGGTCTCCTACAGCGTCGGAGACCGGCGGAGTGCCTGTAGCGTGACGTGAATGGCGAACGAGTGGCGTAGCTACGTCGAGACTCACCTGGACGTTCTGGAAAGCAGCGAGTGGGTGGGCACGAGGAATTCGCTGCGATACCGCGATCATGGTCAGACAATCGCCTGCAGACGACGCGCACAAGCTCTTACCTGAGAAAGGGTCGTCAGTGGCGGTCGTGGCACTCGACAAAGAGTCTGATGAGACGACGGAGGGCGAGCGACCGCGCCGCTTGCTGAAGCTCTTCCCCTTCTTGTGTACATTCTTGCGCTTCTGCTTGAAGTACCGCTGTACGCCCTGGATTGCGAACCCTTCGCAGCCCGGGAGCTGGGAGACCTCAGCTGCGAGCGCGGTGGTCTGGGTGGCGTTGGGGGTGGAGGTGACGTGATTGTAGAACGCTGAACACGTTCAGTATCAGGATGACGCCGGCGAAACGGATTTGCGAGACTTACCTCGCATGACCGTGTATGCATCCTGAGGGAGAGGCGGGTGCTTGCGGACTCAGGACGAGCTGCCAATTGGAAGGCGCCGGGCGCACCAAAGGCGAGACGTCGGAGGCAAACATCGGGATATGATAGGTGTGCTGAAGCAGTTTACAGAGAGATGATGGCGAACGACGGCGGGATGAGAGTCGGAGGAGAGGGCGGAGGAGGGGCTGAGGCACTATTTATAATACAAATACAAGGATGATTGGGGTTCGGACGTATTGCCACCCGCACGTGAGGGAATCGAGATCGCCGCGAAGACAATGAGAAGAAACGAGTTTGCGCAGTAGCTGATGATGATGCGGAGTCCGGGGAAGTACATGCAAGGGCGAGAGGGGAGGTATAGAGTGAGAATCCACGATTGACAATAAAAACACTAATGCGAAAGTTGCGGCGGGGCCTCACCGGACATAGACGCAGCGGGTGGGTGTAAACCCAGGATGGAGTACGACCCAGCGGACACGTCCTCGAGGAAAGCGGTCGATAAGGCTGATTGCTGCTGCAACCACTGGGAGAGCTCGTCAAGGTTGCGTGGCTGCGCCGTCGACGGCTGCGTCGCCTGCTCCTGGTCGGACTCGACGAAAATCCGGTGCAGTATCTCAGCCAGCTCACTCTCAGAAGGAGGAAATCCGCCGCGGGGCTCCGGTTCAGCGCATTCGACGGATGTGACTGCGCGCATGAGTGACACGTTAGCGTCTGGAAGGACTCCGAGGATATCGGGGTTGACATTACCGACTTCCATTTGATTCTGGGGATCGACGGACTCGCTCGGTGTGCCGATTGGCTGCTGGGAAGGTAGATTAAACCCTCCTTCTGGAAGGACTGGGTCGGGGATGCCGTCCGTGCTCCGTACCGGAGGGGGAGTGCAAGGTGACGTGGCAGCAGCAGTGGCCAGAGGTTCGGGTGCGAAGGTTGGGGGAAGCACAACTTCATGCTCCACCACCTCGGAGCCCTGAATGGAGGGGGAGTTGAGTCTCAGGACAACTAGCCGGTCGAAGACGTACCGGAATGCGATGGGGCACACTGAAGGCCTTGTCGCCCAAGTTTGAGACGATTGGTAGCGATGGGGAGATCTCTTCGAGCTGACCAGACTTTAGTGCAGAGCTGCCTGCCCTCGCTGTGTGAGGATCGATTAAAAATCGCTCTCTCGGAACGAGATGGGTATCTCACTTTTCCGAGGTCGTCCTCGAGGGTAGACTTGGTCCGGGGCGTCGTTTCGCGCCTTCCGAGCGTTTGCGAAGTAGCGATACACATGGGCGGGCGTGTAGAATTCGCAGCCTGAGAGGCTGCTGATGTTGTTGGCGAGGGCGGTGCGCTCCGCTTCTCCGGGATTATTGGAAACGTGAAAGTAGTAATCTACAGCAAAACGGAAAGTTTTAATCAAGCCAGTGGCATAAGGAAAGCGGGGTACTCACGATCCAGGAGCTGATACCCCGCTGCTGTGAGTCGGCGACGAACTGCTTTCGTCGACGGCTTGTTGGACTGGCGCGGCAACGGAAGTTTGCTCGATGGTTCTTTTTGACTTGTGAGACGAACATCGACGAAGCTGTCCCAGACCTGATAGGCTTCGATCGGATCGAGCTCGTGCCCGAGATGGTCGGTCATTGTCCCGTGGACGGAGATGAGCGGCTGAGGCAGGCCAGGTCCAGGCGCCGGCAGCTGGCGTCTCCAGATCTGGCCTAAGTGACATCACACGTCATCAGCGTCTCTCTCCCGCCAGGCAGGTCGGCGATGCGCGCGGCTGCGTAAGCACATCGACCCTTTGTCCTCATTGGTTATGTTTGTCTTATTCTCGCTTGGCGACGTTCAAACGTTCAAGTCCGCCCGTTGCGGTCGCTGTCCAACTTATCCCGACCACAAGTGGCTCAACCGGCCGATCCCTTCACTACCAGTCTCTGCAAGCGACACAAACAACATTGTGGCCCAGTGCGAAGACCTGAGCGACGAGCGGCGGCTCCGTGCATTCCCTCAATGTCTTCTCCCCTCTCCCCACGCCACTCCAACTGCCCCACTACTTTCCGTCTCCGTCCTCGACCATCTCTGGCAGACAAGGTCCTGTACCTCCTCAACCCGAACAAGAAGTTCGAACCTCGTCCACGTCTCATCATCTCCCATCCTCAACCACTCTCCCGACGCGCATCGCCAGCGCCTCCAACCACTCCAGCTGCCACTCCAACCACTCGCGTGCTCCCGAAACGGAAACGCGACGTCGACGAGAACGACCCCGCAACGCCTCCCCGCGCTCGCGCCCGCCTGGACTCTGGTGCTTCTCAAGACTCGGTGCGCTCGACGCTCCGTTTCCAGAAGCTCGGCCGAGAGGCTCGTGCATCTCGCCCGCTCAAGAGCGCGCTCAAGCGCTCCGTCTCAGAAGGACCACCCTCCAGCCGTAACTTCGCGTCAACTACCGCCCACACGCTCAAGCGCGTGACCACCCTACGCCGTCGCCACTCGCGCTCCGTCTCCTTCTCGGCGTCGACCACCTTCAGCCGCCTCGCCACCCTCAGCGCCAACTCCACAAAGCCGAGCGTTATCGCGAAGATAAGGCGCGCCACTTGGATCCCCTCGTTCGCGCTCCACATCGCCGCCCCGCCTGAAAAGAACGACAACCATAGTCATGCCAGGAAAACGCTCGACAACGCCCACTGGGACACCACCATCGACGCGCGGCCGACCCCGACCCGCCGCTGGTCCTCGGGTGGTCGAGCTCGACGAGCGAGATATCTCGAGGGCTACATCGCCACCGCTTGAGTCAAGTTTCGCCGCCGCGTCGCCGCCACCTCCGTACTCGCAGGAGACCGACTCACCGTTCGTCGACACTGGGGACAAGGGCCGGTTCGCCATGAGCGCGGAGAACAGGGTTCTAAACTCTGGGTGCGAATTGGACGCGGAAGATCACTGCGACGCCGCGGCGGACACGACATTCATCGGCTCTCCTGTGCGCAACGACCTGCCTCCTCCTCGCCAAGTCTCTAGTCCTCTCATGCATCGCTACTCTCCCTATGGTTACCCCAGTCGTCCGAAGGCGCGCTCTTCGACAGTGCTCCAAGCCATCCAGAAGCGCGAGGTCCCAGTGGTGTCCTCCCACAGATCGCCAGCACCACTGTCTTCTACCGTCCCGCAACCGTTCAAACTTACTCCCGTCAGCAGCTTGCTCCCAGACACACACGCGCTCAATCTTCCGAGGGTTCCGAAGGATGCGAAAGCTTCGGTGGCATCGCGGCAGCAACCTGGCGCGCCTCAACCAGTCGTCAGCATGCCGGGCTTGTGGAACGTGCCACGGACGGTCTCGGTCGACATCGAACCAGACGAGTGGCAGAGCGTCGTCTGGGACGCGAACGAGCAGTACGTCCCGCTTTCCCCCTTTGTTCCCTCATATTTATGCTCACATAGCCTCGCAGAGACATCCTCGCGTGGGGCGCCACCGTTGTCGTCCGCGACATACGCCCACCGCCCGGCGGCTCGAAGGCATTCCCGCCTCGCTCACCCATCCAGGAACTTCACATCGAGCTCGCCACCGTCGCGTCCCCTTGCAGTGCTGCCTCTGCCTTCCACCTCCACGCCTCCTTTCTCCACACCGACTTCCGCACGACGCACACCGGCCACAAGATCGCCTGCGCCGACGTCCTCAGCGCGCTCAGCGTCCGTACGGGGATCGCCGTCGACCGCGACACCGTCTTCATCCCGCTCCCCCCATCCTCGTCCTGGTCTCGGTTCGACGCCATTCCGTGGCTCTCCTTCCCCGGGGGCGCGGCATCTGAGAATAACAAGGACGGCAGGTCCAGCGGCGCGGAGACGGAGACGGACCCGGCGGCGGAGTGGCGCGTGCGCTTCTGGGCCCCGGTCCCGCTCGCGCTGTTCGGGCGCCGGGAGCATCGGACGTTCGTCGTCCGCGCGCGCGTGACGGTCGCGGACTGGGACCTGTCGAAGGCGGAGGTATGCGCGGCGCCGGGCGTCGTTGGGGTCGAGAGCCTGAGGAGCGGGGCGTTCTTGGGCGCAGTTATGTGCGGGAATCGGGGTGGCGAGGCGAGGGCCGGGAAGGTCATCGCGGGCCCGGGTAAGGCGGGCACAGGGGTGGCAGATGGTGGCGGTGGAGCAGGGAAGAGGAAGAGGAAGAGCTTGGTTGAGGAAGTGCTGGATGAGGTTATGTGAGCGGGGAAATCCCTGCTCCATCGTGTTTTACCCTGTACACCATGAACATGACATGCCATGTATATCACCGGACGACATACTTCATCTGTGCGCTATTTGGAGTCTTTTATCGCGAGCACGCCGGTGTCGAGTGTCCCGCTCTATCCCTCGTTGGTGCACTGTGTGCTGGGTCCAAAGGATCAACTGCCCGATCCGGACAGCAGAGAGACCTTGTCGATCTCCAACCGACAGCTGCCCGAATACGAGTTTATGTTACGAACACACAGACAGACTACTATTATCCACTTCCCCGGACTCGACCTGATTGTGTTTCGTGGACTATTACTGCACTACGTGTGCTACCATGAACGGACACCCGTCTGCTCCGGATAATCTCGCCCTGATCTGTCGCTCCACATCGCCAATTGGGCGCATGGGTGCAGGGGCGTAGTGTCAATGCGTCGGCGAACACGCGTGCATCCTTCTTGCAGCGTCGAGGACGCCGCCTGAGGGGATGGGGGAGAAGCGCCCCATGGAGAACGAGTCTAAGATTCAGGTGAGGAAACGATCTGCATAGACGGCCGAGCGAAGCGCACCAAAAGAGAGCCAGGCGAATTACCGCGCAAGGGCGCTCGCCGGCTCACTGCCATCCTTGGACTCGGTGGACACAACTGTGTTGTGGTCGTGGAACGTGACCGCATGTAGGCTTAGCGGGACCGAAGTGAGCATTGTTGCTTCCTCCAGTGGAGATTGCTTGGCTGCGAAGAGGACGATGATCGACATGGGGTAGATCGCCTACAGCAGTGCGAAGTCTGACAAATGAGATGCCGGAGAAAGGATAAAAACGTACGACAAGAGGTACAACACAGGAGAGGATGAAAACGCGCCCAGCGACGTCAAACAGACCTCCAGTCTCCGAAGGGTGGACAATGTGGAACCCGTAGAAGGCGGCGATGAGGACCTGCGGCAAAATGGAGTCAGCACGCGCACTGCTCTCGTAGAGCGGAGTAGGGGCCATGTAACTCACCCAACACAATGAGTACAGGATCCCCGTCTCGATGAGGAGCAGTAACAGGTGGAAGGCGCGTGGAATGAAGCCCCGTGCGGCCAGAACATGTCTGACTGTCTTCCAGTGCATCCTGGACGGTGCATTTCAGCCGGAAGATGCATATTACGTTGATGATGCGACTCACCACGTCTTGGCGGCGATGAGCGTGGTGGAGACGGTGTTGGCGAGCAAAGAAAAGAGGATGACCACAAACGCAGGTTCGACCTCGAGGTAACCGGGGAGCTGGTACGGGAAGGGGACGGGGCCTTGGCTCGCTGTTTTGAACGCGGAACAGGCGTATACCTGAGCGACGATTCCGCTCACTTGGCAGTGGGCAGTGGAGGGATGAACACGCGAGAATGAAGGTGTTGAACAAATGAAGTACGCACCAAGAATGCCTAAGCCTAGCACTCCTGCGACGGCATTAACGGAGGGTTTGTAACTCCAGAGCGCGACGGTACGCCAGAGCACGACCGCGTCGCCAATGCCCACCTTGAAAGCATGAATTTAGATGATCGCCGTCGGAGGGAAGACATGTTCATGCTCACATTGATGCCCAGAGTGTTGACGACGACGAGGGTCATCGCATCGACCAGACGGGCGCGGACGGGGCTGACGCTCAGTCCCATGCTTTGTCGGTATATGATGTCGTCCGTCGCGAACGTGGCCACAATCGACACGGCGAAGAACAGGGTGGTCGATAGGGAGAGTATCACGGTCGCCGCAAACAGTGCCTTGATACCGCGGTGCTGGATACCGCGTCGCCTGGGCGCGTGCTGAGGCAGGAGCGAGGGGAAGCGTTGAGTAGAAAGACGCACCAGAGAAGCGTGAACGACAGTGCAGATAGCACCATGACCACACCTGACAATGTTGAGGACATGATCCTGCGAATGACCAAGATGCGGCCCATGGAGTTATGATACTGCTCGAGCGACGCGGCTGCAGCCGTGCCGTCTTCATCCATGGTGGGGGATAGGACAGGCAGTGAAGGACAGCGACCAAACAGAAAAGCGGAGCCTCGCTGAGCGCGGGCGAGCAGTGAGCTCGACCCGATCACTTGGACGGCCCGGCGGCGTCGAATTCACGCCACAAGCGCGCTATTTGTCCTTGTTGACTGGACGGGTCAGACCATTTGGTTCGGTTCGCAGAGGAAAGTAAGCCGAGTCAGGCCGAATCGTTTGGTTCCGTAGACGACTCGGGCCGGAGAGCGTACCGTCCCTCGCGCTTCCCCCGTCTCCAACTCCAAGTCGTCGACTTTCTGCACCGTCCCTCTAACCCCTCGCGCGCGTGAGCTCGAGGTGAAGCTTGAAGCACGCGAGCGCGAGCGCGAGATCCTCGGAACTCGGAAGATGGCGCGGCCCCGGTGTGGACGACGGCGTCCTGTGCGAGCCGGAAGGACGCAACACGGAGTTGGAGGAAGAACTCGAGAGCGTGCGGGCGCTGCTCGAGGGGAAAACTCAGTCAAGGTGAGTCTGTTCTATGTCCTCTCGCGCCGCCATCCCCGCCAATCCCTTTCCTCCTTCCCCTCCTCCTGATCGCCCGCATTGCCCACCCCGCCCGCGTATCACCCACGCGCCGTCTGCATCTCGCGCCTGGTTCGTCTCGGCCTCACCCGCCTCGCCGCCCCGCGTCACCCACCTCATTTCCCCCTCGCCCCTTGTCCTCATGTGCAAGTTCCACAAAGGAGCGCGAGCGACAGAACAGGAGCCCACGCAAGCTCACGACGCGTGGGCGCCGTGCGGAGGAGCCGGCGCCAGGGGCTCGGGGAGATGCTGGTGGAGCAGTATTTCTCGAGGAGATCGATCCCATGTGGACGTCTAGCACCTACATGCCCTCGGAGAAGCAGAGAGTGTGTCCGTCAGTTCTGTAGGGCTCTTTCCGCATGCTCACCGCTACGTCCTAATCCTGTAGGATACAATGCGCATACCATCTCTTGCCGCGTCCTCCATCGCGCTTCTCTCCCTCCCACAGATGGACGGCCTAGAGGACGCAACGGCAGACCTGTCCAAGGGCGCCGAACGCTCTGCCAAGTTTGTCGACATCGCAAACGAATACTTCGAATGCCTCGACGTACGTAGCCTCCTCGTCACCCGTCACCTTTCCCTCGGCACCTCCCTCATTCCCTCGCATCTCGTCTACTACCGCACCACTGCTCACACTACTCAGCCGCATGTGCAGGGTATTCAATATGCCATCCGCTCCTCGCTCGCCCACGTCTGTCACTCCTGTCTCACCGCACCTCTGCGATCGACGTAGGCGACTTCAACACCCCGTTCTCGCTCCAGGCAGACTTTCACCACTCTCAGTCTCCCCCGAGCCCCTCGCAGCAGTACTCGCTCTCCAGTTCACGGCGCCCTCTCGGCCTCACTCTTTGAATCATGTTCGCTTTCAAGAAGGTCTTTGTCTCCGTTTTCCTTGCGGTTCTCTGCGCAGGCACTGCGTCTGCAGTCCCTGTCCCCGCCCTCTCCAAGTTTGCGACCTACCGCATCCGCGAGCACGTTCGACGCGGAAGAGTTCCCCGATCCCGCGCTCGAGTGGGTCGCGAAGGACGACGTCTCGGTCATCCTTGCCCACGATTTCCGGGTCCGCAACGAAGATGTGGGCACGTGGTACAAGGCGTTCGTCGACGCACACTCTGGTGAGCTCGTCTCGGTCACCGACTTCGTGGCCAAGGCTTCTTACCCCGTCCTCCCCATCACCAAGGAAGTCCTCACTGAGGGTTCGAGGTCGTCACCGACCCCCAGGATACCTCCGCTTCGCCCAACGGCTGACACACCGGCACGAACACTCAGGGCAAAAACGACATCTCCTACAAGCCGTCACAGAGCTCGATGACGTCCCAGTAGGCCTCCGACCTCGTGTTCGACTACACGGTAGACACATCTGCGCAGCCGACCACGACCGGCAACGTGAACGCGGCACGCGCGAACACGTTCTACGTCGTGGACACGATGCACGACGTGACGTACGTACAAGTACGGGCTCACCGAGTCCGCGTACAATTTCCAGGCGGACAACTTCGACAAGGGCGGCAAGGGAAGCGACCGCGTCATGGTCTCCGTCCAGGAATCCGCCGGGACGAACAATGCTAACTTCTCAACGCCGCCCGACGGCCAGTCCGGCGCGACTCGTGCGCATGTTCATATCTCCGCCGGTTTTTATGGTACGCACTTCGTTCTTATTGCGCTCGAAAGCCCTAATTCCACCCGTTCTATCGTAGCCAGTGTGACGGATTTCCGCCGCAGGATGCCCAGGGACGTTGCGCTCGAAGACGTTCTCCTCCTCCTCATCCCGACATCTCCCACCCAATTCCTCCGTGACGCCGCCGCCGATTTCCGCGCGGCCGGACTGTTTTTGTGCGCGTCGTTGGTTGCTTTTAGTTGCGCCTCTCTGCGTTGTGGAGCATTATGTCGTCGTCAATCTACGTCTTGATTACTGTTGTTCTCGATATAGAGGTCACCCTCTAGCCAACTCCCACTCTGTCCCTCTACGAGTTCTCACTTGTTGGACGCTTGTTCGTGCTTATTTTGTGCGTGTATTTCCCCTCTTTCCTACGAGCCGCTCCGTGCTGAGATCCGCCCCGCCATCGTCCCGCTGCACGTCGTCTTCTGCGACAGAAGACCACCCATCCCACTGCCAACTTGATGCCCTCGTCCCCCGACGGTTCGGAGCCCGTTTGCGACGCGGCCGGGTTCGTTCTCTTACCATAGTCAAGGCCTTTCGGACGCACCTTCGCGCGTGCAGGTACGCTCAGTCCCTCGCTCGCGACAGTCGCCACATCATCGCCCCTCCGCGCCATCTGCACCCTCCTCGACGCTGGCGATTTTGACCACCACGGCGGAGTCTCCCATCCGTTCTGCACGCGATTTGGTACGTCTTCTCCCCTCGTCATCTTGCATTGAATGCGTCCTTACCGCCGCCAAGACGCGCGGCCGTTCACCCGCGGCAGCCACTTCTGTCTTCCCACCGCTTCCAGGCATCCTCAGGCATGAACTGGACGCGCCGCCCCACCATTTCCGCTCCGATCGCGCTGCAAGTTGGGGCGTTGATATTCCTCGCAAATCCCTTTCGATCGCGCCCCCACCGTCTCTTTCGCCGCGCTCGTTCGCCCGCTGTGCGCTGTGCAAGAGCGGCCGCGGCTGGCGCTCCCTTCCCCTCTTCCCGGTGCTCGATCTCACCCACCTCGCCACCGTAGAAGACGCAGCCGGCATCATTCAATGCGCGTCGTGCAACGCTTTCGAACGCACCATTGGCCGTAGAGATCGGATGACATTTGCGTCGGGGATGCAAAAAGCTGTGTACGTCCGCCTTGTCTTCTCCCACTGGTCACTCGCCAGTCTCAGACTTGAACTTTTCGCCGATCCTGACTTCTCTCGCCACGCAAGCGCCTCCCTTTCGAAGCTCTCGTCAGAGGCTTCCCGACAAGTGCTTATACGTCGCAATCGGCCCTCAAGTTCTTCCCCAACGCTGCCAGAACCTTCGCGCCCCTCCACATGCTCTTCAAGCCGACTGTCGCCCCGTCCCTCCACGAGTTTGCCACAGTCCGCTGCCCGTCCGGGTTTGTTTTGTGCGCGCGTTTAACCTCTTTCCGACGAGCCCACCCGTTCTGCGATCCACCCTACCATTGTCCTGCCGCGCGTCGTCTTGTACGACAGAAGAGCGCCCCTCGCGCTGCCGACTTGACGCTCCCGTCTCTCGACGGTTCGGAGCTCGTTTACGCCATGGCCGGGTTCGGTTTCTTCCCGTCGTCAAGCCGTTTCCGACGCACCCTTCCGCGCGCCGGTATGCCGAGCTCATCTCCTGCGACAGCCACTGCATCATTGCCCCGTTCCTGCTCTCTGGCTTCCACATCCCACCACCGTTTCGATCGCCGCCACGACCCATCGCGTCCGTTTGACGTGCGGTTTGGATGTCAGATAGCCCTCATCGCCCCTTTCGATCGCGCTCGCCACCGTCTTGCACGCCAGGCTCGTTCGCGCGCTGTGCGCTGCCCAAGAGCACTTACTGCTGGGGCCCCATAAGAGAGGCCTTTTTCTAAGGTCCGGAGGGTAACAACTTCATGAGGGGTAGAACTAGCGCACATCCGTGTCTGCGATCCATCGCGCACATGGCGCATAGTTGTAATGTGCGCGAACCATCGCACATAGAAGAGGGCTTCTTCCAAGGGGATCTGGGTAAGTACTAGAGGAGGGCTAGAAAACAGCGCCCATCTGAGTTGCGATGCGATTGAGAACGTGGAGGCTGCGATGAGCTTCTAAAGCCACAGTAAATTGTTGGCTGTCCAACGTGCGCGATGGATCGCGCAGATTGAGACCCCAGATTATTCCAAGCATTTTCCGCATTTTCCCGCATTTTTTCTGAGCCCTGGTACGGTGTAGAGGTTGAAACGGGCCGTGTATCCCAACAGAAATTGTGGGTGGTTGAATGCGTGCGATGGATCGCGCACATTGAGGTCTTGGGGTTGGCCCACGATGTTTCCGCATTTTTCTGCATTTTTCTGATATTTATTTGTGTTGTTATTGACCCTTTACGGGTTCTTATCCCCCTGGTACCGTCCATCTTCAAAGCGACCCCCTACCCAGAGACGATGAGCGAGCCTGGTACCACGCTCACCACCTCAGTACCCAACAATGTTTCCCTGACAACCCTCTGCCAAGTTTGGTGGCCGTTAGGTTAGGTTGGAGTAGACGCGAGCGACGTAGCGAGCGGAGGAGCGTTGCGGCTACGGATGAAGAGAATGCACTCGAAAGGTGGCAAGATCTGGGGGTTTCCCCTCCAGAGACCTTTCGACTTTATGCAGTCTCATCAGGCCTATATTCGAGTATGTCAGTTGGTGTACTAATACTTGCAAATGGATCAGGTCACGGTTTTACTTACCATAATCGCAACGATCTCATTCGCTCGCTATTCTCGTACGTCGCAGTCAGCATGTCCGACCGGGATATGTATGTCCGATCGGGGATTGACTCAGCTATTTCCAATTGATAGATTGGCAATTGGTTATGGGGGGAGCGAACGCGAGCGAAGTAGCGAGCGGAGCGAGCGGATGAGCGTTGCGGTCGCGGTATGAGGAGAGTGCACTCGAAAAGTGGCAAGATCTGGGGGTTTCCCCTCCAGAGACCTTTCGACTTTATGCAGTCTCATCAGGCCTATATTCGAGTATGTCAGTTGGTGTACTAATACTTGCAAATGGATCAGGTCACGGTCTTACTTACCGTAATCGCAACGATCTCATTCGCTCGCTATTCTCGTACGTCGCAGTCAGCATGTCCGACCGGGATATGTATGTCCGATCGGGGATTGACTCAGCTATTTCCAATTGATAGATTGGCAATTGGTTATAAATAGCCGCTTCTGGAATGTCCTAGAACATGACGTCAGTGATCACCTGATATGATGTCATAGAAGGGGTGTTTCGGCTAACTACACAGTGTTAAAGATAGACTCGGGATAGAAACCTCAGAGGCCTTTGGCAAAGTGCGCGGGTGTCCGCACGCAGAAGGACAAAGTCATATACTATGTTTGTACATGTACAATGAAGCCTGGCAGACTGTTCAACGTGCGGACACCCGCGCACCTAACGACTTATGGCTGAGCAGCATTCAACATGAGGACGTCCGCGCATCCAACGATATACAGCTGTGTGTTCAATGCGCGGACACCCGCACACCCAACAATGTACAATGTATGCTGAGCGTTCAATACGCGGATGTCCGCGCATCCAGCGCATATGTACAACTGGGCATTCGACGTGCGGACATCCGCGCATGGAGGCAGTTGCCTATGAGAAGGGAGTGTGAGGAGTCCGAACACGTATGCCTGCACACGCTAGATGCGCGGGTGTCCGCACGTTGGGAAAGACTGCGGCAGAGCCTTCACGCTGTGCGCGCGGACGTCCGCGTGTAAAGCAAGGTGTAGCCGAGACGACGTGGGAAATGCGTGCGTATGCCCAAGCATACTCCAAGTTGGCAGTCACATGCTCCTCACGCCATCCATCCCCTTCCTGCCGTCCGTTCGCCATGATCTTAGTATCGTTTGATCTCTTGTGCTCCCCCTTTCTATCAAGGCCCTTCGCACGTCGATACACCCCAAACTCGCCACATGGTCGTCCGAGCACACGAGAGGGAGCCCAGGGAGCCCAGGCTAGGAAAGACCTCGATGTATCTCCGCCAGTTTTCACGGTAAGCTCTTCGTTCTTGTTGCGCTCGAACACGCTCGTTCCCCCCGTTGTATAGTGCCATGCACGAACGATTTACGCCGCTGGACGCCCCGGGATCTTGCGCTTGAAGACGCAGTCCCCCTCCTCCCCATCCCGACATCTCCCACCAAATTGGTCTGTGACGCCACGGCCGATTTCCGCGCGGCTGGGCTCTTTTTATGCGCGTTATTTGTGGGCCGTGGCTTTCAAACGCGCCCCTCCGCGTCGTAGAGCGTGCCGTCGTCGTCGACCTACGTTGCGATCACTGCTGCCCTCGACACATGGATTACCCTCCAGCCAACTACCACCCCGTCCCACCACGAGTTCTCACCCGTTGGACGCCCGTCGGGGCTTGTTTTGTGCGTATTCTTTTCTTCTTTCTTACGAGTCGCTCCGTGCTGAGATCCGCCCCGCCATCGACCCGCTGCACGTCGTCTTCTGCGACGCAAGAGCGCCCATCCCGCTGCCAACTTCATGCTCCCGTTTCTCGATGGTTCGAAGCTCG